CGCCGGTTTGCCGGGGCCGCCAGGTTGCTCGCAGTCCGCAGCCGAGTGTGGCGATTTGGGCACACGAGACGCCAACACAGACGCGGCGCGGTTGTGCACACAAACAGCAGCGGAGTCCATGCGCGCGCCGCGTTTTCGGTTGCATTGCAACACACTTTGGCACGAGCTAAACCGAAGGTTTCCCGGGAAACCTTAAACGACCCTGCCCGAGCGGAGTCCATTGATTTCTAGGTCTCACAGCGTCGCTTTCTCTTCTGGAGAGAGGCTTCAGCTCCCGGAGTGAAAATTTTCCGAAAGTGAAAATTCACTGAATTTTCACTCGATTTCTCGTTCCGGAACGAGAAACCGAGTGAAAATTCAGTGAGTTTTCACTTTTTGAAAAAAATCACTTTTGGAGCATGCATGTTTCTGGAGAGAGACTTGAGCTCCCAGAGTGAAAATTTTCGAAAAGTGAAAATTCAGTGAATTTTCACTTTTTGAAAATTTTCACTTCGGAGGCGAAGTTTTCCCGGAGTGCGAATTCGGGAAGCGGGATTTTTCAAAAAGTGAAAACGCACTGAATTTTCACTCGATTTCTCGTTCCGGAATTTTCACTCACTGAATTTGACTGAATTTTCACTCACTGAATATTCACTCCTGGAAAAATGTTACTCCGGAATTTCAAAAAGTTAATTACTAGGCTTCTGGTTCTTCCGGAACGAGGCCTCGCTGAATTACCACCCCAGAGAAAAGCCAGCTCATCCCGGAATCACTCTGGATGTGGGATTTACGTAGAGAGGCAATTCAGTGAGTTATGACTACATGAACAAAAAAAAACGCAAACGCTGACCTTTTGCAGTACACATGGCAGAAATAGGGCGAGGGCTACCGATTCAAATTGCAGGTCGTTCCGTAAACGTGTTGCTCTGTCGCCAGTAGCGTTTGCTGCATGGCGCGAAAATTTTTGTTGCGAGCCTTCTAATTGCAGCGCGCTACTGCCCGCGCCACATCGCCGAGAGGAACGCCCTGCCACATTGCCTGCAAGGTGCCTGTGGTGTCGTTCGTAAGCCACGCCTGATTTTTGTGGTTCGCAACGTCGCCCGATGTTTTGGCTTCAGTATGTTCAAAACGCTCGAAATTGTAGCATTTGGGCCCTCGTTCCCCAACGAGGGGAGTTTCCGACGCGAAAGGGGGGGTCTTTGCAAGTCATGCATGATGTTCTTGAAAAGATAAAGTCGGGACTCAGCATCATTTTACTTATCATTGTGGCAGTACAACTAGAACTTCTTCTTTCATCTTGCAAGTATGAACAATGGGAGGTAGTGCTACCAGCTGATGCGATTACGCAGTAAAACTAAAGTGCACAACAGCCAAAACCTAGTTTGAACACAATGCATAGAAGTGGTATCAAATGAATCTGGAATTTTCGCAAGCCGAAGCCGATTGTTCGATATAGATAAATAGTTTTGCCATTTTTTTTGCATTGTGAGTTCTCCCACACTCCCACACTTTCCACACTCCCCCCTCGCTTTAGCCGAATCGGATTCTTCACACTACGCAGCAATTATTTTTCGCAGCAGGTAAGAATAAATGTCACACGTTTACGTTTGCAGAAAAGAAATTCATTTTCTTAGCCTGTACAACATGTCAAACACAGCAATTTCTTGAGGTTGCAGTATTAACGTGCTCTCTCTTGTTTCTCCGTTTAAGCAAATCTACTTCTACATGTATCCAACTATTTTCTTTTTTCATCTACCTCACCTCCCAAGAATTCCCACTCCAGAAGTAGTGCCGATTAAGCACATATGTTTCAGATCGAACCATAACGGCATGTTTTGAAAGAGGCAGAGCATGATTATAGGCTCGCACTGTACATTTAGTCATCAAATGCAAATCGATGGAATCAGTTGTACGCTCTCGCCAAGTACTTCAATGAATCTCGTGAAGCGCGGCCACGGCCTTCACAGTCTGAGGGGCTGAAGAGTAAGTCCCGTACTCGCTCAGATGACACATTTCGGAATTGACCTTGTTGCACGGAACTCGTCCCTGAGAGAACTGAAGAAGAGTGTCGAGGAGAGTTGTCTGGTTTACATACTAGTTTCTTTCTTCTTCGCTGGGAAGAAAAAGAACATCAAGGTTGAGGCGACAGGAGTCGTCGTGTGGTAGTAGCAATGTTTCAATCTTGATTTGCTTTTCTACAATCAACATACGAAAAAACAATTTGTTTCGGCAGGACCTCCGAATGAAAGAAAAATGCGCGCTTGAATCATGTTGGTCCATGAGGACAAGAAGAGTGAACTTCTGATGCATTTTTATAGAGGCACGTAGGATCACGATCGTATAATTGAGAAGTAGAAAAACCCGTGAAAATGATGGCCAATCAGGGGTTTGACCCGGCGAAGCAGGGTCAGCCCGTGATGATGCAGCCCATGCAGCCTGGGCAACAGATCCCCATGGAACAAATGCAAATGGGGCAGCAGCAGCCCATGATGATGCAGCCCATGGGTACTAGTAGAGTTGTTTTTCCCTGTAATTTTTCTTCATCATCATGTTTCTATATTTTTTGCTGCTGTTCATTCTTTCGCAGCGGCTCTGGTCGCCTGTCCCGACTAGGCCAACAACTTTTTGCTCTTTTCTACACGACCAGGTCAACCGGGAATGATGGTGGGTCCCCCCGTGATGGCCTCCGGCACTCCGATGGGCGCGCCCATGATGCAGGGTGGCATGATGATGGCTCCGATGGGTCCCGCACAGCTGGAGTGGGAGCGCCCCCGGGTCTGCGCGGAATGTACCTGCGAGTGCTGTTTGGCCGGATGCTGCCCTTGTATCTCGGTGAGTCAGACGATGACTTTGGCAAAGATGGGCGGGGCGCACGCCCTTATCGTCGGGATTTGCGTGTTCCTTCAGTACTTCTTCGACGGGTTTAGGAACTATGTACTGTTTTGCTGCATTTTTTTGATGAGACTGGATGTTCTTACTCTTAGCCTGCTGATCCTGATTTTTTGAATGATACTCCGCTTCAGTGTGATCATAGTTTGATAATCTACTGCCACTGCTTCATCCAACATCTTCCACGAAAACTTCTCCACCGGGGATCTTCCCTGAAGATTCGTGACGATTTCAAAAACACCAACACTAGCCTTCCGAGACAGACATGTGGAGACTGATCAAGCTTATCGCATGGCTGCTCAACATGGCGGCGGGGATTTGCGAATCTCTGGCCCTGATCAACTGGAAGCAGCTATCCCAAGTAATTTTTACGCACACGTGCTGCACAATATCCTGGCTTTGCAGGACAAAAGTGTTCTTCAATCCTGCTGCTCAGCATGACCAGTGATATACCCTAAGCTAGCGAAATTTGTGATGCATTCATTTGCCCGTGTGGGTGTGCGGGAAATTTGTATTGCATAGCAGGCAACCGGGCGCCACGTCAACGTTCGGGACCCAATATGAACTGCAAAAGTATCGTACTCGTATAAATGCAAGTCTTGCATTACAAATCTTTATCTTAAGGGAAATCCGCATTACAAACTTCCTTTCTCATGCTGAGGAAATTTGTAATGCATTTATACGAGTACGATACTTTTGCACAGGATACCTAAGTGGGAATTGCGGCGAGGATTTCTGCTGTTTCTGTTGCTGCCCGTGCTACGCAATCCCCGCAGTACACCGAACGGTGGAGGACTGGATGCGGATGTATCCACAGTAAACTACTTCTTCCCGTGATTATGGACCACGACATCCAAAACACTGATACAAATTGCAATGGTCACCAGCGTGCAAATCAAAAGTCTATCTCTTTCTCTACCTTTTAGCATTACAACTTCGATAAACAGCGGTTGCTACAGTAGTTTGTCATGCAGATCTTGTACGTCGTGCTCGTGGACGGTAGTAAAATTTGTACTCCATAAGATGGGCGGTCCCAACATGCAGCAGGGCGGGACTGGCGCACGGATGGCGGTGTCACCAGGGGGCATGATGCAGATGCAACAGCAATAGCAACAGAAGGAGGATTCGAATCCCTTCGGTGTCGCGTTTTAGATTGCGAGGAATTTCCAAACGGTGAGTTAGAGGAGGTTGAACGAACGGAAAATCTAAATCGATGCTGAAGGATGTAGTTGGCTAGGGAAGACGGAGTCGAAGATCGAAAGCTGTTGGGGCCGCAGGTCGATGAAAGCGGAGAGAGAAAGTTTATTTTTTGGTTGTCGGAGTGGGAGTCCAAATCCGAATCCGATAGACAAAATTCAAACAATTTCATCTTCATCTTCTGTCAGGGCCACGTTCTTTTGCTCTCGGTTCTGTCAAGAAGCGTTCCTTCCAACTGAAAAAAATAGCCTCTTCATGCATCGCATTGATATTCTTATTCTTATTCTAGTCCCTCGTCCTCGACGAGAGTTGTACAGGAGTTAAAGCGAATTCATAACTTTGAAGAGGAGAATCTGCAGAAGCTTCGTATACCTCTGCGCTTGTGGTTGTGATCTTCGTATCGCACCACATTATGCCCTCGTGCATTGTATGATATTCCTATGCGTGCCACATCGCTTGCGGTGTTGTATTGATTTAGATTAACATTTACCCAGAAAATGAAGCCTCTCGTGCTAACATTATGCTGCGCACTATTGCCAAAATGGATGAGTTGTTTCGCGATTCACTTCTATTTCATCCGTCCGTGTGTACAAAAGAAGAATATTTCCACGAACCGGGCCCGTAAGAATCAAAAACCTATAGGTTGCACAAGCAGACAACACCCGCCCCCGCCGTGGTGTGTTAATGTTCTGGTTGATGTCTTCGTTTTGGTTGGGTTCTAGCGCTTTGTCTTTTTTGTGAGTCGTTTCTTTTCCTCCACCGCTTACGCCCCGCTCAAGGAAGAGCAAGAGGAGCAGACGCGTAATTATTTTCTTGCTTGTGTCTGAGATGAACTAGCGACGAGAGCAGGTATCCGTATGAGGGCGCAGCGTTGTTGGGCTGCATCTTCTGCAGCTGGGGCGAAGGCCTGCCTCAGCCCGCGAGCCCTGCCTGGCTTCTGCCAGCCGGACCGGCCGCCGGCCGACAGCCAGGCAGGCGCCCCCGCGCGGGCCGTGTTGGCCTTGCTTGGATGCAAGTGCCGGCGAAGGCGCTGCAGCGGCTTATTAGCAAAGCCGAACCGCATGTCCTAACCAGCGCACAACACCCTCCGAGGGGCGCCCCCCGTTTTTCCGAACCGTGGCGCCATCGTGTCACGCGTGTGACGCGAGCGGCATGCGCTTCAGTTTTGCAGCGTGGTGGCGTAGGGCGCGCGCCCCGGGGGTTCGCCGGGTCTGTGGTTTTCTTTGGGTCTATTGCCCGCGCCCAATCTTCGCGCCGGCCGGCGGTCCGCCCATGTACGTAGGTTGTCCAGGACGGCGCAGATAATTCCCGTGGCCCGTCATTCCGTTGTTATGGCGTGCGCATCGTGTCGCGCATCAGTGATGCGCGACGTATGGAAGCGACCAAGACGATGACTCCGATGCGCGGCGATATATGCAAAGTCGGGACATTTCTGAGCAGATCCCTGGAGCATTCCTGAGGCATTTCCAGACCCCCTCTGATCACGGGCGGTCCGTGAGTAAGTATCCGTATGAGGGCGCAGCGTTGTTGGGCTGCATCTTCTGCAGCTGGTGCGATTCCAAAATCGACCGAGATAGCCCCTTAACGTTTTTGATCAACAAGACAGGGAAAATGGCCGCGCCTTGACCCCGGTTGTTGACGTGAGTGCTCGGAAAGGCCCGGCCGTGTCGCCGAGGCCTCTCGGAGAAGGCATCCCGAGCCGGATCGCGGTTGCCTGGCTTCTTTGGTTGCGTGGGTGTGGGGTGGCATCGGGCACGCAGCTGGCTGCCCGGCGCGGCTGTGCCGCCCCTCGATGCGAAAGCGGAAGCGTAGTGGGCGCAGTTGGGCGGCCCGCATTCGCCGACCGCGCCAAGTTTCGGAAGGGGGCACGGGGGCGGGGGGAAGGGTTTTTGCCTTGGGAGGATTCCCAACGTGGCCCGCGTCGCAGCCGCAACGAGCTGCAGAAAAAGCGCAAGCGGGGCAAAGGAAGCCAAAGCACAGCTGTGCCTGCGCCCAAAGGTAGCTGCGCTGCGCATGCCCCAGCCCAAGGCCCCGAAGGTGGGAGATGGGTCCTGCGCCGCTATGAGGCTTCATGACTTGCACGGCCGGCGTGGTACACGAAGCGCTCAAAGTGCTTGAGGTGGAAGCGGTTCGACGCTTGTCGCGCGCAACTAGAGGCGTAGTATGCCCCTTGGGTGTCATCAACAGTGCCAGGCCCTGCGAGCCCCAGCAACAAGAGGCGACCGCGCCAACTCCCTTCGCCTTATTATCGGGAGAGGCGCGAGACCCAAAATTTTTTTTTCGTTTTGTTGAAAAGAAGGTCTTGTTGACAGATTTCGCTACCGTATGTTGGGCTGCATCTTCTGCAGCTGGTGCGATTTAAGGGTGGCTACTTCCTCTCCCGTTCGTGCCGCTGTCGTTTTCCAGTAGCCACGGTGGAATAATCTTAATCAGGGCGAGGCATTGATTTGGCGTTGACAAAGCGCCAGCACCTTCTCACAACACAGATGGAGTACAAAACCCCTCAAAACGAGTACTCAGCACGGCCAGGCGAGTACGGCAATGACCCTGCAGCTGGTGGCTCCACCTCCCCGCCCGGCGGGCAGCCACAGCCAGTCTTCATGCAGCCGCTCCAGCCCGGGCAGCACATACAAATGCAGCCGATGGGCCAGCAGCCGATGTACATGCAACCCATGGGCGGACCAGGTGAGAAGTGCCTTGTTGGAAAAAAGCTCGACGTTCAATTTCATCATTGACACGTTGCGGCATTGACTTGTAAAAGTAAAAAGACAACACAAGGTCAAGGTGAAACTACAATCGCGATGTATGAAGGATGATACTCTCATCTCACACTCACTTCTGAGTTCCACTGGATCTGACACAACTTCTACAGGTGGTCCCCCAATGGTCGGCGCTCCGGTTATGGCTCAGGGCACGCCGATGGGCCACCCCCACAGCTTCGGCGGCGGACCGATAATCATGGCCCCCATGCACCAGGCCATGCTGGAGTGGCAGAGGCCACAGGTATGCTCCGAATGTACCGCGGAGTGCTGCCTCGCGGGTTGCTGCCCCTGCATATCCGTGAGCAGCACCATGACACTAGCAAAGATGACCGGCCCCTGGGCGTTTATAGTGGGAATCTTGGTGTTTCTCCAGTACGTGTCGGACGGGATAAGAAATTCGGTAATCGTCCATACCTGCTGCTTTTTCGTACTGCGTTGTTTGTCTTGCGTCATACTCATCGCAAATTTGGCACACTGTCGTAGCTCGGGTTGTTGGTGCATCAGTTTATGACACCGGCATGATGTTCAACATAAGTAAAACTAAAATTTAAATTGAAAAAAATCCAAAAATCAGCGTCTCGAAGACGACCCCTGGCCGGCCATCCGGGGTTTAGCCGGCCTGTTCAATCTCGTTTTCAGCATTTCGGAGGCCATGACGCTGGTAAAGTGGAAGGAAGCCACGGGGCGGCACATTCGCGTCCGCGACCCGGATGGTAACTGCGGCGAGGATTTCTGTCTCTTCTGGTGCTGCGTCTGCTACACCATTCCCGCCGTGCATCGAACAGTGGAAGACTGGCACCGGATGGGCGGAGGTTCCGGGGGTGGGCAGCTGTCGCCCAATTACCACATGCCACCAACATCTTTTCAGCACGCGGGGTTAGTGGCCGGGGGACCGACCCCCGTGGTGATGGGGCCGCCAATACAAGTGCAGCAGCAGCCGCAGCAGCAAAGACCAGCCTATCAGGAGGTTAGTTGAGCTTGAGGCGGGTGTAGGAGGTATGTTAAAGGCGCGGCATGATTGAAATAGAAATACTTGTAATCGTAATGACAAAGTCCAGTGATGAAGTTAGTTGTATCGGACGGTCTGGTTTCATCAACAGTTTCATGGCAAGGATGACTTTTTGAAATACTTGCAAGACCTGTGTACAATTCCGACGTCTGTGAAGAATAAAAAGACGCTACGCGGTGCCTCACTATGTGCTTGGTTCTTATCAAAAATCTAACGAGCCTACTCATATACACATGCAAAAGCGTGGCGCTTCTGCAGCGCGGCTGGTTCAGTTCGTTGCAAGTCAAACTCGATCATGTTGATTGGTACAGATGAAGAAGTGTTCTCAGAGGATAACGGATTGAGTCGTCAGAACGTGAAGGAAGAAAATCGGTCCTTATATTCGTGATGCGAAACCACAGAATAATGTGGTAAGAAAAGGAACTAAGTATGCGTCTTTCTCTGCAAGCTAGCAGTAGCACCGACTTGAAGTGCCGCAGGTTTGAACTTCATTCGTACAATGATGACAATCGTACAAAACAAATACGTCCACAAAAATCGTACACACAACGTCCATTCCCGGCTTCGTAGTAGGTCCCTTGTGCCTGTTCCGATATTAGCGGATATTACGCAGCAGGGACGTGCAATTCCAATTCGTATATCACTCGTGTCGTTTGGAAAGCCAATGGAGCTCCTATCTTCTTTCGTCAATCAAAAATCCACCCAGCATCTCACGCTTGAACATTCAGAAATACATCCTCTGTTCACACCCGCAGAGAAATTTACAGTTTCAAGAATTCATTGGAAAATAATTAACCACAGTTGTGCAACTTTTTTTTTCGAACCAATACCACATGCGACGGTTGCACATACGGTCGTATTAATATAGAGGAGCATCTTGCACAAAGATGTCAGGACGTCGAGCGTCAGGCCGACGTAAGTTGCCGTGCGTGCTGATGTCCTCGTCCTCGAAGATGTTGCTGCGCTCCTTTGCTATTGCTTCCGGCGGGGCAAAAATCTTCACGTCGTTGAACCTCCTCGCGACTGCAGCAGAGCAACAAGACCGGAAGTTGAAACAACATCAAGCGCCACCTACTGCTTCAAGAACAGCACCAACAACTTCCGCCAAGAGCGTTGATGTCGTCGACCAGACCTCCGGGTCGTTATTTTCGCTTCTCTTCGGCACAGCAGACCATGTTGCAGACTACGAAGATAGTTTGCTGCAAATGGAGCTGCAGAAGGACCAGACAAAGAAGAATGCGGCCGCAAGAACAACTCCGGAACAAGGGGATGAAGATCAACATCAAGATGAACGAAAGCAAAAGCTCCGTAAGCTGCAGACCATCACGCGCGCCGGCCCCGGCGCTCTGCCCGTGGAGAAGATCGAGGCCACGTACATGCAAAACCTGCTCCAGTGCCACGAGTATTCGCCAGTGTGTCCGGCGAGCTACGAGCCGTCCTGTTACATGTTCGCGTGGAACAGTACGCAACAAATTTCCGCCGGCGTCCGGGCGGCGATCACGAAAGAAGACATCAACGAAATGCTGAAGGTCGGGGGCACGAATCTCAATTGCCGCAGGAACATCGGGGTTCTTCCCGTAGCGCCAGGTTTGAAGGAGATGCGCAGACAACTGTACGCTTGGGCGTTGAACGGGACCTACAAGTGCCACGCGCAGTACTTGAAGTCCAACTTGAACGAGGACAATACCCCGATAAGCACGTCGGGGGGCATGTTCGAGTCGATCCGCGCGATCGGGAACGTCCCGCCGTTCACGGAGATCCCGCTGTACACAAACACCTCGGCTCATGATTTGAACGATCCAACACTGACCACCTGGAACGCGGCGGGCAGTTCGGAGCTCGACGAGGTTTCGAAGTGGTACGTGGGCGGATGTGGGACGTTGGGCAGCTGTGTCGGGGTGTACAAGAAGGTGATGCTGGTGTACGACCACACCGAGTATTTCGGGTTAAAAGACTCTTCCTGCTGGACTCGCGAACAAGCCATCCCGGTCGTCGCGGACCACAACACCCCGCACGACCTGCTGCTGAAGTGCGCCACTTCCTTGTACCACTTGCTCGCTCCGCGGTCCCTGGGTGCTTACGTGAAGTACCCGTTTGAACTACGCGACGCGGTTCTGAACGCCCAGGTCTTGTTCACCTGCGGCAACACGTATCACGACCCTGTGAACGATATTACCCGGTCGTTTCCGTCCTTGTGCCCGGAGGGGGGCGCCTGTACCGTGATGGGCGGGTCCGCCACGCACCAAACCCCGGCGGCCTTTGTCCACGTGAACGGGATTTGCGGGCACCAGCCACACGCGACGAATCTCCCGCAACTGCTGCAGTACGAGCACGGGGGGATCAGCTACGGTGCGAGTTTGGCGTCAGAAATCTGGATTCGAACGATTTTGGACATTGCCATCTCCCACATCGACCCAGAAGGGTATTACGCCGTGCAAAGGGCGGAGGCCATCGCCAGTGGGAACAGGGTATATTAACTTGGATTCATGTAGTCGGAACACGAGGAAAAGAAGTAGAAGCTCAAGCTTGCTTATTCCCTGTATGCAAACTATTGCTCACAATGACAATCAAAACATATGAACGCCGGCCTTATCTTGTGTATTCGTATTGTTGACGATGCCTGTGTTTATTTCAGATCCGGCGGAACAAAATCAGTAATCTTATTTAATCTTTTCAAACAATTCTATCTCAGGTCTACCGGCGCGAATCTTGGATGGACTGTCACACGGCCGCTTCTTACTACTTCGCGACGGGTGTCTCTCTTGTTCTCTGGAACGTGCGGACCTCCGATGCGCACAACAGTAAATCCCGCATGGACTTACGAACCCAGGACCCGAATCTGTGGTGCCTCGCACTGCGGTATTTCGATATCAACTGCAAAAGTGTCTGGGTCTGGAAGAATCCGAACTTGTGATGCTGCATTTGGATTCCGAAAAAACCTGTATTGCATAAGCAGCAAAGGGAGTGCAATTTTGGCTACGCGGAGAGGGCATTTGTCATGCGGAATAGGCATCGCGAAGCCCTCAAAAAGTCTGTGATGCTAGGGCATGCATCACAGACATCATGGGCCATGCAAAACGTGCATGACAAATCTCAGAACCTTCCAGACCCAGACATTTTTGCTTTTCATATTCGAGTTTGACAACCAGTGGACGTCTTGCCCGAGCGGCCACGCGAGTGAGTTGCTGAAGACGATCCAATATGCAATGCAAAAGCATCGTAGTAGTATAAATTGCATTACAAATTAGCCCAGCATTACAAATTGAATTTGTAATGCTGATCTGCGTTGAGAGAGAGATTTGTAATGCATAAATGCAATTACTACGAGTATGTACGATACTTTTGCAGAGCATATCCAAACGGAGGTCTCTTCGAACGCGGTGAAGGCCGTGGACTGCCATACCGTCCTGAATGTGCTGGGCGTGCGGCAATTCGGCCCGCCGGGGGACCACGGGATCGCGATGGGGGGGTCGCAGAACTTAACCCACTTGAACCCTTTGTATGTCATGAACATCACGGAAAACAACGGCACCGCAGCCCCCTGCAACCCGGAGTCCACGACGGAGAACCAGCGTTTATCAAATGCAAAAATGTCTGGGTCTGGAAGAATGCATGTTTATCATGCTTGTCTGGCATGACTCTTAAATCTGTCATGCACGTTACCCAAGAGCCCCACTTTTCTGTGATGCAGAAACGCAGTTTGTCATGCAGAAGAGGCAACACGTAGAAGCTCAGGAACATGTCATGCTGGGCCAGCAATTGTGGCCTCATCATGAGACCCCACCCTGCATCACAAGTTTCCAGACCCAGACATTTTTACATTTGATAGCGTTCCGGGACCAACAACGTGAACATCGAGTTCACGATATCCTGAGTAAAAACGTACCCACCCCATAGTTGTAATGCAAATCTGCATGCTGAAAATGTTTCTCATGCGGAGCCCCATGAGAGGCATTGTATAGTCGTGCTTTGCAATTTGTCATGCTCCAATCAGCATGGTATGCTAGATCTGTGATGCTCCTGAGCTAGCTCAAACAGCACTACAATACGAGTCCAAATTTGTCATGCAAAACAGCCAAAACTTGTGGATTTGTCTAGCCGATTCCCCATCTTGACTATGGTGTGGGTACGTTTTTACTCAGGATACACGAAACCGGTGATGCCGACCCGGCTGCCCAAACAGTCCCCGCACGGGCACTGCTACTTGTACCAGACCCGGGGGTACAGTGGCACCTTCCCGGACAAAAAATACGAGATCTGCAAGCCGGAAGACAAGCACGACGCGCGGTTCGCGATCCACGACCAGTACGGGGACGCGAACTACTATGTGAAGGGTGTCCAGTATCTGATCGGCACCGAGGGTCCGACGGCGCAGGCGAAATCAGCTTTATTAGCCGCGGAGGGCAACGTCGGGTTTTACCACCGGGTGGTGTTTGATCGCAACGCGACGGTGTACCCGGAACTGTACTTCGTCGGCTGTAGTGGTCCGAAATTACGATCTCTGTGCGGGTATTATTTGTTTTCCGGGGAATTCACCCAAGGAGCGACCATGTTCACCATGAGCAGCACTGTCCCTGGGGATCAGAAAGCAGTCGTGTACCGGCAAATTCGCGGCTCTACCTTCATCGATTCGCTTTTCGGCGAGCGTTGGACCATCGGGCCGGACCCGAATACCGGGCTGCAAGCGAACTTCCTGGTCGATCAGAACCTCGCGAACTACGCGAACAATCTGAAGGCGTTCTACGGCGAGCAGACGACGTTTGTGAAAGTGCACAGACACACGTACGACTTGTACAATCCGACCACCGGGACGAAATTGACCGAGCAGGGGGTCTTCCTGGAAGTGGACCTTTTGATGACCGGATCGAATTCGCATTTCGTCTACCCCGACCAGCAGATGGGGCCGTTTTCCTACAACCACGAAGTGCACGAAACGAGGAAGCAGAAGCTGGCGGACGTGTTTGGTGTGCCCGTGGCGCAAGTGTCTCCGCTGGACGGGTACAAGGGGAGGCTCGGCGCGGGAGATGGGAATAGTGCGAATGGTGGGGGAAAAACACCGGTGTCCTACTACATGACAAGTGTTGGCCTCCCGGATTCCTACCACGGCATGGTGAAGGAGCCGATGGACGAACTGACGTGCAATCAGGAGATGCGGACGAACGTTTTGTGCCCGATGCTCTGCACCATGACCAACACGTCCATCGTGAACAACCCGAACAACTGCACCTCGGTTTGCGAAAAGGAGTGCACGGGCGTCTACCCGGGGTTTGACATGAAAAGAGGTCTAAATTCCGCCGCAAGCATGACGGCGATGTTGGCGCATTTGGGGAAAATCAACTACAAGGCAAACCAGGACATTGTCAGAAACTTGCTGGGGGAAGAGGCGTACACGACGAGTGTTATCAACCACGGTAGCTTCGACTCTCCGTACTTGAAGCGGTACAGCGAGGAGCATTTTGGGTTGTTCAAGAAGATCTTCTATCCTCTGCAAAAGTATCGTACTCGTATTGCAAGTCTTGCATTACAAATCTTTTTTTTAAAGGTAAATCCGCATTACAAATTTTATTTCTCATGCTGAGGAAATTTGTAATGCATTTATACGAGTACGATACTTTTGCAATGCATATCTTCGCGAATGAGAAAGAGGCGAGCGATCTTCTGCATCCTTACGTGGCCAAGATGGACAAGATCGAGGACGATTTTTTGTCGGAAAAGGACCAGGAATTTTTGGAAGAGAAGTACGGAACAAAGAAAGATCATGATGCGAACAAGATGAACAAAAACTCTATCGACAAGAACATGCTAAAAGCGGTGAAGGCCAGTCGACAGTCTTACATGTTCATGAAGAGGATGAAGCAGAGGCTGTTCAATCCGGAATTTACGGAGTTGATCGAGACAAAAACCATCTGGACGAAGCCGCTGGACGAGATCGACGCGATGGATTATCCGGACGCAGGAGATGCAAATAGCCAACAGTTTTACTACGAAGAGCCATCAAGTTCATCTGTGGTTCCTCTGTCCAAAGTTTTCGGAACCAAAGTCACCTACCACGTGGACGAGAAAAATTTAGATGACAGCGAGCAGCTCGTTCCCGCGGAAAAGAGGTCTCTCCGGAATAAATCGGTGGAACTGAAATCTAGCACGAAAACCCGGAAGCTGATGACCAATAGCAAACGACGCCAGTTGTCGCATTTACCACTACCCTCCGCGAACAAACTCCGGTCCTACGACTGGAACGTCGACGCCTTGCACTTGATCGAGGAGCTGACCTTAACCGAGTTGACCGGCTGGACGCAGCCCGAGCACAATGCGAACACCTCGACGTTGATTTACGAGGTGAACAAAAACCGGTGGCGCTTGTCCGTCGGCGAAGCGGAATCGCTTTTCGAAGGGCAGTTAACCGCCGGGAAATTCACGTTTGAGTGCACGACTGGTTCCATGACGGATCCGTGTTTGAGTGCGAATTTAGACCACTGGGTTGCGTGCGACGCCAGTTACATGTGCAACATGGAGCCGGAGCCGAAGTGGAAGTTACCAGCAGCGTCCGAGCAGGACATGTTCGCAAAGCAACTGGCGTATGACATGCAGCATGAGGACAACAACGCTTGCCACTTGCAAGAACCGAACAACAAGTGCACGACGTTTTACAAGCCGGAGTACCACTTCATCGAGAAAGCGCTAGTCCCCCCAAACGCATCTCCCAGTGCGAAAGAGGCCGCGAAGTGCAACAAAGACACGAACGACCAGAAGAGAAGAGACTCGCAGCTGTACCCCATCGTGACGAAGAACGAAAACGCGTGGATGTTCCAAATCGAGGACTGTGGCTTCCCGGGGGTTGACGGCTTGTACATCTACGACCCGGGGAAGGTTTTCTACATCGTGAAATTAGTCAACGAAACGGCCGTAAAGACTTGGGACACCCCCGCAAACGTGGATCAGACGGAATCGAGTTTACATTACTTTTCGAGGACAAACATTCGCGCGCACGAAGCCGGTAGTCACTCTGGGTATCATAGTGGGATCATCCCCAACAGCAACGAAAGAGATTCGGTGAACGGCATGACCAGGATCTACGAGCACATCAACGGTACGGCGATGATCTACTACGATGCGGTGAAGCACCAGTGGTTGATTCTCGGGAACATGACGGGGCAAATTCAACCGTGGTCCCGGAAATTCGGGTCTTTTGAGTCGTCCAAAATTTCGACTCCCCCGTTTGACTTGCACCGGAACCGGCACGACCCCCCAACGACGCAGATCTCATCTTCGGGAACTATTGTGACGAATCAGGACCTGAAGACGATCGGGTCCCTCGGGACCTGGACGTTCCGGCCCTCCAGCAAAACGGGCGCGGCGGGGGGGGAAGTGCTCCCCTATCACACGGACAGCGCGACGAAGAACTACGGGTTTACGCCGATGACGCACGAGCGGTTTGTGTTGAACGATTTGATCCCCGGGTACCAATACATGGGAGAATTTCTCCAAGGTCACCCCGGCCTCCCGATTCTCTTTTCCTGCAGCTCCAAAGTGGGGTACGCGGCTTTGTGCAACAGCAACTGGCGCGCGGAGCACCGGCAAACGGACGGACTGCCGCCGCCGAAGGTGAAGATGTTCCTCGGGCCGCCCACGGTGGAGGGCGTGGACTACTGGCACCCGGCGACGCAGAGTGACACGACCTTTCCGAACATTTTCACGATTGAATTACCCGACCACGAAAAAATCTGCAAGGAGGTGGTGGACGAGATCAACAGGGAGATTGGATTACCCAATTCCCACGCTTCCCGGGAGGATTTCAAGCACGTGGCCTTCATGTCCTGCATGTTCAACTACTTACCGGGGAAGTACGTGCGGACCGGATACCCAGAACGGGACCAGATTTTCGGGCAGGAGGACGGAACCACCCCAACGTGGCAGTTGGTCCATCCGGGTTTGAAGGTGAACGGCTTGGAACCGTGGTTGTTGCAAGTCGACCCGACTTTGGTCACGGCCGACACGGCGTATGTTCTCCGGCCGCCGAAGATGTGCAACGCGACGCACCCGAACGGGTTGACGAACAACCACGTTTGTTCGAACTGCGAAAACCAGGACGCGTTCTTTTGCCAAACGGACCACGTGAGAACGCTGTGCACCAACAGCAGCAATTGGCACGTCGCGACGGCCGCCGGTCAGCCGGGGGCGCAGCTGCCGTACGGGATGGAAGACACGAGTTCGATGACGATGGCTCAGATGTTTGCCGCGAAGCACCCTCTGATGTCACCAATGGGTGTTCCGAAATCCAAGCCGATTCTGAAAGAGGACCCGGACCCGGCGTATTACGTTTATTCCGGGATTTGGGTGGAATTCTACGGGGTGTACGTCGCGATGAACCCGGTCTCGTCCTTCGGGATGGTGGACGTGCTCATGCGGGGGAACAAGGCGATGACGGACCGGACGTGGTACAAAAATGTCCCAGCAAGCGCGATCAACGCGGACGGGTACACGATTAACTGGAACCAGTACTGGACGAGCATCTACGGGTCCACCGCCGACAGTATGCCGGAACCCCCCGCGCCCACTTTGAGCCTGGTCGAGCAGTTCGGGGGGAATGTGTTTGTGAAGGCGACCACGGACGTGAACCCGCAGCCGACGATCATGGTGTACAACCAAGCAAACCAGTTATGGGAATTGCGGTATTTGTTTTCCGAGACGGACTGCTTTCACCCCGTGTCTGGTGTTCTGATCGGGAGGTCGGAGGCGGTTTCCAGTGATTACCAGCTGTGTTTGACGAACAAACACCCGAGTAAAAAATTATGCCGCTGCGTGTCCCGCATGACCAAAGCGAGCGACCCGGTGTACATCTGTTACTCCCCGCAGAAAGAGGTCGCGCCCTGCGGGTCCGGCTGGCAGGTCCCGGCACCGTGCGACACGAACGCGTTCCGGACGACGTTTGGCCATTCTTGCGAATACGCAAAACAGTCACCCCCTCGACTCGCGAAAGTGCAGGGGCCGCAGGTGACTCGCGGGACGTTCGTCGAAGCGGCCGGGGCCACGACGACCCCGCCGCCGACGACCACTGGGCTACCGCCGACCACAACCGAGAATCCGAAAGTGGTTACGACTTACACGAACAACGTTGCGGTGTCCATGCAGTTCGACTACTTGCAGAACGCGGAGGCACCCGCGGCCACGGCGCTGCGCATCATGAACGACAACGCCATGAAATCGGCTTTGGAGAAGGGGTTCGCGGCGTCTATCGGGATGAACGAGACCAGGGTGACGATCACCTCGGTTTCTGTGCCCGGGACAGCAACGGACACGACAAGTTCAGACACGAGCACTTCCGATGCTGGCACGACCGGTAGTACAACATCGAGCACGAGCAACTCCACCAGACGTGAGCTTTTCACGGTCGACATGACGATTAAATCCAGGAAGGCAGTGGAAGCGATCATTGCAAAGGAGAAAGAGCAGGCCCGTGCCGCAGCGGCGGCAAAGACACCAGCATCAAGGCACCTCCAAGCCTCAACCAAATTCGAACTGCAAATCGACTACCGGATTCTGATCACATCCACAGACCGCACAACCACAATTGGAAAAGCGAATTGCTTGCAGTTAACGACTGAGCAGTGCAACGATTTGCTCAAAGAAGCCGTCGCCGCGGTCGACACGAACACGCTCACCACCCAGTTGATCATGGCGATCAATCTCTCCGGTTCGCAGCTAGCGAAGGACTTGTTGGTCCGGGATGTGTATCAAATGTAAAAATGTCTGGGTCTGGAAGATTGCCAGGTTTGTCATGCACATTTTGCATGACTCCTCAAGTCTGCGATGCATGCCCTAGCATCACAGATTTTTAGAGGGCTTCCTGAAGCCTATTCCGCATGACAAATGCTCTTTCCGTGCTGCAAAATTTGGACTCTCTTTGCTGCTCATGCAATACAGATTTTTTTAGAATCCAAAATGAGCATGACAAGTTGGACCCTTCCAGACCCAGACATTTTTACAGTTGATAATGTGTTGTCCAAACCGACCATGACCACCTCCATGGACAGCTTCATGACACTATCAAAAGGAAAAATCCCCCCTCCCCATATCGAAAAGGCACGCCTCAGAGAATTTGCGATGCTGATTTGTGACCACAAATAGCGTCTGTCTTGCAAGAAAGCAACGGCATAGGCTTGGCTCCGTTATGCAGTCGGTTTGTAATGCTGTCGGGCGTACAGCATAGACGTTCCCCATGCTAAGTGCCTAGGCCAAAGCCTCTCTATATTGGCACGATATGGGCTTGGAGTCCTCTACTGCAAGACAAATCTGATTTGTGTACGCAAATCCAGCATCAGAAGTCTCGTTCTGCTATGGGGAGGGGGATTTTTCCTTTTGATAGACGCAAACGGTCGACGAGATCTTCGCGGCCAAAGTCCCGGTCCGGCCGGTTTCCAAGATGCAGATCGCGTGGCGAGTGACCATCGTCATGCGGTTTCTGGACTGCATGAGCGAACTGGAGCTGAACGCGAGTCCGCAGCTGACGCAAGCGTTGAAGTTCTCGTTTCAGACCTCCTTGGACCGGATCGCCAACGCCAATCAGTACCAGGAGGTGCAGACCCAGGTGCACTGTTTGCTCTGCTCGACCATCGGGTGCGGGTTTTTGACAAGAGAGCTGGAGGAAGGGAAGGACAGCGCGAATGACAAAGCGGCTCTACCTTTACCGTCGCAGTCCAGCATGACAAAATCCAGAAGTCTCCAGGAGTCGCAGCAATCCCGGCACATCCACGTGGACGTGTTGCTCGTGTACCGGTCGGCCACCTCGGCTTTCGCCGCCTCTGCGGCGTTGGAGTCGACTCTGACGGAATTCGCGCAGTACCTGCACGAGGATTTGGCAGTGCAGCTTCCCGCGGGGATCTACACCGTGGAAAATGTGGAATCCGTCGGGCCGCCGCAACTCGGGGGCGGGGTGGTCGGCGAGTGGACGGTGAACTCCGCTCCGTCCGGAAAATTTGCTGGCGTGTCGGGCTCCTTCGGGTCCTTTGCTCTCGTCGGCATGATGGTGTTGTGGGTGGCGGTGCGCGAAATGCTGTTGTGAGTGGAGGAAAAGCGTGGGTGAATCGACGACGAGAGGAAATACGCTTGTTGTTCAACACCAGATGAACTTTTTTTGCATGATCACTTTTTTCACAAGGTTTATGGCAATTCTTTGTATGATTTTTGAAATTCATCTTCACTATACACAAATTTAAACCAGTTTGGCAGTGTTTCTGAATGTTTTGTACAGTAAGTTTGGCCTGAAAATGGCTGTTGTGCATGGGATTTCATTGCACGATGATTCTTGTTTTTTTGGCCGTAAGTAACTAAGAAATACACGAAGCAAAATCATAGTCCGAACCATGTATTCACGGAATAAAGCAACCATAGACAGCATACAAAAGCAGTATCTTCAGTACTACAACACTCTTCTTGATTAAACTCTGAAAGCAAGCCGGTAAGCAGCGAAGCAGGCTGAGAAAGCAGGAGCTAGCAACACTCTTCTTGATTAAACTTATGAAAGCAAAAAGACACAACCAGAACATCTTTATTTTTTGGCATTTTTTTCAGAGAACAACTTTGCATGACCAAAAAAGCCCACGAATAATTTTTTGAACTGACAACTTTCACTGGACTTTTTCAGATTAACATTCGATGAACATCAAAACTTTTTCAGATTAACATTTTTCATCTTTACCTTCGGTTTTCATTTTAGCATATTACATTAGCATCACATAAGCCTACCCGTGAAGATTTACGTAGCTTTCCCCAATCCACGACCCCGTCCCCTGATTATCCATCACCTTCAACCACGTCTCTAACCTTGAGAAGCGCAAAGCCAGCGTATCCCGTGACTCGTCAACCCTAAGATGCGAATCTACTTGAGGATGGCTTTGCGAACACATAAAAATCCCGAAAACAAATTCTCAGACCAAAATTGTATCGTATCCCTGTACAGTTTCTGAAAAAAAAAGACTGCGTCTCGTCCGGGCAGCCAGTGCTGTGCTGGGTGGTGGTTGGGCCTTACTTGCGGTTATGCCGAGGACATTTATGTCCTCGCGCGTGTTTCAAGATAAGTCCGTTAATTTTGCTTTTCTTTTTGTCTCGTCTTGGACCGGGAAAGAGCAAGCGTTTAGTTTTTTAGTTCCTGCTTGCACGAGCGAGGCAGCCTACGGAAGATTCTTGATCGTCCTTTGTGTAACTTCTACAACCAGAAAAATTAATTGTCGTCCGTGGGCGCAAGAAATCAGTCGGTCGTAAATGGTACCCTCGTGGTTGAGATCATACATCGTTTTCGAAGGAATTATGTGAAATTTAAGGGTCATATTTGTCTAGCCTGGGTCGTCTAAGTCTTTAAATTCAATGTCGTTTATTTGTCGTGATTCACTGTGTTGGTCTTGGTGGGCCGGTCGTAGTTTCCTCACAGTTCATCTTTGCCTGTTGCCACAGCAGGCCGCAAAGTAGTGCACGTAGACAGAGCCGGTGGAGGAACGACTAGAACTAGATCCAGGTGGTTAACATGCGCATGTCAATGAAAAAGTAAAAGATCGACTTGGAGCAGGAGACGTCGTGTACAATATCATGGTTTTCTCGTAGCTTCTCGTAGTGCAGCCGCCGAGTAGTTCTGTGTTTTTGTTGAAGATGAAGTAAGAAGCAAAAGAGCGCAAGCTCTTTTTGCATAAAGAAGATCAAAATCACTATCACCCCCGCCCGACTGTAAGAACATCAAACCATGAATGACTACACACGGTACCGGGCTGCGGTTACGCACCCGAACAAGACGCTGGACAAGATGATCCGCCACGAGGAGATGCAGCGCATGAAGACCCGCGTGCGGAACGCAAGCCCGGAAAAGGCGGTGACACTAGACCTCGGCCGCATCCACGTGAAGAAAATCGAGGCGTACGAGAAGTATCTCCGGCATGAGAGGCTGCAACGGCAGCAGTTCCACGAGCACCAGCAGTCCCTGCAGTCCATGAAAAGCCGGATACAAAAATCCAGTGCGGCGGTTGTCATACCCGCGCGGGCGATGTTGCTGCAACAAGGGACTAGTACGGGTTCGAAGAGTCGGAGTTCCTCGGCTCCTGGGACTGGTAACAAGAAACACAAACAAGGGAAGAAAGACCACAATAGTTTGAAAATCACAGGGGAGAAGAACAGATTAGCTTTAATCCTCGGGAATATCGTCCAAAACCTAGACAACTTATCGAAAAACGACGCGTACCAGGAGGATGAGCAAATTCGGGCGAGGATAAACGCCATCCGGGAAAAATTTACCGCGATCAAAACGCACATGCGGTACACGCAGGTGCACCAGGTCAGTAGTGAAAACGTGATCAATGACTTAAAAGTCCGCGCGGCGGTCGCAGCCGGGATCAGACGAGCGGAAAGCATTGTCGCGAAGCAGATGACGAATGCGAGTACTATGCGGGTTGCTGGCAGTGGTGAAGTAGATTTTGAACCAGCGCAGCAGGAGGCATCTCTGCAAGGAGCACCTGCATCTTCTGGTGTGCAGCAGTCTCAGTCACAACACCCACCGGGAACGCCACCGTTCCCGGCCACTCCGCCTGGAAGAGGAGCAGAAACAGCTGCTGTTTCAACATCCGGTGGCGCTGGTGGTACTCAAAGTGGAGGAGAAAATACAGCCGTCGCCGCTCAACAGGAGAATTTGAACGCAACTAATGTGACAAATGCACCAGCAACTTTCGCGGATCAACCACCGGTCGGGCCGACATTTGCGGCGCATCAAGCTGTAGTTCCAGCAGGAGGGAGTGATCAAAAACAAGTTCTAGTTGTGCTCACCCAGCCCGAAAAGTCATCCTCTTCCTCTAGCGGGAACAAGAAAGGAAAAGCGTCAGCTTCTTCTTCAAGTATCAACCCGAAGATGGGTAGCTCAGCAGGAGCAAAAGGAACGTCATCGGGTAGTAGTTCCAAAGACAAAAAAGACGGGAAGAATAACCCTGCTTCTTCGAAGGAGAAACCTTCCGCCAAGGAAGTCTGTGTCCTCCGGCACCAAGCCGCTGTGATTCAACAACAAGCGTCGGTCATCCAGCAGCAGGCACAGCTGATTGCGCAGGCCGTGAAGAATGACCAACTGCACGAAACGGGCGGCATGATGGCGGCGGCTCTGGACGTCGCGACAAACCAGGCGCAAAGGGGGCGGATCATGAACAATCAAGCCGCCGCAACCATGGCGGGGAAGGACTTCGGGACAGCTGCAAATAAAGCCGGAGGAGATCATCATAAGGCTGCTGGTGGGAAGAAGAAGCAAGACAAAAAAGACGGAAAGACCGGTCCGCTGGGGAAGAAGAACAAATACGAGCGTGCTGGATCATATCCACTGGAAATTTCCTGTACACAGACAGCATACAGATGGTGTTTCTACTACATCTACTGTATGGCGAAACTTTCATCTCTCAAACCTGTTACTGTTTAGCATGACAAGTCGGACGCTTTGAATATGGGGAAAGTAAAACTTCTATGCAATGATGCATTTCGCACATCATGTACGGGAAATTTATTGCATTGCATAGAGCAAAGTCAAAATTGGCACGCGTGCCGGAGGAAGCATCTTTCTCCCTCGCAAGTCGCGCCGGGACGGAATCTGTGTTGCATGGGGAGGAAGAGGCGGAAAGAGAACCGGTGGAAGCGGAGACCAGGCCAGTCAGTGCGTCCGAAGTGGTGGAACAGGAACCAAGGTAATTCTTATGGGTAATTTCAATTTGTGATGCTGGGCATGATGCATAATGCGAAGCTCAGTCGTGCAAGAAGAAGAACCGCATGAATTCATTTCAAACGAGACTTCTTTTATCGAACTTGAACCTGTAGAAAAACTTCTATCACGACATCAGAACCCCACCCATCCCGGACAACTTCAATCTGGAAGCCTCCCCCGGCGGGTTGGAAATGACGCACGTCGGCGGCAGAGCCGGCCCGATGGCAAAAGATTTAGTCCAGAACTTAGTCGACGGCGCCATTCGAAACGATGCCGACACTCCGGAGGACGATAGGTACGGGGGAAGGGAGGTAATCGATTCTGGCGATCAGCTGGACTCGGACAGGATGCAGAAGAGCAGCCCGAGAGTATTTTAAAACTACAACTAAGTAGTTTATTTCGCTTTTTGCTCGATTTTTGAGATTTTCTATTTTGTTTTTGCATCCCTAAATCGAAGAAAACTAAAGATCAATCTATCACCATTCGATCAGGTCGAAAACCAGAACACGCGGCACGCCCGACGGCTCGCGTCATCGCTATGGCGTTCTCAAACGTTACATTCTCAACTGATACATGGGTTTATGCAAGAACAGCAACAGTGAAAGCGGCAATATTGCAGCTTTCGCATCACAAATTTGCCACAAATTTTCATTTTGTTTAGCCCTTCGAAAATTTGTCATGCAAAGCACCTTGATCAAGTGGAGACCGATGGCAATTTTGCATGAAAAATCCGTGTAACAGTTGAGAATGTAACAGCTGAGAGCGCCATAATCGCAAGACACGTTTCAGCAAGTGGACCGACCTCCAATAGACCCGAGCCAGCAACACCAGTACTACGATCACCAAACCGGAGCTGTGGCCCAAGTAGAAGGACCACATCAAGCAGCAACTACACCGGACAACCTCACTTCCGCGCAATTAGAAAGTCTCGATGATGAAAACCAGCGGAACAGCGGGAGACGGGAGCAGCTGGTGAGTACTAGCACGAAGAAACCTGGCAAAAACAATGACCAACAAGACGATGAGGATGACAATGCCCAGATGGAAGACGAAGAAGACAAGGTAATCGAGCAATTTCTCGTGACGCAGGGCATCCCCGCGGGGTTCGACTACCGAGCCAGTCGGATTGAGGACAGGTTTTTGCGGAAGCAGGAGCTAGAATACGACTCGCCGAAACGGCGGAGAAATGACAAAGCGACGAAGCTGCTTTTGACGGATTTCCGGGAAGACTTGGACCAGATCCTACACAGGCTCACCCGAGCCCGTGCGGCGCAGGCAGTGGCGGATTTTGTGGAGAAAGCGCACTCGGCAGAAGACGATCGCGAGTTCGGGGACATTTTCGACAGGGAGAAGGACGGAATAAAACAGACGGAGCAAGACATGGATAAGTTGTTGATTCATCAGGTTTATCAAGTGCAAAAATGTCTGGGTATGGAAGAATACAAACTTGTGATGCGCATTTCAGAACACAGAAAAATCTCTCATGCATAGGCAGCAAAAGATGCCCGCTTTCTGTCACCAAAGTCAAGGATTTGTCATGCGGATTCGGCATTGCGAACGCTTCGCGAAACCTGTGTTGCTAGAGCTTCCATGCCAGCCCTTCTGTGTCATGCAAAAACAGCGTTACTCTTCCAGACCCAGACACATTTGCATTTCATAAGGTTTTGAGACTCACCGAGTCTCTCGGCGAGGTAGAGAAAGAGTTTTTGCAACACACGGGAGACAGCCCGGACGGGTCGCCTGTAGGAGGAGACGGTGCTGGAACTACAACTATGTCGAGGAACAAGCAATACCAACAGGTGAAAGTCCCTTCTTTGTCATTTCCCCCTGCTGCTGCAGAGGAAGAACTGCCCCCGGAGTTCGCTTTCAACCCCTTCGTGCGGATTACCGTGAACAATGAGTATGCATTGCAAAAGTATCGTACTAGCTATAAATTGCAATACAAATTGGCTCAGCATTACAAACTGAATTTGTAATGCGCATCTGCCTTTAGAAAAAGAGTTGTGATGCATATAAGCATAGAGCAATTAGTACGAGTGCGATACTTTTGCACAGGATACCGAGCACGATTTGACGAATCCGGGCGATTTGGAGAATTTTATCGTGGACATAGTGTGCTCCGACAGCAGTAGAACAAATCCAGACGGTTATGCTCCTGATGCCGCGAAAAATAACAGCGTCAGCGAGGAGGTTTTGAATGAGGACGTCTGCATCCGGCGGCAGTTCCTCGAGCAAAACCCCGAAACGGGCGAGCAGACGGAGTCAGCCCCTGCGATCGTGTATAACCTGCTCAGGTGTTACAATCTCAAACGATGCAATTGAATCTGGAATTTGTGTTGCATGATGAGCATGACAGACTCGCACAGCGTTCCACCTTTTGCAATACAAATTTCGCCAGATTCTAGTGCGGATTGGGCCTCCAGAACTTGTCATGCGCAATCCTGTGGGAGTAGGCTAGGTCATGCACTCTTGCATCACAGATTACCATATTCTATGTTAACGTTTGAGATTGTAACAGCTGAGCGCGCTATATCGTGTTTCACGGAAATCTGAAGGCCTGGTTCAAAACGGCGATCGGGAAAACGTTCGGAAACGACAGCTCGGTGGAGCAAATCGAGTTGGAGCATTTGGTGCGGTTGATTTTCCGAAACTTCTTCTCCCCGGTCGTGTATCAAGCCGTGTGGTTCAGTAGGTTTTCCGAGCAGGGAGACGCAAACGGGGCGACTTTCGGGGGCACGACCGGTAGTCCGTCCCCGTCGGGAAGAAAAAGAGCAGCGAGTAGTGGTTCCGGCGCAATAAATGCTGTAGAACAACATCAAAACTCTGTCGGCTATAGGATGAGAATCCCGCTGTTCATTGACTCGACGAAAGAGGTTCGGGTCAGCACTCTGGACGAAGCAGGTGCTGACCAGCAAGACGGAATAAACAACGGGGAACCAGCTGGTGCAGCCCCAGGAGTACAACAACCTTCGGACAGCAGCCGCTCAGGCCAGAGCAAGACAAACAGCACGCCGAGATCCGGCCGATCTAACAGTCGATCGCCGAAGAAGAAGCGGAAGAGATCGAACGCAGGGGGGAGTAGAGGACGGAAGATCGGTATGCAAGAAAAAAACTGTGTTAGTGGAGGTGTGTCTTCGAGTGGCAGCATGACAAACTCTCTGCATAACAGAGAAAGTTTGTCATGCACAGCAAGCTAGCACGTGAAAACTAAAAATGCATGAGCAGAGGTGGACTTCATGAGTGCTTGGCGCGACAAGTGTAACTGTTTTGCATTTTCCGCATCACAGACTTACACGGTTTTTTTCTTGCATGATCGGGTTTGATGAGGTAACCCAGGAAGAGATCATCGAGCAACTGGTGGAAATTAGCATTTCACCCAACGTCGAACAACAAGCTGGGGATATTAAGCAAGCCGTGCAAACTTGGAAAAAGCAGCACTTTTTCACCGACCGGTGTCTGGTTGTGAAACAAAACGAGGCCAGTTGGGTGATCATTACTCAACACGACACCCTCAACATTGCTCGGAACCTTTTATTGCTGCCGGAATCACCGCCGGACTCTGTTCTCGTCTTCAGTCATCGGGGACAGCAGGACTTGTCGTTCTTAAGCGGGACAGATGAGACACAACAACAAGCAGCACCCGGTGGAGCGCTTCTAGAGCAGAAAGTATGCGGAGTAAAAACATCCCCACCCCAGAGTCAAGATGCGGACTTTGCAACACAAACCCAGAAGTTTTGGGAGTCGCGCATGACAAATTGTAGTCAGTAGTGTAGTGCAGGGTGGCAAGGAGAGCCGCAATACAGATCCAGCTGCTCATCCTGTTTACAGCAATTACAAATGCCAAAACACGATTGGAAATGCCCCCCATAGAGATGCGCATTACAAATGTTCCCGTCGTCGCACATTTGCATGACAACTCTGGGGTGGGTACTTTTTTGGTGAGGATAGAAAGCGGTCCAAGCGCTCGAGCAACAGGAATTGTTCCGCTTCACTGCGCCGCCCCGGGGGAGCAACGAGAAGACGGTCTTGACGCAGATTGAGACGAAACTGAACAAGATTCTGGTGCAAGTTGGGGGGTTTGCGGGGACGAATTTAGCCGCGTCGAGTAGCGAGTGGGAACCGCCGGATGGGGGCTTCGACGCCGGGTTGGGGATGGAGTGAGGAGGAAGATGGATGAAGATTAATTTGGTTTTCTTGCTTCAAGGATTCAAGAAGGGAAAAAAACCAAAGTGGGGCGCATTTTTACTAGAACAGCATCCAAAGTGGGGCGCACTTTTATTAGAACAGCAGGACCGCCTATCACGCAATTCGGTTTTACACTACTTATTCTGCTGCACCACAGGCAGCTTAGAAATTCAAACAATAGCCTAATTTATTACAACTCATCTACTTTGTGACGAAGTTTTGTGATATGATGTATTTCCACAACATTCATGACTACGCACAGGTGCAGTAGCATTCACTTTCAATTCGCACTCTCTGACACCAATGGAACAGGAACACACAAGATGACAGATGGTAATGAACTACAGGATGAGCTTTCGCTTTCGCGCAGAACTACCTGTACCCACAACTACCAGTACTAGACATGGATTGACTCAAACATGGCTTTGTTTTGCCTGCTACACAGCATGAGCATAAGTTCCTACAACTCCGGCTTCGAAACGAAAAGCGGAGCAGCCGTGTTCATTACAGCAAGTGATTATAGACATCTTTAAATTAGTTGCGTCGCAAGGCAAGGGCGTATTTTTTTTGTGATTCAACAAAAGAACAGAAAAGCTCAATGCCGATGTCCTTGTCCTAGTCCTCTTGTCTTGAGAAATCATCGATCTGAAGATAAGTTTTATTAAGTTTAAAAAAACACAAAGAAATGCTATTTGTCGGTCTTTGTCGAGCGAATATATCTGCGAAATTGCAGTATCGGTTATAGCTATTTTTTCTGATACAACGTGGGACGGCGTTTTCTTCTTTTTTTTTTTTGCCAAAGAATCGATTTTCTTGATGGCCTCCTACAACAACAATCGGCGATTGGCAAGTAGACCTCGATGAAGATGCCAACTTATGACGACGTCGACGAGAGAACATGAAGAATACAACTTCATGGTGTGTTCGAAGAGGAAGACGAAGAGAAGGAAAAACAAAAACTTATTTTTTTGTAGAAGCAAGCGGACCATCACCATCACCATGAATGCAATCGATTCGGTGTACGTTCATCTCGATTATCATTTTCGTCCTCGGAATAAACTGGCACAAACAAGAACACAAGATTTTCTTTTGCATTTTCGTACACTGGTAAGACGACTCGCGGCTCTCAGTCTCCTCAACAGCGGTCGATGTTTGTAATTTGTTCGTCGATTGAAACAGCTCGCGACTAGCTGTAGAAAGTGTGAAGTACTAGTACACCATTTTCGGCGTCCAACAACACGACATTTGCAACACGTTCTATTCCCTAAAACAATATGAACGACGCGCCGCATTTCTAATTCGTCCGTAGGTATTGCGAGCAGAGAGAAGCTGAAGCTCCGATAATTTTTAGACCAGCAGCAAAGGTGATGAAACGCGTAAACGTAGTAGGACTCGTACAAGCTGCAAGAAGTAGAAGTGCAAAACGGACAAGGCAAGAAAGCTGATTCATCTTGTTTGAAAACTACTTTCTTCATCAATTTCATTTGCACGACCAAAAAACCCCCCCACAGGACATGAAAGGTGAAAAGAAGTGCGTGCAACCCACAAGTTGTCCACAAGTTCGAGTATAGTTTTATTCAAGTAAGTAAAAAAATTAAAATAACTGTTAGTTGTACGCAAGACAGTTCGTCTAGAAACCTGTTTATCAGCAGTATCGTTCAGTAGTTTTGGCTTGGATTACAGCAGATTTATCGAGGATTTATTTCGGAATACAACTCTACTTTTTTTGGCTAAAGAAACCTGTTTTGACAAGAGTACTTATTCTACTTGTATCAAGCTGCCTGTACAGATTCGCAGCTTCTGCAACAAAGTAGAACTTCTGAGTTTTTTTATCAAGAAATCAAGAATCTGAAATATCTGTTTTTTCCAACTCACCGAGACGAAAAGAACAACTAGTACATACTCTGGTAAGGCAGCTCTAGAGAACGTTTTGACATTAACATCTTCATCTACCACAACATTTTTAGTACTAACCTCAACCTCTATACAACCCTAACCCACAGCCGGTTTAATATTTTCGATTTGCACAGGTCTGCTTTCTGGAAAAGCAGCTACAGATCGTGTAATAGACTGGCTATTGTGCAGCCTCGGATAAGTAAATCTACAAAAAGTTTACACTACCCAGCACCCACTTTTTTTGCTGTAAGAAAAACACATCTTCATATCACGAAATAAAACCCTGTAGTTGTTTTGGCCAGGTGGAAGAGTTACGGGGGAAATAAGTAAATACCGGATCATTTGAGGGCAACAAGAGGTGCTGTCGCAGCTTGTATAAGCTGAGACCACATCAAGTCTGCCATATTTGTACAACTTCATCTCTAATTTGTTTTTTTTTTACCCAAAAGAAAAATGAAAACGCAAAGCATGGATGACTCTGTGATGGCTTCGACGGCGGCTCCGCTGTCCGGCGAAAGCTTTCACGACGATGTGGCGTTCGACTTCGAGGCAGCTATCAACCCGGACGTGACCAGTGTAAAGAAAAATAAGGTCACGGACCTCAGCTCCCCCCTGTCAAGCGACCATGAGAGCCAATACACCACGGGAAAGCCGGTATAGAACTTCTTTCAGTTTCTTGCATTATTGTAGTTGTATTTTCAATTGGCTTTGGCTACTACTTCTGTAGTGTAGTCAAAGTAGATGCAGCTTGAAATTGATTTTTTCGCTCTTCCATTTATTTCCAATCAATTTTGGATCGTCAAAGTTCGGAAAAAACACTAACCAGGCAACGAAGATTATCGAGATTCATCTCCCCCCGCCGCCGTCCCAGGAGATCACACGGGAAAAGTCGTTCACCCCGAGATACGGCACCAACGTGGTGTTCGACGATTTGAAGCCGATCGAAAAGACCCTGTCACCAACGACGTTGCTCTTCACCAGTGTCAGGCCGGGAGCGGGCATCGAGTGCTGGAAGATCTGTACTTTCGTTTTTCGATTGGTTTTTTTGTTGATGTTCTTTTCGATGGTTTCCATCATGTTCATGATGATCCAAGTAGTTGTTCTACAGCCGAGGAAAGGGCATCGCCATGTGATGCTTCGAATCTGTCTCTGTCATGCACACAGGCGTGGCTTGACCTTGAGCCGCTTTTCCCTTTGATGACATTTTTCTTCTGGTGCATAAAAAAAAAAATATCTATCATGCAAATAAAATCGTAATCACAACCAAAACCAAACTTTTCAGGCAACAAAATCATGTCTTTGTTGTCTAAGCGGCAGACGAGCGGATATGAAATGGACATGAAGATTCGGGGAACCACGATGTGCGTTAGCCAGCTCTCGCCGCCGTGCGCTATTACCTTGACTCCGTTCCAGGACCTGCAGACCAACCGTTTCGCGGTGGAATTTCGACGTATAGGATTTAGGCGAGTTTTGCTTATATTTATTTTACGGTAGCAAAAATAAGAAGAACAGCAACATTACAGCACCTGTTGACCAAACAGCTGCCCACATACAGCAGTACTAGAATGTGAAATAATTTTATGATTTGTCGTAGCTTTTGTTCAAGGAATCGCTCCCCAATACAAAAAATAGAAATACGAAGCCGAAGACGAAAATATTAAAATCATGAAATAAATACTACCAGGCGAGTCTGGCGGCGTTTCCACTTACTCCGACCTGTTTCACTCTGTGAAGCAGGAGCTGGTTACTGACCCGAACGTGCAGTTGGTGGAAAACGACGCCGATGAGGTGTCCACGGAGTCGAGTTTGGACCTGAACCTGGACTGGATGCCGGACTTCACGAACAAATCCGCCATCGACAGTGACGGGTTGGATTACGTCGCGCTGGACGCCGATTACGTCGAGAATAAGTGCAGCAGCCCCGAGCAGCTGTACAGCATGACGCAGTGCGGCTACTCGCAGGAGGCGGCGGAATTGTTGAAGAGCGTGCCGATTGAGTCCATGAACACCAAGGAGTTCTGGATGACGGTCAAGCTCCTGCTCGGCGCGGATCAGTCCGCGATCGCGGTCAACGGGACTCTCAACTACTGCATCCAGAAGACGGATATGCAATTTGCAAAAGTGATAATGTTGTCGCACTCGTAGTAGCATTAGCATGTTTATTCTGCAGTCATGCATGACAATATTACCACTCCGTAGAAAAATCAGCATTACAAATTCTGTTTTTCATTCTAAAAAAATTGTATTGCAATTTCTACTATATGCGACGCTTTTGTAAAAATGCATAACCAAGAAGAACCCGGTGTTCGGCGTGCAGCTGGTCGAGGTGGGTCTTGGCCGCATGGCGGCCGACCTGTGCGCCCTGGAGAGTTGCCAGAGCATGTCGATTATGCACTGCAAATGTGTCTGGGTCTCCTGGAAACTTGTGATGCATGTCACCGAATAATAACCACACTGTAATGCACCGCCAAGCATGACAGATTTTTTCGTGGCTTTGTGTTGCGTATACCGCATGAGAAACATCGTTTTTGCATGATAAACTGCGTTTCGTTTTCCGCATGGCCAACTGCGTTTCTGCATGACAAACTGCGTTTTTGCATGACAATCGTGCTCTTCAATGTTCCTTCTGCGAGCAAGATCTAATCCCTTTTTTGGTGTTTACGGTTTTTTCACGCGACGGATCTAAATAGAGTTACAACCGAAAAAGAAATGATCTCTATGCATGACGACGGGGGCCTCCAGTAGTGGATCACTAGCAATTTATACTTCCATCGGGGAGATAACCTCGAAAACAAATCTTCATTGTTTTTTTTTCATTTTTGTTCACCCTCTTCTAGCGCTAAGAAGCCTCCGTCGATCCTCTTTCCCGAAAAAGGTCCAGTTTTTACCCCGTTACTACTCGCCGTGGAGTAGTTTTTTTTTTTTGCGCTTTTGGATCATTAACTTAGTAGGCCCCTAAAGTGGGAAAAGACAACAAAAGCAAAGCTTCGGCCCCAAGGCGCGCAGATTGTCCGTCCCCCCCCTTACAAACTTGGACCCCAGGTTCTCCTTGCGCCGCACCCACGACAGAGCAGACCGGAAAGAGGATCCGCGCCGAAGACTTTGCATGAAAACAGAAGAAAAAGGGACGAAGAAATCAAGTCCGCAAAACATATGCACGACATGTGAGGCCACCAGTGCGAAACCTCCCGCGGAGTTTTTGCCTAACTTAGCCTGCGATCATGGTCGTGAATAGACCCGAAAAATTTTTCATATCCGGCAACAGTTCGCCGAACAGTCCCAGCACCCCCCAGAGTAGCCCCCCCAACTACTCGCCCGAGCCAATGATCCCACTCGTGCTTTGCACCAACATAGGATGGGCTCATCTTCTCGCTTCCGGGGGGTGCAAATTGGTATCTAACCGACATTGTGCCAAGAGGAGGGCCTCCCCGGGACCGCCTGGCGAAAGCCTGCCACGGGTTTCACTGTCCACGGGTGGCGTTGCGGGTAATCCTGGCGAAAGCCAAAAACCGGCAGAAAATGGGGCCACGGAAGAGTTCTTGCTGGACATTACCAACATTTGCCCATGCAGAGCCGTCCTCTTGCCGGACACAACCAACATCTGTCCGAAACAGCCTAGGGCCAAGACGACACCGTGAGGACGACCACAGGGGGTTCGTCTCAATGATGATGATGATGATGATGATGATGATAGACAAGAGGAGGTCTTCGTGGCCACGCAATACAGAGTTCAGAGTCATGCCAAACTAGCATGATAAATCTCGCAATCTTCCAGACCCAGACATTTTTGCATTTGATAGCTTTTGCGCGCAAGGCGATGGCGTTGCTCAACGTGCTGGCGCACTCCTTGTGGCAGCTCCCGAAGGAGGAATACGTATTCATTGATAAACAGTTGCGTTTTTGTGTTGATAATTTACTCACGGAACGCCGGGCCATTTCAGCTCGTCTGAGATCCCAAAAAGATCCTATCAAGATCCTGGCCGCTGGGCTACTTCCGCGCCCCGAAATTACGAATCAGGCCCAATGTTTTGGCCTTCGCTTTGCCTCCTTTATATAGCAAATTCGCGCGGCCTTTTCTGGGCGTGTCGCATAGCTGCCGAGCCTATCCCGAGAGCGGCCCTGTTTGGGAAGCGCGATTTTTTTTTCCTGTTGCGGGGGTATGTCGGTACTTTACGGCCACGCAAAACTTGGCGCGGGCCAGCCGTTAGGGAACGCGCCGCCCGCCGCGGCCAGCGTGTCGCTTTGCCTCTCCTATCTGGTGTGCTTCTGTAGTTTTTTCGTGGTAGTCGTGGACATTGGGAAGGGGGTGGCGCAGAGGTATTTCGACTGCAGGCATTCTACCTGCCCAGCATCCGGGAGCCCGCAGAGGGGCGATGGCCTTTGGCACGATGCGGGGGGTGCCAAGTGTTTTGCTTCTTGGGGTCGCGGGGATCGGCAGGCCAATCCTGCAGAGAGCGTGTCAAGCAAGGGTGGGAGTTGTCTCCCCGCGGCATAATTTTCGTATTCAGGAGCATTTTCCAGTGGAATTCGGCCGGGCATGGGGCCACTTTCCGGAGTTCATGGCCGCCGCCTCCATTTTCAAAAGTTCCGATCAAATGCCGAACAAGGTCCTCTCAGATGCCTCTTTTTTTGCGCCGCCAAATCCATAGATTCTAGTCGGGGGAGAGGCCAGGAGAAGCGGCAAAAAAAGTGTCCTCTGGACAGGATCTTGATCGGAACTCTATCGGATCTTGAGCGGAACTTTTTAGGAACTTTTTTCTCGCCTCTGAACGGGGAATTATTCACACTGTGGCAGCTCCCGAAGGAGGAATACGTATTCATTGATAAACAGTTGCGTTTTTCTTGTGTTGATAAAGGAAGCTGCATATTAGATAGAAGAATATACGGCTGTATTGTTATGCAAGAACACAGATTTTATTCGTGCGTCGTGATGAATTACTTGCGATGTAGTTGCAAAAAGAACCCAAAAATTCGAATCACTTTGAAAAATACAGACCGAGCCCCTGGTGGAGGCGGTGAAGGATTTTATCGCTGTTTTGGAGGAAGACCGTTCCATGGAAAAGGAGGTTTCCGAGGGAGTGCAGAAGGCTCAGGGTGTGGTGCAGGAGTTTCTGGAGGCGACCGCGAACCAGGCGTAGAATAGTATTAAACACCTGGAAAAATAAGAACAACATGCACCGGTCGGAAAAGTAATGAAAATCTCCATCCTTCCAACAAGAACAAAACAAGCTCTTGGCACTGAAAAAGAACACGACCCAGCAGCAGCTACCTAATCCTCCGTCAGCAAGAGTTATGATCCACCTATCAGAACAACAACACAAGTATACAGCAATTATAAGATCTCGGCCCGCACGTAGTAAGTTTATTCGGGGGCTTTCTTTATCACGGTCGAAAGGCGACAATCAACACTCGCAGTAGGCTTTGTCTTAGGGAAAGATTTCTGAAAAAAAGTGTGGACGAGGCTCGAAGTGATTCTATGAAAACCTAGAATCTTCCTTAGTTTTACAAATTTTGCTATCGCGCGACGTCTTTCGTCAACTAAAATCCTGGTCGTAGCAGGGTTGTTGGCCACCGTATAAAGAAGTTAGACTAAGATCGCGTAGGGCAGAATTCAGAAGGTGCAAGCGGTTTAGTCGGTGGGCACTCGTACTCGTCGAGCAGAAAATTGCACTAGTACTTCGCTTTTCCGAAAAATAGCAAAAATAAAAAATATGGATGAAGTCAAACAACATTTTTCACATTACTCTATCAATCTATTCTAACTCTTAAAAGCTTTATGTTTATATATGATGCGAAAAACCAAATATCAATAAAAAAGCAATTTGATCAACTTTCACGGTTGTTGGTAAGAATAAAATCCTAGAGCAAAAATTCTGTATGTGGGCTTGTTGCTGCAAATCAGTAGCGTTATTCTCTTCCTACTTGTAGTAACAAACCCGGATTTTTTCTTTTTTTTCAAGAACTAGATTTTTCCACGACCGGAAGAAGAAATTTACATAAATCTCCTATCTCAGCTGTAGAGTTGTTCTATCACAGTCTGAGAACAAAGGAGATCAATATCCTGCAGCTCGCGCGTTGGCGTGTATCGTTTTGATCGACGTACTATCGGGGGAAATAAAATTTTAGTACTCGTTTATTGTCTTCATTATGTTGGGGAGTAGTTTTAGTTTAAGACTTTGGAAAACCACACGCAAGCCTTAAATGAACAAGGTCGCGGACGGTAAAAATAACAGAAGGTCTCGCACAGCACAAGAACACAACAAGTAAGAACTCTCCTCAATTTATAAAGATGATACAGAGCAGCGAGTCTACTGACTACGCAAGAGAATCATATTTGTACAAGATCGGAGAAGAGTTAGCGGGCCACCATAGATACATAGGACTTGTAGCGAGGTAGCCGCCGCCCAACTACTTCTAGACGCCACGTCTGCTTTGATGAAAGGCAGGCCGATTTTGACAAATTGTCATTGTCTTGCTACGGGACATCGAGAACGGCCGCGACATTTGTAGTCTTTGAAAAAGTTTTTCTATAAGGGCCCAAGCCACAAGTTGCTTGCCCAGCTTGTCTTTTTCTTGAAGTAGCGCTAACCACGTGAGGAGAAAGCAAAAACTTTCAAGAGGATTCCACGTGACCACTCACAACAAACAAACAAACAAGAATGAAAATCCAATGCATAGGCCACTTGAAAATTCTTTATGGAAAAGCGAAGAGCTGCAATTGATGCAAGAACTTCTTTATCAAAGCGTTGTACTTTGTACATTTATTGATAAAGAGATTTCGTCCTATAGATTTTTACTCTACTCCATCTATAGTGCCGAGGTTAATAGGTAAACATCAAGCAACAAGCATCGCCACCAAAATTTTGTGCAGTTCACTGCAATTTTTACATTGCTATTGTAATATTTCATAAATTTTCAACATCGTCAAGCGCATCTGCGGACAGAGCTACGAGTTTTTTTTATCTGTGGCTGCTGTAACATTGGAAGCAGGCTAGTAATTGTGTCGTTGTGTAAAAACGGTTCCTGGCGAATTGAGTTTTTACTCTATCCACTGCGCAGGCAACACTTCTTGTTATCAGCTGACAGAAAAGCTTGTAGATGTCGCGTTTGAGGAGCATTGGACAGACTGTTTCTTGACTTGTAAAAATATTTTTAGTATTGTACTGCGTTATTGACTTGGATACCAAGGTTTTGTCAAAAATTTCGATGCTGCTTATTCAGTTGCGAAAACTGGGTCGGGAAAAATTGAAATGCTGTATCATCAGCTACACCTCGATACAACTTGCGCCCAAAAATAATCGAAATTTAGGCAATTCCTTGTGAAAAGCTACAGGCAAAACAAAAAATCCTCCACCCTGCGAGATTAGCATGTGACAAGGGTACTATTCATCTCTGAAAGCCAAGATCAGCGATTCTAGTGAAGAAGCTTTGAGGACAAATGGATCGAAAAAACATCGAGACTGATGTGTAAGTACAACAATTCACCAGCAATAAAGTGCATTTCTTCACAACAAATCCATGGAGTAGGAGACCACAGACTCTTGTTTTACTAGTCGGCAGCAGGTCGTGAAGCTTTTTTACCAGCGCCGGGGGTCATAGTAGTTATTGGATAATTTTAGAAAGTTGACAAAAATGTTGACCGCATCCAGAAAATTTCTTCGTCTAAGACCAGCTCTGAGATGAAGTGGTTTCTTGGTGGAAGTCGAAATTATATCTAGTAAAACTGTAGATCGACTACACGCAAAAAAAAAATCTTCACTCCGATGACTTCTTACGATCATATTTTTCATTCAAAATCCGCTCCTTTAACTTGATGCTAGTCTCGAGGATCGTCGTTTGTGATGGTTCTTGGGTACTATGTTCTATCTAGAGCGGCGTAGTTACAGAACGGAGCAGTAGCGTCAAAACTTTAGTTTTTTGGTCACTAGTTTGCTGCTCTCGGGGACGAGGAGGAAAAAGCTAATCTGGACGATGAACAAAAAAAATCATCGTCGAAGACGAAGAAGCATAAGATGACAACAACTACGGGTTTGAAGATATTTCATAAGCAGAAATCGAAGGGACGATTTTCAAGAGGAGACAACAGGGTAGTTTTACTTCTACATGGCGAGGGCAAAGACCACAACTCTACACCAATAGCCTAGTTGAGAACCTCCGGCGCAAAACATGTAGAATTACCAGACACAACCCAATAGCTAGGTAGATCTTTTGCAACATCTATGCACGAGGTTTATGTTGTAGTAGGGCTAGCAGATGAACTAGAAGAAACCCAAATATGAAAAAAACACCCTGAAGATAATATGCTGCAACACTGCCTGAAGATTTTTTACGGAGACAGAACAACACTCTTGCTCTTCCTAGTACCAGGATGCACATAAGTACTATCGAGATAAGTCTCTAAAACGAAATCGGTCTCGACATGAGAAGAAGTTGATCTTCGCAACTTCATCCATAGACCACGGTTTTCAACATGAATATTAGAATTTTGTGGTGTAGGAATAGCTAATAAATAGACAGATAGAACATCATATTTTCAATATTGTGCAGTTACTACTATCCGTCGATAATTCGTTTTGAGTTGCGACAATTTGAAAGACTTCATTTCACAGTTTTATCTGGATTTTTAGCTACACACACAAAAATTGATACTTTTACAATATCAACAAAACCGGTCGTATGAATAGGGGAACAACAACAAATGTTAAACACATGATATTTTGGGTCATCGATATGAATTCTTTGTAAATAAAGGAAAACTTGTGAAGAGTGAAGAGAAAAAAAAAGGCTGCGCTTTCGCTGCAGTCGGACATTCATCGTCGTGGCCACCGCATCTGTCGGTGTGGTGGTCGTGCTGATGGAGTTTTAGCCCGAGATGCCAATGCCAAGGGTCGTGCTGTCTTCGGCATTTTGATTGTGTGTTCTGCTGATGTCGTCCAGTTGGCTCGTGGTTATCATGTCGTAGGAAATGTATAAAAAAAGTCGCTTTTCCATCTAGCTACTCTGTCGGCGGGACCGGACGTCGAAGCGCACTTCTTTCGTGGAGTGAAGTTTGAGCCGATTTTAAGTAAAGAGGGATCTTCAGCATCAGAGACGAAGAGCGAGTAAACAACCAAGAAGCCCTGCTTTATGTCGGCAAGAACACGAACAAAGTTTAAGCATGAAGACCCATAAGTTAAACAAATTGGAGTTGGATTCCATTCGCTCTCTTCGGCCTGTCGTCGTCTAGAGGGTAAGTACCTGGATATGTAGTACTGGAAGTGACGACACAAAACAAGATCATCAACGACGAACATCGAATAGAAGACCAAGAAGCTGCAACCAACATGGGTCGTATCGAGCCTTTAAAAGCTTGGGACGAAGAGCGTGTCGGCAGTCAGATCGACCTCTCCGCCGACAGAAAAACCGCAACGAGATATGGAAGTGTCAGGTTTGAAATCGACAAACACAAAGTTGAAATGATTTGCCATGCATAAAATGCAAGGCATGATGAACATGAAGTGCCTGTCTTGCCGGGATGGCAAGTGGGGCCGATTGTGAGCCTGTTTAGGGTTTGATATAGAGCTGCTAAACTAGCATGACAAAAGCAGTCCTCTGCGCCCAAACAGCATGACAAATTGGATTCCGACGCTCGGAAAATTTGTCATGCCCCGCTTCACAAGTGGGCTTCCTACTGATATCGGTCTTATGCATGACAAACTTAATTATTTCAACTTTGAGTTTGACGATTTCGATCCTCACACATCCATACGAGACAAGCGGAAACGAACCCGAGAGGGTACGGCTGTTTGTTGTATGGGAAGCAGCAGCTGGGAAATTACGCGGAAGGAAGGTACTATCAAAAGTAAAAATGTCTGGGTCTGGGAACTTGTGATGCTGGGTCGCGTCTCATGATGAGGCTACAAATGGTGGCTCAGCATTACAAGTTTCTGAGCTCCTAGGTGTTGCCTATTCTGCATGACAAACTGCGCTTCTGCATCACAGAAAAGCGGAGCTCTTGGGTAACGTGCATGACAGATTTAAGAGTCATGCCAGACAAGCATGACAAACATGAACTCTTCCAGACCCAGACACTTTTACAGTTGATAGGTACAACTACATCACGATTTATAAGTCGTAATTCGCGAGCAGCCCGAGCGCGACCTCGACGTGTAGTTATTTTTGCAGATACTACGCAAGAACTCCACTGTGAAAAGACGTCGAGGTGGAACCTCTTCGAGTGCATTTATAATTTGAATTGCGAAACAAGTAAATTTACACGTGTGAAGAGGTGTGCATTGAAAAAAATCTTCCACCACATCATGTTCTTGGACCAATTAAAAGACCATATATTATAATTTGTTGCTTTACGGACCTATGCCTATGCTCCTGATCACAGGTTTGCAGAAGTGATAATCCACCAGCAGGGCACGCGGGCAACAGAATCTGAATACCACGCCGGCGGTGTGTGCTATCAAAAGGAAAAATCCCACCTGCCCATACTCGAAAGGTATATTTTTGAAATATTTGTGATGCTGATTTGTGGTGACAAATCGTGTCTGTCTTGCAAGAAGGGAAGAACTCCGCCGGCTCCGCCGCATTATGCAGGCGGTTTGTCATGCTGTTGGGCCTACAGCGCGGACGTTTTTCATGCGAAGCGCCTAGGCCAAAACCTCTCTGCCCACGCTTGATATGGGCCTGCAGTGCTCTCCAGCAAGACAGGCCGGATTTGTGTACACAGATCCAGCGCCAGAGATTTCGCCTTGATATGGCGAGGGGGGATTTTTCCTTCCGATATGTGCATCGGGATAACCAAGTGCAAGCCGGCGGACTACAAACCCGAAGAGGTCGGGCGGTCGATTTTTCACGTGCCGGACTCTTGGGTGGTAGACACGTATATGCATTGCAAATATCTGGGTCTGGAAGAATGCAAGTTTGTCATGCTTGTTTGGCATGACTCGAGAATCTGTGTTGCATAGGCACGAAAAAGCCCTCTTACCTGTCATGCAAAAACGCAGTTTGCCATGCGGAATGCGTAAGATATGGCAGCCAAAAAATTTGTCATGCGTAGCTGCGTATTCATTGCAGTGCGTCTATCATTCACTTTCAGCATTACAAGTTTCCAGACCCAGACACTTTTGCAGTTGATAACGTACGGCGACCTGTACCGCGTACCCCCGAGAAACGAGTGGCCCCCCGACACGCTGAATGTCGCGGAAAAGCAGCCGATATGCATTGCAAAAGTATCGTACTCGTAGTAATCCTAATCGCAATTGTGCATGGCACATCTCTTTCTCAAGGTAAATCAGCATGAGAAATTCCATTTGTAATGCTGAGCGAATTTGTAATGCGATTACTACTAGTACGATGCTTTTGCATTTCATAGCCGAAGAGCGCCAGCGTGGAGAAATACGATACCTACGCCCTAGTGAAGGACGGAGACACGTACTCTACTTTTGATACGGATGTTGAAGAACTACCGGAATAGTTTCAATCTGCAGGACTCCGCAAGGAGTGAACGTGTCATGCTGAAGAAGATGTTGCACTTAGATCGATATTTCTACTTCTGATGAAGATTTATTTTGCAGATTGATGATGTCGTCGATGTCAGCCTGCCCACGCGAGGACTTCTACACATTCCACAAAATAATAAACAAGGCTCGGACTCCTCCTCCGACCTGACAAGACATTAAAACTCTACTGGAACGGCAAGCACATGGCCGACCTGCCAATAGAAGGGTTTGAGGTCATATCGTACGAAAAAAGTGTTTCACTGTAAGGATCTTGCAAGTTTTGCATCACAAGTTTGTTCTACATCACAGAGAAAATCTAGCGTCTTGCATGTTTAGCAAGACAAACACTTCTAAGATACAGCTTCTGCATTACAAGTTTACAGTGAAACAGTTTTTTCTTGCGATAGGTCACGCAAGAGGTTCGACTGATCGTGGAACTTCTATGGCGTTCTCAAACGTTACATTCTCAACTGTTACATGAATTCGCGTTGCAAGAATCGCAAAAGTGAAAGGAGGGACCTTGTGCGTCTTTCATGACATTTTTGGCACAGATTCACTTTTGGCACAGATTCTCAGCCTGTTTGGCCCTCTGAGAATTTGTCATGCGAAGCAGCTTGATGGCGTCGATGGTCAAGGCAATTTTGCATGGCAAATCATGTAACAGCTGAGAGCGTAACAGTTGAGAGCGCCATAACTTCTCGGCCGAGCAGAGGGCGCGACGGTGAACACAGAAGCAAAAGCGCCGGAAATACCACTACCACCCGAATCCAGTACGGAAGACGAGGGCGGGAAGTGAAAGAATGGCTCGAAGAACTAGATGCTTTTCGTGGACGAGTGCGGTCTCTCATCTTCAGAGGAATTTAGATTTACTACTTAGACCAACTTTCACGTCTTCCTGCCCTTGCCCAGGTCTTGTTCTCGATTTTTTTCGCGTCGCTTTTGGCGGCACAGAAACTGGAACTTTTATTCGAGAACACAGAAAGCCAGTACTTCTTCGCACCAGCAAGAGTGCCACAAGCAACGCTTCGAGGACATCAAGGCTCAGAAGTCTGCCTGGGTTTAAAATGTCCGACTCGCTCTTACACAGGCGAGTGCACGTAACTACAGATATTTTGCAGCGTCTTGCAGAAGTTCACCGATTTTTTGTGCCCGCAAGATGATGAATTTCTGTTCCGTGTCCCCACGGATCGAGGATTACTAAGGGCTGAGTTCATCATTTCGCGGAGAGGGAGGGACGCAACGTCGCAACTTCGACCACGGCATCTGAGACCCTCGCGCTCGTCGCCTCGTCGTTTGTATAGAAGGTTAAGACAGTTTACAGTTCTCTAGAAGTAGAAAGTAGTATAGTATGGCGTTGAGTAGACGGATTCCCCGCGTGTTCTGCTATTTCAGCGATTTAACAAACTTTCCAACAACCGTGAAACTTTGACACACTTTAGGAACGGATAGTTCGAAAGAAAGGCATTGATTTACAATTTACTAAACTTCTTTTCAACATCACCTGAGCGTCTCACGACCAAGTTCTTTTGCCTTTGCGTCCCGCAAGACAGATCAGACATCAACATGCCCACTCGCGACGAGGAGATTCATTTACACCGAGAAATTCGGCAGACCGTAGCGAACTTCCAGCACCAATTCGTCGGCACCGGCCCAGCTAGTAGCAGCTCTAGCTCGATGTTTAACATAATTTCCGGTGGCGGTGGGTCTAATTCTATTTCCGCGGCCCAGACAGGAGGTCAGGGACTTCCTGTTGACTCGCAGCAGCAGCAGCAGCAGAACTACTACAGTTCCACGGGTAGGGTGCGAACCAGTCCGAAGAAAAATAGCAGCTCAACATCCTCGTCCTCATCTTCGTACAAGAATGCTGCAATGTTGCAGCACCTCCTCTCGGTGGAACAGAACGAAGAAATGAAAAGGGACCAGGAAGAGGCAATTTTGTCCGAGCGGCTGCAGGACCGGCAGAAACAGAACTACTTCGAATACGGGGTGAAGTCCGTGCTGGAGCGGTATATGGAGCTCGGGCAGAAGAGCATGAACCTGAACAACAGCCTAGAAAATAACAATGCGGACGCCGCCGGCGGCGCGCTCCCGAGCATCAACCACGCCGAATTACTGCAGTCGTTGCAGGAAGAGGAACAGGAGCTGCGGCGGGAGATTGCGGCCGGCGAGATGGAGATGGAAGAAAGGCAGTTGAAAGACAGAATGAAATATGCAATACAAATTTCCCGTACATGTACAAGATGCATCACAAATTTCACCAATTTGGAGCGTAACGCTTGTCATGCTAAACTAGGATCGAAGCCCAATTTTGTCATGCAGAGACTGCATTCGTACGTGAACGTGTGCGGGAAATTTACTGTGGATATGAAACTGATCGAGATGTTCGCGGAACAAAATCGGCAGGCTGTGGAGTACGAAAAAATGAAACGCGAATGCGAGGAGATGTATCCTGTGCAAAAGTATCGTACTCGTATAGCAATAAAGCATTACTACACCTCAAGGTAAATCAGCATTACAAATTTTATTTCTCATGCTGAGGAAATTTGTAAAAGCATTTATACGAGTGCGATACTTTTGCACTGCATAAGATGGCAAAAGGTACGATAATGTCGTGATCTGTGGGGCTCCAACTTGCTGAGATCTACTTCTAGTTCTACTAAATTCAAATTCAACCACCAGGTGCACCCCGTAAAGATGTCTGTCATGCGTATAATTACAAGGCTAAGCAAGGATTGTGGAGTTGCAGGAGCAGAAGCAGTTCATCTTTTATTCACGACCACTTCCTATTTCCTGCATCTTTGCATAACAAAGCCAGAGCTCCAGACTCTTCACTATCACTTCGTATGCGCAAAAACTTGTCGAGAAGCTTTTTTCAACTCGACTTCTTCAGATCTGTCCCTCACTCTGACCTCCGAGCAAGACGTTGTGGATAACCACCACCAGCTGCAACAGGATGAGAATTACGACTTGGCGTACCGCTATGGATTTGTCAGGATCGAAATCGACAAAGTTGAAATGATTTGTCATGCATAAAATGGATGCCAGTTGTGACCCAGTTTCCAAGTGGCGCATGACAAATTTGGGTAGAGCCGAGACCCAGTTTGTAATGCTGTTTGGGTAAGGAAGACGCCTTTTGTCATGCTACTTTAGCAGCTCTATTTCTACCCCTCAACAGGCTCACAATCTGCCTCCCTTGCCTACTCTGCAAGACAGGCACTTTGTGGGTTGCATTTTATGCATCACAAACTATTTCAACTTTGACGATTTCAATCCTGACGCTTCCATAACCGCGAGCAGCTTCAGCGGCAAATCGCCGAGGACGAGAAACTGCTGCAATCCCTGCAATATCAAATGCAAAAATGTCTGGGTCTGGAAACTTGTCCTTGTGATGCTGGTTGAGAAAGACGCGGACGCCTCAATTGACTGGCAAGCATGACAAGTTTTGGAGGAGGTGCTATAGTCTTGGCTTTTCTGCATGACAAAGTGAGCTTCTGCATGACAGAAAAGTACGGCTTTTGGGTAATGTGCATGACAGACTTGCGAGTGATGTCAGACAAGCATGACAAACTTCCATTCTTCCAGACCCAGACATATTTGCATTTGATATGCAAGAGGAGGCACTGCACCTGAGCACGGAGGAATCCCAACTGGAGCAGTCGATGTATGGGATTCTCAAACGTTACATTCTCAATCTCAAGTGTTATGCGATAATTTGTCATGCAAAGTTACCATATGATTATGTATGAATGTATGCCGCCACACGATCTATCGAGGTGCTTCGCATGACAAACTCTCGAAGCGGCGCTAAACAGCATGGAAATCTGTGCCAAATTTGTGATGCGAGAGTCGCAAGGCCGCCCCTTTCACTTCTGCCATTCTTGCATGATCATAAATTCATGACGCTGTAGTTGAGAATGTAACAGTTGAGAACGCCATGCGATGTTTTCGGCGGAGCAGAAGAAAGAGGAAATGCAGGGCCTGCTGTTGAAGCGCAAAGCGCTGCTAGAAGAAAAGGAGGAACTGGAGCAGATCAGGGAAGGGTATGCAGTTATTCTCATTTTTTTTTGCTAAAGTTGAACATGTTCGTTGAGCTTGAGATGAACTTTTGTAATGCTGAATCTTGCATTCCGGGTGATTTTTGTCACGCATAAGATCAACAAGTTCAAGATGCTAGTACATCGTAATCATCTGCAGGTATCAAAGCGACCTGCGCCACCTGCAAATCGATGTCCCGGTGCTAGACCATTATCCAGTGCAAATTGATATGTCTGGTTCTGGTTCTGGGTTGTAGTACTCACTTCTGTTACTGGTTCTCGCATCGCAACGAAGCCACTTGTACGACATGACAGCATCAGAAGTTATTTTGTCAGCCGTTTGCGGATTTGTTATTCGTATTTGCAGCACTACAAAACATTCCAATTGGCCAATCGTATTCAGCATGCATAATACAGATGATCTTGTTGTCCTTGAAGTCCTACAACATCACAAACCCAGACCCAGGCACATTTGCAATGCATAACCACACTGGCATGACGATTTCCCTGAGCGGGGTCACCCTGCACGTCCCCTGGCGCATCGCTGGAGTAGATGCAACCGACCATGGAGAACAACAGGAAGGATTACAAGGAGAACAGCAATTTCATCCAGGAGGTGGCGGCGGCAACTGGGTGACCGAGGAGGGCTATGTGAAGAAAACCGCACGACGGCCGGGCGACCGAGAGTTCGAGATTACGCAGGCGAAGGTGCTGAACCACCCCGAGATTCAAATCCGGGATCTGATCGAGGGGGAGGACTTGGCGGGCTTGTGCGAAAAAGTCCGTTACCGGTTTTTTTTACAGAAAGAAACAAAGATTTGAGACGCGGCAGGCTTCTGTTTCTGAAGCAGCAGAGCGCTGATGCTGAATATAGCGAAGATCAAGATCTATGTTTAATCCGACTTCTGGTTCTGCTGGTCTAGAATTACAGTACTTAAAACAACAACTTGTAGGGTAATCCTAATCCGCAGCTCTTGCTCTACTTTAGTTTTGAGTAAAAAAGACCAACAGGATGAGTAAGTCACTTTTCCGCCTACCTATTCACCCGTGAAGTTTTCCTGAGTTGTTGTACTGGTAGTAGAGACGCGCCTTGTAGTAATACGCAAGGGCCCGTCATCTCGTTTGTCTTTGTCTTTGTTGTACTTGTCATTGTGTTTCTCTTCTTTCTGCAAGAACCGAAAAGAGCACAAAACGAGGGAAGTCGAGCGCTTGATTTTCTTTTGATGTCTCCGACGAGGAGCGGAGCGGGAGGAAGCGAGCAGGCAACGGCGAAATAGCAAGAACACAGTCGTGGGTTCTTGCTTGTATGATCCATCTCGTCCACCGACCTCGCACTCTACTGGTTTTACTATGATGTCAGTTCAAGACTTCCCCTTCCTTTATTTTCTGTGGCGTCGTGTTCGCGCCAAGAAGGACACACAGAACGTTCCGTGAATGGACCGCACCAAAAACACAAAGAGTGAATCAGAAGATGAAGCTTGGTGACATGCGACAACTTGTTCGCGACAACCTGCGCCCCGCGGACAGCGACGTCGCTCCATAGTTTTGTTTGTCCCGCCAACGGTCGCCATCTCCTAGTCCTACTCCAGGCTGAGCAAAATGGTTTCGACGTCCAAACGACAGACAAACTGCTCGAAAAGTAGCTTTACCTCATCTACTTGCCGCAGCTTTATTGCTTTCGTTTGTCTCATTTCCCGAAAGGTACTACTACGCGGCGGTCTAATATTACCTCCACTGCCCCCCCTCCTCCTGCTGGAGAAGTTGAAATGCTTCGCGGCCGGAGAAGCAGCCGCAGCACCAACTTCAACTTCTGTGGGGCTTCTGGATAAGGGTAAACAAGAAGAAGAACAACTACAGGAAGACGACGGGCCCCGAGGTGGTCGTGGCGGACGAGCAAAAACAAAAAGCACAACTACTCGCTTTTCCACGGCGCCCCCCCCCCCTCCGAGGAAAAATGACCGACAGGGAGACGATGATGTTGACGGCGAATTGAGAAATACAAATTCACGAGACAGCGACGAGAACGGTTCTGCCCTTCAAGAAGAATCAGCAGTGGAGTTCTTGCAAAGCAGCGATACTCGTTCATCCGTTGGAGGTCCTCCACCTACTTTCGCTGCGTCCAGTTCTACCCCACAAAGCTTCGTGCGTGTGGTTACGGTTGACCACAAAGGGGCCAGCAGTAGTACCGAACAACGCCAACATCAACAAGAAGAAGCTTCTTGGGTGGAGGTAGAAAATGAAGACGAACACAAGCAAATTAATATAACGGAGGGAAGATATCAGGAGCGGGAGCCGGATGCTTTACTTGAGACACCCAATAAGCGGAGCAAAGCTCCATCGACGTGCAGCGACGAGATCTGCGATGCTGTGACTCGGGCGAATCCACTGGCGGAGCGGCTGCGGCGCGCCAACGCACAGCTTCTTGCTCGGCCGCATACATACGCAAATGGTGAAAATGGCCCGTCGGCATCGTCGAAAAACATCACCAGTCTGCAGCTGCTAAATTGGCGCCTCGATTGCCCCTGCGAGCTCGAAGGGCGGGACGAGGAAAATCAAAATGACGCGACAGCCTCTGCCTGGCCGTCCTCGCAGGTGTCGGGCGACGCAGCGGACATCGTTGCCGCTACAGACGGAACAACGTCGACTGGGAGTACTAGTGGACGCAGTGCGATGAATGGTCAAAATTTGACGCGCGAAGAGGACCGCCATGAAGATGAGCAGGGAACCTCCTCCCGATCGGAAGCGTTTTGCCGGCCTGAATTCCACGAGACGTTCAAGACAGCCAGCGTCTTCTCCACGACCCGAGTGGGTGGCTCTCGACAGGATGACGATGGCGATGACGGAGGTCCTCGCGCCAGCTATGAGAGTGCACAAGAACGACAGCTTCCCTTCCGCAGCATGTGTAAAAATTATAAAATTTCAAATCCGTTGATATGGCCGTACTAACCACGGATTTCGCAAGTAGTCCAAAAAAATTCAGGGTCCTCGGGCGTGTCCATCGCGCTGGTCTTTTTGGTTATGTTGAATTTGGCATGCAAAGTTGAGGCATGGAGTATCTAAGTTAATTTAACTAGTTAAGAAGGCGGTCCGCTCCTGGGGCCAACAGCTTCCGGAGCCACGGATTCGGGTCCCGAATCCGTGGACCAGGACATTGGGGATACTGGATCCGGACCGCCTTCTTAACTAGCTAGCTTAAAGAGATGACAATACAAAGAAATACAAGGAGGCCCCTATGCATGAGTTGTGCCTCCTCCTCCGATGCCATCATGCGCGGACCCTGAAATTTTTTGGACTACTTCGAAAATCCGTAGTTAGTACGGCCATAATTGATTGTTTATTGTTAGGTGGAAGAGGAATTGTCTGCCTCTGCGTGATGTGAGTGTGAGTCTTAAATTGTACAGAACAATTTCAGACTCACACTCACTTCACGCGGAGTGCCGCGCTCTTCAGCGATTGCAGTACTACTGCAATCGGTGATGTGCAGACGATTTTTTTCACGGAGCCCAAATTTCATCTGCCGTTGCTTGTGTTGCTCCTGATCATGGCCTTCAAATGAGGGGAAGGGTTGGTTATGCACTCTCATAACGGCGCAGGCTCTGCGTCACTCGCAGTTCTTCGCGGCGACCAGCCTGACCTGCGACCGAGGTGCCTCTCCGCGGGCCTCTACGATCGGGATCGGGATGCTCTGATTAACAGAATCGGAAAGGGTATGGCAGTGTCGGGTTCGAAATCGACAAGGTTGAAAGAGTTTGCGGCGTATAGTAATATTGTATCGACACGACGACCAGTAGTCGAAGAACCCGCAAGCGCTAGCTGCTGGCGCGTGACAAATGAAAACTTTGCCAGTAGCGAAGTTCAAAAATAGGAATGTTGCTGTTTGCTTTCTGTTTTGGCAAAAAAGGGTCTTTTTGTCGTGCTCTTGTAGCAGCTCTATCTGCAACATCATCGCACAACCTCAAACAGACTCATCGGAGAATCTCCCTGACTTGCCTGCTCGTGCTCTTCAAGAAAGGCACTCTGACTCTGTCTGTGTGCCCCGCATAATTTTGTGCATTGCAAATTGTTATTGTTTACTGTGTCGCCCATTTCAAACCAGACACTTCCATACAGGGAGAGCAGTTTTTTGTCGCCGTGGACGAGCAGGAGGCGCAGGTAGTGGCAAGAAAGTACTTGCGAGCGATCAAGCGCGCACCATTTGCCAAAAGGGTGGTCGCAAAAGCTCCTGCTTCGTGGTCCTCCTTCAATGGCCTGATCTGGGAACGTCCACGACATAAATACAAGTACGATCCGCCGTATGAGGAGGAGAGGTATTACATGATGGAGAACTCCTCGCTGCAGTCTTGGCTATGCTCGGTAAAAGTATCGCGACACTTACACTTTTAGAAGTAAAGCTAAAATTTATACTGCAGTAGAGTTGTAGATGTAGTTCTTTATGTATGTTGGGCGGTGGCTTAGATGCATCTGGTTTAAAGGTGGCGTTTGCAAGTGCTGACGAGTGACCTAAAATGAAATAATCAGACTACTTGTCACGCCAGACTGACTGCACAAAATTGCACGACGAGTGCGATACTTTTGCGCGGCATATTGGTTCCACCACGACAACTCCACAGCTTCGCCCGACCAAATAAAAAAGCGGCATTGCGGACGATCGTGGTCGGACGATAGCCATGACTTTGAAAAATGGCTTGGCCCTTTCGTGCGTAGAAGCACTGTCTTACTGAACGCGTACATCGGTGATCTTCTGCTGTGCCATTCGCCCCCAGTTTCCCAACGCGCACTGGAGCTAGCGAGACCTCCAAGCGCGGACCTGGGTTTTCCAACACCCTGGTCGCTCACCGGTGTGGCGATTTAACATGTGGTCTCGGCGATTCTCTTCACGAGCGCGCAGCTGGCTGGCGTGAATTTCCTGACCCGGAAGGGGATCGAGTTAACCGGAGGGGAGCGCGCACAGATGGCGAATCAAACGGTGGGGACCGACATCCAGTCGACCACGACGTCCCTCCGCAATGATGAAAGAACGAATGACGCTGATCTCCAGCGCAAGCTCGTTGCAGTGTCTGCCCCCGTGTCCTTTCGGATGCATGAATGCAGCGGAGACGAAAACGTGCGTCTGTGGGATTTGGCGAAAGAGTACGCCTACAAGAGCGCTATCCGAGTGCACAACAAGGACAAGAGCTCGAACGCGTTGCTGCCTCCACTAGAAGCATCGTCGGGGGTTTCGAAACTTATCATGCTGTAAAATAAAAGATGTAGAGCGCCAAGAAAAGGGATGACGTTATGTACTCAAAAGTAGGTGGCGCAGAGAATGTCTTCCGTTTCTTCTATTCGACTTCGGTATTTGCGTCCAACATGACCACATATGAGGTAGAAGAGTGTCGGGGGGTCGGGTTGTGCACTCTCAGACACGCGGGTCTCAAGCCCCATGCCTACGCTGGTCGATTCTGGTGGTTGACCAGGGAGGAAAGCGCCGATATCATGAGGAAAAACGTCTTCCACAGCCCATACCCAGCATGAAAATGAATATATCTGCGGCTGGAAGATCAAGACCTAGCCTCCCACTTCCTTCTGCACGTTCGCCACGATCGCAGATCCATGTTGCAAAGAGCCGCGCGGGAGATGCACTCCGCGGTAGATTTTTTTCTGGGTATTATGCAAATTCGCATGACAAATCGAATTCGACACTGGGGGTGGAGAATCATACGTTTTTACACAGCATAGCGGACGCCACCGAGAAGCTGCGGACCTACATGGGGCCGGGCACCCTACCAGTGTTGGTCTTGGGGGATGTGGTGGACGTAACGGGAAGGGCAGACTGGCAGCAAAAACAATTCCGAAAACGTTTTGCCCTCGACTCCTGGAGAGGCTGGTGGCGCCGCTTTAAAAGCCCGGACATGCATCTGATGATGCGTTGCGAAAAGTGGGCTGACCGGGTGAACATTCGCGCCATCTTGGCAATCGAGGAAAAAGACGTGGACCAGATTCGAAACGCCGTCCGGGCTGCGGTTCGCTTGGTGGCCAACAGTAAGAAAGAGCCGATGTCCAGCAGAAGTGGCGGAACCAGCAGCGCCGCGGGTTTCCCAGCGTCCGGTGTGGGCGAGGAGTCATCGTTTTCGGCGCATCAAGAAAAAACCGCAAGGGAAGCTGTAGCAGGCAGCCAGCAGCTTTTCGACGCATCAGAGGAACAGTCGGCGGCTCAATTTTCTGTACAAGAGGACTCTGTCTCTCAGTTGCCGTTGAAGCTGGTCGTAATGACGCTCGCGGAGGCCGACAAAGATCTCAAACTATTTGAGAACCGTGACAAGACGAAGGAGTGGATTCCGGCTGATCTGCTCGCAGAGTGGTACAATCGAAACGCCATTGATTTTGCTTCAACCCAAGGACGGACAGCCGCAACTCCGAGCAGGTGACGCTGCAAATCAGGGCGCGACTAAGTCGAGTTTCTAGACGCGCCAGGAGAAGGACACCAGAAAGCCACTCCTTTACTCATGTAATGGCAGAGGAACAAGCAGTAGCGGCCAGAGCCAGTTGCGGTGCCTATCCTTTGTGATGCGTCGACGCGCTCCCTCACTGCAGAGACAATGAAACTTAAACAAGAACTGAACTACAAGACCCGCCTTGGGCCAAAAGTTCTTTTCTGCCACATTTTTGCTTTATGCTTATTGTTATTCGTCAAGCATGTCCAGCTCCAGGTGCAGGAGGCTAATCTGACGCTGCAGCGTCTGATCATCATACTAAGTAACTCCCTGATGTCCAGCGGCGCAGTTGCGCTTCCACTCGATGAGTACAGGTCTCGAGTGAGAGAACGAGAAGATGAGGAGTACCAGACTTCGTCACACGAGCAGATTTGATTCGTCAGATCCTTGCACGCATATATGTTTTCATATCGCATTCGCACGTCGACTCACAGTCGTAGGCGGACTACCGCCCTGATCGCGATGTCGGTCGAACTCGATTCGATATCAATAAATAATTAGAGGCAATAAAAGATGAGAAGTGTCTGCTCCTGAGAGTGAGACGTTCACTTTTCCACGAACACAGCTGCACCCTGCGAAGTGGTCTTTCCGTGCGAAGCCGAATTCTTGATGATACAAAAAGTGATTGCTCTACATCGACTTCGACGACCTCTGGTCTACAATACTAGTGAGAAAAGAAGGCTCTAGCACTAGCACTAGCTCGTCGTGGGTGTGAACGACGGGAAGAATAAAAAGCAGGATAAAAATTGATTCTGAGAAATATGCCCTCTGACGACCGGACGGGCTCGGAGCCCGCGCAGCCTTCAAGGCTGCTTTCACCCGGGGCTCACATGAACCGCATGCGAATGAAGGCGAACGCACCATTGCACGTATTTTGCTTTTGGGTTTCTGTATCATTGCGACGTGTTTTGAGGTGGAAGTAGAAGGGTGCATATGTATCGTATAAATGAGCATGACAGGAGATGAAGAAACCATAGCCCTCGTCGGTTCGAAGTTTTTACAGCATGCAGTTGCAAACCTTGATCGACGTTAGGTTCAAAAAAACAAAAAACGATTAGGTTCAAGCAAACACAGAGTTCAACCGGTATTACATGATGGACGAGTGGCAGTTTGACAGTTCAAAAACAGCAATGAAGTCCGACTACCAGCACGCTTGCGATTTCCTGAAGAAAAGGTGGTCACCCGTGAGGAAAAAGTATTTTTCTATGACATAACCTCCAATTTTTATTTTTGTTTCCTGGCTGTCTCTGTCGTTCATTCACATTCTACATTTACATTTTTTTCATGTTCACCTTACTTCTCCTCGTGCGCATGGGTCCGTCGTCGCTGTCCTCAATATATATGGTATGTGATTGTCTTTGTCATTCTCATTGTCTTTGTCCTCACTTGTCGTTGTGTTGTCTGATATAGAAAAAACCAAATATGTTTGCGGCACCATCTCTGCCCAAAAATAAACCAGGAAAGCGGACGTTCCCATCCCCTTCGACATGCGAGACAGCAAAAATGTGAAGACGCTGTTCGGGCACCCGTTTGCGCACAAGTTATCCCCAGAAAAAGTGTTAACGTTTACGGTTTTCGCAGATTGCAGCCATGCATCACAAATTTAGCCTAGTGTGCATGCTATGCATGACAAATTTGGGCACGCTTTGTGATGCATTGCCGCATCACAAATTCCTTAAACGTATAACACTTTTTCCTGTGATACCAGTGTGAGTCGCTTTACATCGACAGTTACCAATCCGACGCGTGGCATAGAAGAGGTATTATTTAATATCGGAAGATGAAAATGACGCATTCTCGTGTCGCAAATGCTTGCAAACAGGTTCAGAGGAGGACGGGGGAGTATATCCAATCATATCGTCCTCATCGTCATCCGAATTATGAATCTTACCAACCAACAAATACAAAACTAGCCAGAAGTACTTCTAAAGGCGAAATAAATTTCAAACATATACAGAAAACGCAAAACCACTATGCATCACCATCAGGTCTCCACAAGGCTCGGAAGGAGTGTGGTATAAATGGGCTATCCACCACGGATGTGACCAAAATGGCGGAGGGAATGGACCTGATGAAGAATGTGGTGCGGAAGTAAAGTAGAACAGGAGTAGGAGGTGGACCACTGCTGGAAGATTATTTCCTGCTGCTCGCACGGGAGAGGGACGGCGGCGAGGAACAAGATGAAAGGACGAGTTATGACCTCCTGGTGCTCATTCCGAACCAGAAATCAAAAAAAAAAAATGCACCACCTACTAATATGCTATTTGTCTTAAAACCTTGTCTCCACGTAAAAAAAGCAACACTACGAATATTACTTTCATGAACATCAAACCACTGCACTTATTGCAAGAAATGAAACACAGCAGCACCACATGGTTGCTGACTAGCTATCGCAAAGCTGCTTTCCGCAGCTATTGGAAGCTATGTCAATGAATAGATTTTTATGCGATGAACAGAAACAGTTTCAAATGCCAGGAAAATGAACAACAGTTTTAAGAATTTGCGCTATTTGTAGCCCTCGTTCTACTTTTCGCGCGAAGGAATTATGATCCGGAGGGTTTAGCTTTCGGTTCTTCTTGGGTAGTACTAGTTTGGCTACCTCCCGGACGGGGCGTCAGCTCGTCCTGTTGGTTGGACTACTACAACTTTCTATGTATATGAGCTGGACGAACTACGCTTCGTCGTTGAAGAAGTTATTGTCGAACAAACAGAAACTGTACAATAGGAATAGTAATAGAGCAGGTTACTAGCAAAGAACAAAGGGCGTCGATATAATAACACCCGCCTGCCCCTAACTGGGTGAGAGCAGGAGCAAGGTCTCTATTGTGCCAGCGGCGAAAGTCGACGTGCTGCACCGTACGCAGCCGGTAAGAACCCACCTGCAGGAACGTGTTCGTCTACTATGTACTGCTTCATGGAGTTGGAGCCTCCATTCGAAGCTGCAAGAGGTTACTTGTGGTCCATCATGTCTGTGAGCTGCAGCAAGAGCAACCAGAGTAGAAGTAGGCCGCGAGCAATGACGAGGAAGCGCTAGTGGTTCTACTTTCGAGTTGTTGATATAGGAGATGATGAAGATGATGTCTACCTGTGGACGCGTCTTCACAGTGTGCTATTTCAATTTCTAGAAATTTACTACTTCCTTTTATCCTTCTTGTCGCAGCTTGCGGCACTATCGTTTTTGTGAGAACTACTGGAGGTAGTTGTAGACAACTTCGGACTCTTCACACGCATCAAGAACCGGGGTATGTTTATCGCTCTCTGTTGAGATAAAAATAAATCATACTTTTCGTAGTTCTACTTCTTCTTGCTACAACAACGTCAAATGTCGTGGTCGTTTGTGGAGCAGCAGCAGCACCCGCTGGTGCAAAGAGAACGAAATTGATACCGTTTATTTCTTGCGACGATGTCACCGATGCATCTTCGCACCATGAAGAGGATTTTTAGAAGATCAATGAGCAAATAAGGCTGACGAGACAGAGAAAGTGAAAAACCAAAAGAGGGGTCAGAGCCGTAGCCGCATCTATCTACTTGTACTTTGCAGTTGTATTGTTGACGGCGCTTTATTTTCAAAAAAATGGCGTCCTCCTCGACTTCTCCGCCGCCGCCTGACTCGATGAACACCGCCAAGCTCGTCGAGGACCTGGAGAAGACCATTTACGCATGGCAAAAGGATCACAGTCGCACTACCTAGTAGAAAACAAAATTCTTGCATGATGAAAATGAATCTTCTCCACTCCCGCCAAATTAATTGAAAACTTAAAAGTGCACCAGGCAAGGAAGAAAGCCACGACTCCCTGTAGAGAACCTCTTGGCCGCCGTCCCGTCTTACCATTTTTCACTTCGCTTGTTCACGTCACCTGAAGATTCATCTTCTTGACCTCCTACTTGGGAACCAGGAGAGAAGTTTGATGACATCACGCGTGCATGCAATCAGATTCAGAATCGGAAGTAAAAGTGCAGCTAGGATACAACTTTTGCGCCGGATACCACCCTGCAGAAGTTCAAGCTTAAATACAACAGCCAACCCGAGACCGGGATTATCAGGCACCTGAAGTACTACGACTTGACAAATACCGGAAAGCTGGATTGGAAGTCGTTTCAAAAATCGATGGAGCAATACGCGATTGGGGCTCCGTTGGACGTTTTGCAGCTATTGTTCAACCGATACGCGAACGCCACGAAAAACCCCCTGCAGTCCAACACCGGGTCGCTTCTACTGGAAATCCGGTCCTTCGCAAAATTTATCGTAGACGGAACCGTCCGGACGTATTACGCAAGTCTGGCAGAAACCCAAGAAAGCGCTGCAAATGGTGCGGCAATAAGGGAAGAAGTAAACGTACATGATAAAAATCTTTCTTGCAAAGTAGAAGTTCGGTGGAGATGTTGTCTAAATTTTAAAAATCAAGTGTTTTTTTTAATACTGCTTTTCTTTTTCAAGTGTTTCTTTAGTTGCTCGAAATGATCATGATAATTCGTCAACAAGAACACGTCGACTCTCAAGTTATTTGACAAGTAGAAACCTTTTATTCAACACCAGCCGCGCTCCACCGCTGGTTCATCCTCTCAGCGTTCCTCCACGGCGCCCCGCCCTCCCCACTCGCCGACAGCACCCTCGACGAAGACGGTGCCTGGTTTTCTGCGCGCGTTGCGGGAAAACTTGTTCCCCCGGGGCCCCGGGAAGGTGCTGGAACTCGTGAATTTGTTCATGCAGTACGACGAAAAAAACTACCGCGTGCTCCCGATAGAACTCCTGATGAGCATCCTGGATCAAAAGCTGAACTTGGTCGACGGCGCACTATGCGTTGCAAATGTGTAGTCTGGGGGTCGTGGGTAATTCGTGATGCGAAAGTTCAAGGACAACGACGAGATCTGTATCATGGCGTAGAAAAGATCGCTCTGGCATGCAACACTCTTCAGCAAGAACACCAACTCGCTGCGTTTCTCCAGACGACCCAGACATGTCTGCCTTTGATACGCGGGAGATTTAGACCCGCTTGCGTACAACAAAATCGACGGCCGCACCATGGCTCTGGTGTTGCCCACCTGGGCGGATCCGTACGACAGGAACCTAATTCTCTACGACGATTTCCTCGCTGAATTGAAGATTCCGCTCAACCACGAAAGAAGACAAGCGGTGCGGGCGGCGTACAGGAAATTAGACCCGGATCAGGAGGGGTTTGTAAACTTGAGCGATTTGGAACGGGCATACAATGTTAGCAGGTAAAAAAATTCGTGGTCGTGAGGATTGTTTTTTTTGCATCCCTGTAGTACTTCTTCGTTCATTTGTCGTATGGAAAAAAAGATCGAGAAGGTCTTGACGTAATTTATTCAGTGATGTTATCACTACCTTCAGACTAATAAACTCCACTTCCTCATGAAATTCCAATCGAATCTGATAGAAGCAGGAGCTCCTCGCAGTGAAGATAATGATTCACAGCTGCACAAGATTCACGTCGTCACTACGTACATCCAAAAATATTGAACCTATCCCCCAGGCACCCTTACGCCGTGATGGGAGCTCAAGTGCCCGACTCCCTTTATAATGAGTTTCTGGACAGCCTGATGCACTTTCTCCAGTACCGCCGTGGGGTTTTGGACATCTCCAAGACGGCGGCGGGCGAGCGGATCCCCTGGGAGGAGTTCGAGGCCTACTATCAAAAGTAAAAATGTCTGGGTCTGGAAACTTGTAATGCTGGGTGGCGTCTCATGATGAGGCTACAGATGCTGGCTCAGCATGACAAGTTTCTGAGCTCCTAGGTGTTGCCTATTCTGCATGACAAACTGCGCTTCTGCATCACAGAAAAGCGGAGCTCTTGGGTAACGTGCATGACAGACTTAAGAGTCATGCCAGACAAGCATGACAAACGTGAATTCTTCCAGAGGACCCAGACATTTTTACAGTTGATCCCTACTACGAAATGCTGAATGGTTGCTATCCCGAAGACACCACTTTTCTGTGCATCCTCACCAGGTGCTGGGATGTCGACAAGCCCTCTGTGGGTGGTACTGGAGTAGACAGGACTTCTGCCACCTCATCTGCCACTGCAGCACTCGGAGGTGGGGGCCAAGCCGGCGGCCCACCAGGAGCTGTGCTGGACTTCAACGGGTATGGGGAACAAAGTGCGGGGCAGCAGGTGACGGGGAAGATAAACAAGCAGAGTCAGCAGCAACAGCAAATGCTCGAAGACGAATATTACAGGCGGGACGCGATGCCGGCCGCCGGGCAAAAGGGGAAGGAACGGGTGGGGTTGCACCACTGGCAAGCGAACACCTTGGCGGAAAGCCACACGTACAGGAACGTCGGAGAAGTTGCCGATTTGAAGGTACTCGAGGAGACTACAGCACTGTCGTGGCGTTTGATAGTTTTCAGTTTTTCATCTTGAATTTATAGGAGGTTTGAGATTTTCGCAATTTTTTTTCTTATGTACTTTACTATCATGTTGCCTTGGTTCATTCTTGCTCGCTCGCATTTTTTTGCATGCTCCTTCCTACAGGGCATCTTCCGTGAGGCCTGCGAGTACCTGTCGCGCAAGGGCGGCGTGCGGATGGCGATGGAAGTGGTCCGCAACTACGTGCTAGCCGATGACAACCTGGATGACTATCTGGACCGGGCAGAATTTCGTAAAGCTAGCAGGGACTCGGGGCTACGGTTCACGCAGGACGAGGAAAGCGACATTTTCGATCTGCTTGGAGAGGTTACGGTATCACGGTTAATTGGACTTTGACTATCGATGAAATTTTTCCAGGTGGCGGAGCAAACCTTTTTGAAAAACGCATGACATACATAGCACAGAAACAAAAATTACGCAGACCAAACGCCCAGTGAAAAACCCGTCTTCCGACCCGCAGCCGGAGCGGCTCCTCCCCCTGTTTTCCTTTCTCCGCGCATTTTTCGACGGCGGTTTGAATGCAGCGCGCTACGACATTGTCCACGCCGCATGGGTATCAAATGTAAAAATGTCTGGGTCTGGAAGAGTCATGCTGTTTCTGCATGACACAGCAGGTGGGTTTTTTAAGTCGTTTTTTAAGATGGGTTTTTTTTGCAGAAATCACTTTTTTAAGATGGGTTTTTTCGTATTTAGGACTGTGCCATAGTAGATGACTTTACCGCTTTTTTACTTTTCTTTTATCCCTCAGCGCTGGTGGGTCTGCCGGCAAAATTATCCCTACTCAGATAGCTACAAAGCTCATCCCGCAGCCGTCCCAGGAGCTCTTGTGGCTGTCTCTCGGTAGAGATCGCTTTGCCCGTGCTTATTCCACTCAGAGTTTGCTGGGTAGGTGGCTACCGTTTTAAGTTTATAAACGAATGGGACGCCCTGCCCTTAGCCTTCCAACATGACACAGCAGGTGCAGGTCTGGCATGCTGGAAGCTCTAGCATCACAGGTTTCGAGAAGCTTCCGCAATGCCGAACCCGCATGACAAATCCCCCACTTTGGTGACAGAAAGTGGGCAGCTTTTGCTACCCATGCATGAGAGATTTTTGTGTGTTCTGAAATGCGCATGACAAGTTGCTCTTCCAGACCCAGACATTTTTACATTTGATAATGGGCTCTGGTTGCCGGGGGAGACAGCGCCGTGATTCCGCCACAGAATTTGAGGCAACACCTATTGAGAGGAAAAATCCCCCCTCCCCATATTGAAAAGGTATGTTTCCAAAAATTTGTGTTGCGGATTTGAGGTCACAAATCACATCTGTCTTGCAAGAAGACAAGGGCAGAAGCTTCCGCCTCATTATGGAAGCGATTTGCCACGCTGTTGAGCCTCAAGGGGAGCCGTTTGCCATGCTGAACAACTAGACCCATACGCCCCTACCTAGCCTGGGGATCTGGCCGCCATGCCTTTCTGCAATACAAAGCTGATCTGTGGCCACAGATCAGCATCACAAATTTCCGTTTTGAATTTGATATGGGGAGGGGGGATTTTTCATTTTGATAACACCTCTCCTTTAGCACGCACCCGGAGGTGCTGCAGGCACCGAGCGCCGAAGCAAGGGACAGGCTGACTCAGCAGCGTATACTCTTTCCTAGTTGATGATTTTATTTTAGTTTTAGAGCGAAAAATGTTTCTAGATCATGTAAGGAAAGCAGCTTCAGGGCTGCATGCGCACGATAAGCACTTTTAGGTTTATTGGCCATTGTTTGTTCGTTTGCCTTTCGGTGCATCAAGTTGCAGCCGGTCGTACTACCGTGCGGCAGCCAGGCACGATTCTGATAGTGCTGAAATTCAAATGAATTCGAATTCCACATCAGTGACGACCGAGTTTCTGGACACTTTTTCTCTGTACGTGAACGTGACCGGAAGACTCAGCGAGGAGGGCAATCTGAACTTCGCGACGTTCCTCGGCTACTTCGAAATCTACTCCGCAATGATCACATCTGACGCCTACTTTGACGTCGTCATCCGCCGTATGTGGGGCCTCTCGTCTATTCCCTGAAAATTAACCATCTCCATCCAATTTGTCATGCAAAACATGTAGTAAAGTCTGTGCTTGTCATGCAAAAAGTGGATGGGGATGGTTAATTTTCAGGGAATATCGTCTGATAAGGACATCGAAGAAATCGACGGTCTGCCGCCAGTATCAAATGCAAATATTTTTACGTCTGGGTCTGGAAGATTAGATTGCAAGATTCATTTGCTACAGCGCTTGCCCGGCAACGGCATGACCATGATCGAAGACTCTGCGCTGCTCTATTGCATGCTCACGAGGAAGATGAGCTTCCTCTTCCTGCTAAGAACCTGTTATGCAAACACGCGGCTACCATGCGAAATAGGCAACAGATTGTATTTGTCGCCACACAAAAATCATAGTACTCATGACTTTCAACCTCATCTTCAACCTGTCAAAATCTTAATCTGTCCTGCTTGGCTGTGCAACCTTGTAGTGCGGTCATTTTTATTCGCAGACTCGCGGCAGAACTTTCCAGGTGCAGACCCATATTTGCAATGTAAACCCAGTCCTGCCACAAGCCCCGACCAGTCAGAAGGTCTCGCGGTCGTCAAAGTCCAATGTCAACGAAGACACCAGTAATTTGGATATGAAAGTGCACAACTCCATCTCCCCCTCGTCTTCTGACTTCTGAAGGCGTACGAGTGTGAGAAGCATCAGCAACACAGTCGGCGACAGAATGAATGTGGGCCCCGCATGACAAGAAATTTTCCCCGCGGCGCGGATTGGAGTACTCTTTGAAAGCGGGCCAAAGTTTGTCTTGCAGAGAGTGCTTAATCTAAAAAAAAAAAGGCACAAACGAAACAGGATGTGGATTTGGTATTTTGCATTATACCAATGGGGGCCGCGGGAGTTGTGCGCTCTCATATTAAAGTACGCGGGTTTAGGATACGGCGCCAACCTTGCGAACGTATCGGACGGGAGGGGCTCGAATAAGGACGCAAAACAGTACCCGAATCCGACGTCCCCCATCTACGAATCCAGCCACGTGCGGGCGGCGCTCTTTCAGGAGCCTGTCAAGCTAAACTCTGCGGACGACTACTTTCACCACCTCTGTCGCAGAATAAGAGGGATCTTGAGCAAGTACAGTATATTTAGTAAAAAGTGTTTTTATGCATTTTTTCGCAGAAATCCAAGTCGTGTGAAAAGGTACTGTGGTGCTGACCACATGGACATTTTTCTTTATGATCTCGGAATTTGAAGTTGATGAAGAGCTCCAAGCCCTTCGTACGGAAAAATGAAAATGAAAAAAAGCAAATTTCTTCCCAGGCGCGGTCTGAAAGGCTGGGTGGCTTTCATCCAAGGCCTGCAGGACAAGGACGACAGAGGGTTTGGCACGATTCATAGGTCACAGTGGACAAGGTTGCACAAAAGCCTCGGCTTGGGCTTGACGATTGAAGAATCCGACGTGCTGTTTCGCGCCTTGATCAGCCCAAAGGACGGCGGTATGGACTACAGGTGGGTTGGGTTTTGGAATATTATCTTCACTTGGTTTATTTTCCTACTCCTGTTCTGGATGAAGATTACCGTGGCGGCACATGACAGTTACCATACATACTCATCCAGGCAAAGCCAAACCCAAAGAAAGATAAATTAATAAGTACAACAACCGGCGCATTGAAAACACTAGGTTGCTTCTGAACCAAATCCGCATGAAATCCGACAAAATCGCGGCTCCCATCCTGCAAAGCGCGAAGTCGCAGTTTGTCACGCTCCTCACCGCGGCAGGCGATAATTCAGCATCGGGGATGGAATGCATTGAGATCAACACGTTGCTGCGCTTGGGTTTCAACCCCGAGGCGTACCCGTTGACCGTTCTGAGGGGCCAGTCCCTCACCGCGTCCGTGGACGACTTCGCGTGTGCCGTCGCGTTTCTGTCCGCCTACGAAGCAAGCACGGACAGTTCGGTGTTAGGCATCGAAACGTTCCTGGACTTGGTGGACCTGGGACTCGGCTGCTATTCCACACCAGACGAAGCGAGACTATTCGCGCAGGCGCTCGGGATGGACGTGAAGCATTTGGTGTGAGGAGCAACAGCGGACGATGATGAACTACGAGAGATGTACCGTTTCTTGCAACTCGAACTTTTTTAGGACGTGAGCGTGTAGATAGTCGTAAGGAAGTAATGCTTTCGACGATCCTCTCGTTCATAAAAAAACACAGATGAAACATTTACGCCAAGCGCAAATTTTAGAACCATGATTAACATAACAATGAGGATATTGACCATGATACGCATGTTGGAGCGCAAAGTAGTTGTCTATAGGGCCTACAACTTAGACTTACATTTCGTCACGCCGGAAAATTCTTCCTGAAGACACAAATGCAATAGAAGAAAATCAATCACAATGAATCGCACCACTACAGCTCGATGCTGACGTGAGTTTTCAATGTACCAACTACAGTGTGTCAAAGTCCTCAAAGACACAAATTGAATGACGATATGCATATTCCACATTACGTGGTTCTGCTTGTTATCGTTTTTATTTACCCGATGTAAATGCCCCCAAAACCAACATGACTCCAGATTATATCAGCGCAGCGCTTTTGATGAAAACAATCACGAATCACAATGAATCGCAGGAGGTTTACAATAATGCAGCAGCTAGCACTTGCACTTGTACCAAGCTCTAGTGCCCGCGCTAGAAAGAAAGTACCGAAGGCCTCGTCTATGACGAAGGTATACATAAGGAATCTCAGCCGAGTTGTACTCGTTCAAGACGACCCTTGTGAAGAAAAATCAATGTGCTGTGTATTGTGGACTTCCCGCCCCTCGCTTGTATGATGGACCGACACGACAAAAAATAAATGAAAATGACAAATAAGATTTATCCGTGTGGCACCCTTCGCGGAAGCTGCTGGAGTAGAAATGGCGGAAAGCATCTGCGCACCATCTGTGCACCACCTATCGCTTCTTTGCACTTCTTGTTCTTGCAGCTTACGTTGCACGGAGGATGGTGTTCCGGGATAGATCTGGAGCATTTAATTATGCTTCCACGAGGCTGCTCTGCCTGGTCGTCATTTTTTAACAGCAGCTGGATCGTCCGGAAAGTTTGTAGCTTTCCGCGAACTAGATCATCTTCATGGAACCACAACCAGCGATAATGCCGTACTTGAATTCTGAAAGTCGTGCCACTCTCCTCCTTCCCCTTTTACAATCACTACCTTGTATCTCTATTATAATAATGATTATTTAACTTGACGATGTTGACTCGGTGCCTTTTGTCCCGTGAACGGCGCGTGTTGGCCTCTACTGCGACGCGAAAACGAGTCAAATCAAAATATACCTTTCCATGAAACTTGTTTTCATTTTTATTGTTTTTTTCATCTGTGAATGCCCTTGCTATGGAAGTATGAGCGTACGATAGCATAAACATGAGAATGACAGCAACTACTCCTGCTGCTCCAGTAGCGGCAAGAAAAACCAGCGGCGCCCCCACTCCATCTCGTCCACCTCCAGTGTCTACAACAAGGAAAACGACAGGAGTTCCTCCGACCCTGTTCACCCTCGGGCACAGTACCCGCAGCGTATCCGAGCTGGTCGAATTGTTGAAGGCGAACGACATTGGGTATCTGATTGATATCCGTGCCAGCCCGTTCTCTCGGAAAAATCCCCACTTCGACAAAACCTCCGAACTCTTGCAACAAGAGCTAAACCGAAACCAAATCCAGTACGAGCACTGCCCGGAGCTCGGCGGCGCGCCTGCCGGGAGCGAACCAGGGCGGGGGATCTTTTGGAACCTCAGGCAGGAACGCGGACAGCGAAAGCTGCAAGAAATTGTGGATAGAGTGATCAAGAATAATTGTGTTGAAGATTATGATACAAAGGAAGGAGTCCGAGTCGCGCCGCCCGCTGGTAGTACAAGTACTAGTTCCACGACGGCTGCAGGCACAACTATAGCTCATCCGACTTCTTCCGGGAGCAAGAACACGGCCATCATGTGTGCCTGTTTTGTTTGGAACGAGTGCCACCGGCAGGTGATTTCGCAAAGACTCGCGGAGCGAAACGTAACCGTGAAGCACCTGACGGAAGTGGGAAAGCAACCCATTCCCCACCCGACAAGGATGTTATTCGAGCGGGCGTTGGTCGAGTCGCAGGGGGGGCTGGACCCGGATGACTATCGGGAGCAAATGATTTGCTTCCCGGTGGTGGATTTTAATAGCAGTTTTGGTTCCCAGATAAATGGAATGTTGAGCGGGAACTTTCTACTCCCTCAGGAAGTAGACGAAGAACCTGTTGGAACGAAAAAGAAAACAAGATGGAAGAAAACATGACAGAAACTAGGAAAAATGATCAAAGACGATGATTCAAGAAAACAAAAGCGAAATATTAATCTTGGATGTGGGAGGCTCCCCGTTCTTCGCGCTTGTTGAACAAGCCTTGTTCTAGAAAAATACTTCTGCAAGGGTCTAGACCTAGAGATCCAGATCTTGTATGTACATACTGTCTTTGTGAGTGTGACAGAAATGGATCACGCCGGTACACTTAAGGGTCAGGAGCAGGGGCCGCGAGCAGGTTTTGCATTTGTAGATCAGAACCGCATTGAATACAGAACCGCTCTTTTCAGCTGTTGACCGCCAAACTCTACTTGCAGATCTAAATCATAAACTCCATTGGTTTCTATCTTGCAGGTTGGAGCACAGCAGCACCTTGTTATCATCAAGCAATCTAAGTTTCTGCCACCGTACAACTACAAACTGTTGCCGAAAATTGATACACTACGCTACAATCTCAATCTGCGTTTTCTTGATTTGTTTTTCTTTTAGTTGCAAATTTATCGAAAAAGAAACTCTTGTGACCTGAAAATAGTTGTAAAGGCAAACTAGGACCACGACCACGGCGAAAAGAATAAAACTAAGTACATATTAGCTGCAAGACCACATCATGGCGCCGTTCTACTTGTACTTGCTTACCGCGACATCCATGTTCTTTGTCTTCGACTCCACCGGCTGGACGACTACGGGTCGCGCGGTCTCATTTGTACAAGCTGTGCGCTCGTTCTCCGCGATGGCCCCGCGCGGGCGAGCGAGTAGTAGTACAGCAGATGTTGCTGCTGGAGGTCCTCATCGTGCGGTGTCCTCCTCTCCGGCGCGGAGGCCAGATCTGATCATAAAATCTGGGGTGAGTAGTTTGGAAGAGATAACGCGCCTCCCGTGGGAACTGTGGACAGCGACCGAAAGAAATGAACCGTTCAAAAGCAGTTTGCTTGGGTGGAAAAACCTGCGAGTCCGTCTCGCCTGGGCCACCGCCCCCTTTGTTCGCAAAGCGCAGGCCGAAATGATGCATATTGGAGCAGCTTCTTCAAAAAAAATCAAGAAGATGAATAAAGCCGAGGAGTATTTGCAGGGCAAGCTTTTGGAGCACTCCAAAGTCGTGGGAGACTTTTACGGCAACTTGCCGGCTGTAGTGGATGAGGATTGGGGACACGACTTCATCAGGACCAAGCTGCCGCTCGACAAGCTAAGCGTTGCCGGGTCGGACCGCTTTAGCAGTGCCTACCAGCTCGTGGCCGAACACATCATGCTCCTCGATCCGAACACCGGGCTCCTGGTTGATGAAACGAAGGCGCTCGGGGTGGGCCCAGGAGAATTTTTCGAGGGGGAGCAGAAGCCTGAGTTAACGATTGTGAAGAGAAAGTTCTTAATTCCAGACGAGGACGAGTTGGATCGACTCAATAGGCTCTTCGACGCAATATTGCCCGAGGAGGAGGAGGATCTTCTGAGAGATCTTGAAGAGAGTAGTAAAGAACTGGCGAGACGTAATGCTGGGGGAGATAGTGAAACAACTACAAGAACTAGCGGCGCTGGTGCAGCCCCTTCTGGACGCGACGCGAGCCAGGATGAAAATGAGCCCGACGCAACGTTAGGCAACACGAGCAACTCGAGTTGGTTGGTACGCAGCTTCACAAGTCATTTCCTTCGACTCGCAATAGCTCCAACCGTTGATCGGTACGGCATGAAGTTTCCCAAGCCGGTATCCCTGCAACAAATTAACCGTGAGCAAGGTCGTGCCCAGGCACCAGGTGATACGACGTTCGCGATGCGTACAGCGCTCGGCGCCAGGATTGACGCGGAGCAGGCCTTGCTGATTTACGGTCCACGCGAAAGCTGGCAAGTGGAGAAAGACGAAGCATCAGAGGAGGACTAGTTGACTTGGATCGTGATGTAATTGTCTTCCTAGAAGACGAGCATCATGAGCAAGAACAGCCAGAAGCCCGCGAGTCTGTTCATGTTCTTGTCTAGACTACTTTAACTTTTTGTCTTCGATTAATGACCTCTTTCCTTTGTTTTGGCTGGTACTTTGGAAATAAAACAAAACAAAAATTATGCTGGTTGATTAATATGAGGCAGGTTTTGATGTGTATAATTTTTTTACTCGCTTGACTACTACCGCAGTCACTCTTACTCGCCCGCTTTCAAGTAAAGCGATCGATGCGAGGACTGATTTTGATACATCCGTCATTCTGATGATGATGAAGGTGAAGAAACAGAAAGAGACCCGTTGCTGGCTAGACTGTACTTTTCAAAAGATTTTTGGCGAACGATTTCTGCGCGTCGACGTAGATGATGGCCAAAATTTGGGAAAAAGATGAAGTGCGTCTTCATCGATGAAGAAGCTTCATCGATAAAGATCTAAGATCAGTCACGACTTTTGAAATGATGCAGCGCCGAATTCTTATGTGCGACAACCTCTCAAGCGGGCGGCTTCGGTGCCGTGTATGACCAAAGTATGTAGTTGTTCTACCTCTTGGTAGGATTCGGATCTTTTTCAATTTCCCAAATCAAGCCACAGCGAAACTTCGCGAAGAGATCAGAAGGTAAAGAAAAAGAACACCGAGCTGACGCCGCGATCTCCAAAGAAGAGCAAATGACAGAAAAGAGAGGGACGTAGTGTAGGAAGGGTCGTGGATCAGTAGCACTGAGATCAAGCGAAAAGAAAAGACAAAGGAAAAAGAACGACGAAAAGACCAAGAAAGACTTCTTCACTTCATTCATTGCGCAGGGATTTTGAACGACTAATGGTGCTCAAAGATATCACGGTAGACCATGTCATATTGCGCACGACATAGCCCACGAATTCCGAGATTTGAAGTGATGAGCAATATGATTTACGAACCCGTTTGTTGACAGCTCTCGTAATAGTCAGACTGAAAATCATGCGCGAAAAGGAAAGGAAAAAGAAGAAGCACAAACTCAAGGACACGACGCAAGATGTTCTATAAAAGAGGGAGAGAGATGACTTAGGGGTGGCGATTTGAAGTGTGTTGTTGATTGTTCCCACGGGAATGCCGTTTTACGGTGAAGACGATCAATTTGTATGTGAAAGACCCTCGTGAAATTGCAATAAACGACGTGAGAACGCCTGTGCGAGTGACGTTGTGAATCAACATAGGAAGAAAAAGAAGACAAGGATAGTAACGAAGATAGAAAAGACAAGCACGAGAAGAACGACCAATATGCAGATGAAGAGAACGGAATCGCGAAGGAACAGTAGCTACCAAGCCAGAGCACGGGGCGGGAGGATCTGTCAAGTTCGGCAGGAGATAGAACAAGCGGCCTAGCGGGGAGCGAGGCAAAAAACGGGAAGAGAGAAGAAGGCCCTAGCAGTGGAGGTCATCCAGGACGACTAGGATTCGGATCTTTTTCAATTTCCCAAATCAAGCCACAGCGAAACTTCGCGAAGAGATCAGAAGGTAAAGAAAAAGAACACCGAGCTGACGCCGCGATCTCCAAAGAAGAGCAAATGACAGAAAAGAGAGGGACGTAGTGTAGGAAGGGTCGTGGATCAGTAGCACTGAGATCAAGCGAAAAGAAAAGACAAAGGAAAAAGAACGACGAAAAGACCAAGAAAGACTTCTTCACTTCATTCATTGCGCAGGGATTTTGAACGACTAATGGTGCTCAAAGATATCACGGTAGACCATGTCATATTGCGCACGACATAGCCCACGAATTCCGAGATTTGAAGTGATGAGCAATATGATTTACGAACCCGTTTGTTGACAGCTCTCGTAATAGTCAGACTGAAAATCATGCGCGAAAAGGAAAGGAAAAAGAAGAAGCACAAACTCAAGGACACGACGCAAGATGTTCTATAAAAGAGGGAGAGAGATGACTTAGGGGTGGCGATTTGAAGTGTGTTGTTGATTGTTCCCACGGGAATGCCGTTTTACGGTGAAGACGATCAATTTGTATGTGAAAGACCCTCGTGAAATTACCTCTTGGTTTTCAACATCCTATTCGTCCTTCTCTGTTACGATGGTAAAAATCACTATACAATGGACCGCACTCAGAAAGAGAGACAAGGGATGAGTTTATCTATAGCGATAATGCAGTAGAAGATGTGGAAGTTCTTGCTGTTCACGTTCACCAGCAGACGGCGACCTTCACAAAAATACACATCAGTCATGGTTGCACAAGCAAGAAGATGGAGTAGATATTTGTGATGTAACAGCACAACTAGGTAGTGCGCAGATTGTTCATTTTTCTTCTTCGTGCGATCACCAGAAGTGCGACGTGGGTAGCCTTTCTATCTCTTTCTGTTAATCGATTATTCGAGCTGCATTTTTAACAAGCAGAAAACCAATTAGCGAATAATGCAGACGTTCTACTGGTACTGCACGAAAAATAAAAATACTTCTGCAACGTTCTAGAGATCCAGATCTTGTATGTACTGTCAGTGTGACAGAAATGGATCGCGGTATGCCTAAGACTAAGCAGGACGGAATGAGCAGCTTTTGCAGATCAGCATCGCGCAACTGAATAATGTATACGACTGCGCCCAGCAGTTGGACCCTGCTCAAGCTCTACTTTCAGATCTAAGTACCTGAGTCTATTCGGTTTCTTGCAGGTTGTAGCAGTAGCACAGCAGCACCGTTTTATCATCAACCTCTAGTACCTGCGACCGCACGACAATAAACTGTTGCCGAAAAAAATTAATACACTACATGTACACTTCGTAGTGATTTGTTTTTCTTTTAGTTGCAAATCGAAAAAGAAACTGTTGTGAAAATAGTGAAGGAGAACTAGGACCAGGACCACGGCGAAATAAAGAATAAAACTCATAGCACGCCCACATCATGGCGCCGTTCTACTTATACTACCTAAACCTACTCACCGCGACATCCATGTTCTTTGTCTTCGACGCCACCGGCGGGTGGACGACGGGTGGCGCGGTCTTATTTGTACAAGCTGTGCGCTCGTTCTCCGCGATGGCCCCGCTTGGGCGAGCTCGTAGTAGTACAGAAGATGTTGCTGCTGCTGAACCTCGTGCTGCGGTGTCCCCGGCGGGGCCAGATCTGATCATAAGCTTTGAGGTGAGTGGGGAAGAGATAACGCGCCTTCCGTGGGAGCTGTGGACAGCGTTCGAAAGAAATGCACCGTTCGAAAGCATTGAGCTCGGGTGGAGAAACCTGCGAGTCCGTCTCGCCTGGGCCACCGCCCCCTTTGTCCGCAAAGCACAGGCCGAAATGAGGAATATTGGAGCATTTTCTTCAAATATCGAGAAGAACAAAGCCGAGGAGTATTTGCAGGGCAAGCTTTTGGAGCACTCCAAAATAGTGGGGGGCTTGGGCGGCAAGGGCAACTTGGCGGTTGTGAGGGGACGCTTCACGACCAAGCTGCCGCTCGACAAGCTAAGCGTTGCCGGATCGGACCGCTTTAGCAGTGCCTACCAGCTCGCAGCCGAACACATCACGCTGCTCGATCCGCGCACCGGCCGCTTGGTTGATAAAACGAAGGCGCTCGGGGTGGGCCCAGGAGACTTTTTCGAGGCGGAGCAGCAGCCTGCACTAACGATTGTGAAGAGAAAGTTCTTAATTCCAGACGAGGACGAGTTGGATCGACTCAATAGGCTCTTCGACGCAGAATTGCCCGTTGAGGAGGTGAATCTTCTGAGCGATCTTGAAGAGAGTAGTAGAGAACTGGCGAGACGTAATGCTGGGGGAGATAGTCAAACAACTACTACAACTAGCGGCGCTGGTGCAGCTCCTTCTGGACGCGACGCGAGCCAGGATGAAAATGAGCCCGACGCAACGCTAGGCAGCACGAGCAACTCGAGTTGGTTAGTTCGCAGCTTCACAAGTCATTTCCTTCGACTCGCAATTGCTCCAACCGTGGATCGGTACGGCATGAAGATGCCCAATCCGGTATCCCTGCAACAAATTCACCGGGAACAAGGTGCTCAGGCGCCAGGTTATACGTCGGTCGCGATTCGTACAGCGCTCCGCGCCAGGATTGACGCGGAGCAGGCCTTGCTGATTTACGGTCCACGCGAAAGCTGGCAAGTGGAGAAAGACGAAGCATCAGAGGAGGAGGACGAAGCTGGTGTCGTGGCCCGGGAAGCGTAGATGATGAGACATCGCTAAATACTATTTCATCTTCTCGCGACTGCCACCTTGAGCCCTCGTCACTAACTCACGGTACTAGTAACGGCTGTCGATCATTGATAGTGTCGGTCTGAGGACGAGAAGCTCGATCTTCAGGGTCGTCACAGTACTACCTCTTCCCGGGCTTGACTACTAGTTGACTTGATCCTGATGCAATTGTCTTCCTAGATGAGCATCAGGAGCAAGAACAGCCAGAAGGCCGCGAGTCTGTTCATCATGTTCTTGGGAACGGTCCTCTACAATACTTTTTGTCTTCGATTAATGACCTCTTTCATTTGTTTTGGCTGGTACTTACTCGTTTTGGAAATAAAATGAAACAATTATGCTTGTTGATTATGAGGCAGGTTTTGATGATGCATAATTTTTACTCGCTTTACTACTACTGTAGTCGCTCTTACTCGCCCGCTTTCACGTGAAGCGATCGACGCGAGGACTGATTTTGATACATCCGTCGTTCTGATGATGATGAAGGTGAAGAAACAGAAAGAGACCCGTTGTTGCCTGGACTGTATTTTTCAAAAGATTTTTGGCGAACGTCTTCTGCACGTCGACGTAGATGATGGCCAAAATTTTGGAAAAAGATGAAGAAGCTTCATCGAAGATCTCAGATCAGTCACGACTTTGGAAATGATGCAGCGCCAAATTTTTAGGTGCGATAATCTCTCAAGTGGGGGGGCTTCGGCGCCGTATATGAACAATGTATATAGTTGTTCTACCTTTATTTGCTTTTCTATTCTTTGTTACGATGGTAAAAATCACTTACACTAACGACCACCCAGGGGCACCGCAGTCAGAAAGAAAGAGCTTTAAACTCTATTATAAACGTTAGTGCAGTATTGTAGTTGACGTTCACCAGCACACGGCGACCTTCACAAAAATACACATCAGGCCTGGTTGCACAAGCAAGAAGATGGAGTAGATATTTGTTATGTAACAGCACTAGCGCGCAGACAGTTCATTTTTCCTCTTCGTGCGATGGATCACCAGAACAAGTGCGACGTGGGCGTTGCGTTCGTAGTCTTTTTATCTATTTCTGTTGATCAATTCAAGCTGCATTTACATTTTCAAAACCAGTGAACGAACAATGCCGACGTTCTACCACGCAACCCCTGCGCGCAACCGGCACTCCATTGAGACAAGCGGCTTTCGCCCGGGCTCCGGGGGGTACGATGGTCCGGGGATCTACTTCTGCAAACGTCCAGAGGCGGCGATTAACCGAGCGCGCGTCCGTGGCGAGGACGTCGTGGTTTTCGCTTGCGACATTGACAATGCGTACGTGACGAACGTGAACAACCAGGACAATTTCAAAGTCACCGAAAGCGACGCCGACGAAATTGAAATCTTTGACACCATCCGTTACAGCAAAACCGAGGTGAATGAGATCAAACGTGACAAGAGCTCTGTTCTTGCGACAGGTCGTGGAGGTCCTGCTCGTGGACGGTCGCAGAAACTAAATCGCTTTGGCCGAAGACGCTCGCGGAGCCGGTCCTCTTCTTTATTCTCGTCGTCTTCGCGAAAGCGCCATGTGCGTCGCACCGAGATCAGATATGATCCTGGCGCACGGAGGGTAGAAGTCAACCAAAACCTCCAGAATCGGATCCCGCGGTGGAACTACGCGACTTCTGCACCCAGTACACGAGCATCCGGAATATTAAACACGACGTCGCACTTGTTCAACACATCAACCACCTCACCGAGGACGACTAGAGTACAACCAGAGCCACCAAATGATTTTGATTTGTTTGACTATCCGGAACCGGAGCAGGGAACAAGCTTCGCTGGCTACTTGGGAACGGCCCTTTTGCTGGGTGCACTCGGATTGCTCGTGGTGGGGATGTGCGGTTGAACATGTTGTTAAGAGCGAGCAGGAGTTTCAACGAGAAATGAAACGACGAAAAGAGACAGCTGGTAGAAAAAGTGAGAAAAAAGAAAGCATCTTCATTTAGATCGAAGTAAAACTAAACGATCCTCATTCTCACTGGTGTTGCTTGTCTTGATACCTAAATCGTAGATTTATAAAGTTTTTAGTATATCTATATCCCACCGACCACGATCAGGTAGTATTGGTCCTCATTCCTTTTATTGGTGGTGATGAATCAATATGATAATGATGATGATGTCGCTTTTTATCATTCCATTTACCATTTCCAACATGTTTTTGCCACTTCTAACAGATGGAGACCACCCATTCAAATGAGATACTGTTACATCTTGATATAGAATTTCCGCGGTGTTGGCCATTGTGTTTGTTCCTCTGCGTCCAACAAAATTGGCGATGATGTGTAGTTTTCGCACCACCAACATGCAGTGAGTAGTTTTGCGCAGACTCACAGATAAGACTGTTCTTTCACCGGAACTGAACTATCAATACGGTTGGATGAGAAGATGAAGGTTGCACCGTCGTGGATGCCTAGCACCAGGATGCAGCGGAGGCGACCTTCAGCAGCACAACGAGTGTGAGTGACTGACGGAGAGTACTAAGGGGAAAAGTTCAAGAATAAGAATCGGAGCAAAAATTGCTTAGGGGGCCCAGCGACGGTAGGTGCTGGGTCGCGTTGTTGTAGTTTTTTTGTAGTAAGTGCAAGACAAATGCCACACACAGACGAAAAAGGAGAAAATACAAAAGGCCGGCTGCGGCCCCACCCCCAGGCTGCGGCCTGGCGCTTCTATGGCCCGACCACCGCCCCGGCCCCGGCCTCGCCCGATGCTTTTGTTGGCCGGGGAACCCAAAAGGGGCCCGAGCCCAATTCTGTGGCCATTTCGGAGGGCCAAAAAATCTCAAGGGGGGGCCTCCGCGGGGGCTTTCGCGGGGGGTCTTCAGGGGGGTCGATCTTTCTATTCTTGAAAACTCAACACCCATGCTATGGTGCCGATTTGGGGGCTCAGAGGGGGGGCGCCAATTTGCCGCTTCCGGACCCTCTTCGGAACCCCCCACCCTGTCCATTCTTGAAAACTCAACGCCGCTTAGTAATTGCCTACTTTCATGCTAATCACGACCTATAGGCAAAAAGGTGCGCGATTATTGAGGCTGCCACTTTTTTGTACCGAGTGTCCCCTCCAGACCGATCCGAAAGCGGGCGTGCGCGATGCTTCTGGGCGGAGGCGACCATAGCGCGATGCTTCCGGGCGTGCGCGATGCTTCTGCACCAGGATGCAGCGGAGGCGACCTTCAGCAGCACAGCGAGTGTGAGTGACGGAGAGGCATATATAGTTTTTTTCAAGTAGTGGAACAATCACGAATAGCTGCTGACCACGCAGCGCACAATGAATTCGGATTCTTGTTTTTCAATTCCTGAGAGACTTGTTCTTGTCACGTGGTCTGAGCTGACAAAAAGTCCTTTTTGTTTTTTACTGTTATATGTGACGCCTCCAAATGTGAATAGTTTTGGGTCATTTTGCGTCAGCGTCACATGCATTGAAAACAAATCGCAGAAAAACAAAAGTCAAAAGGTGTTTTAAATAACCGAACAAGGACCAGAACAGAACGAGCCAAGGACCAAATTCTTCGAAGTCGGACACGCCAGCATCATCGCAGACTACGGAGCAGAGCGTGGGCAAAAGACGAGAGCTAGAAGTTGAAGTTCCGTCATGATGCGCGGCAACGAAGCGGAGCATCTTGGGCAAGAGGAACTGCACGAGCACGACGAAGAAGCGAACGGAAATAAGTGCGCAGCGTCTACTAGCACTGCAGCAGCGGTGGAACAGGAACTGAACCACTGGAACCAGTTTTCGTCGACTCCACAGTTGGATAATATTGTAATTCCGTAGTGCAAAAATTTGAATTTTTTCTTTTTTTTTTATCGCTGGATGTTTTGATTGAGCAAGAAATGTTCTACTTCAGTGCGCAGCGCTCCATTGGAAAAATAAAGACGAAAATGCTGGTCATTTTACATTCGTTCTTCTGATCTTTGAATACATAAAACTATGTTGCATAATCTTCAGGGTCTCGACATGGCCGGCGCAACCACGAGTGCAGCTGCGCCTGCGATAATTCCTGACCAGGGTGCAGTTCCAGGCGTTGGGACTGCAACGGCCGATGAAGCAATTACCCTTGATGTTGTTCATCCAGGAGTGATGAATAGCCCGACCGCGGTTGCGAGCGAGGACGTGGCCCGCCAGGGTAGCAATGATGTCATCTTCACCGGCACCGCAAACGAAGACGAAAGTACGGGAGGCGGCGCGGAAAATAAGCGAGTAGATGAAAGAACAATAGTGGTCGGCGACCATGACCAAGTGGACCAGTATAATCATGCCGGTGGTGCGACCACGTCGTGTACTACGTCCTCACCTACGACACTATCAAAAGAGCTCGAAGCGCCCAGCACTGTCGCGGATCAGTTGAGTACCATCGTGACCGCCGCTGCCGATCTGGACACCACGTCAACCACCGGAAAGGAGTCATGGCAAAAGCGGTCCACGGAAAAAGGGGAGCCCTCCAGCCGCAGCAGTCCGCGGGGCAGCGTGAGTGACGGAAATTGCAGTGAGGAGCCGCATAATTCATCATCAAACCGCGGCGTTTATTCATCTTCCGGGTGCATGAACAACATCACCAGTGGGAATACGAATACTTGCAACAGTGGTCCCCCAACTACTAGCGGGGCCGGAGGGGCGTCAACGTCTGGGTCCGGTTCCGTTGTCGTTGGTTCCTCCGTTCTGGCCGGGAAAAAGGGAGCTTCGAAAGGCTCTAATGTGAATAACCACTACAGAAAAGACTACACCAAAATGAACAACAGCCCGTGCGGTGTTGGCGGGCCAAGCAATCAGCAGATGAGTAACCGAGTAGACCACGCGATGAAGAATCAGAATGGGAATGGCTACAGGAACAGCACGACGAATAAATCTGCTGGCAACTACGCCACCAGCTTCAATACTGGCGGCAAGGGCGGTGGTGGTGCTGGTGGGGGCCAGAATGCTCCTGTCGTGAGGAAAGACTACACGGCCTTGGCAATGCAGAATGAAAATCAAAGTCACCAGCAACATCACAATAACTACAAAAATCACTACTACAAAAACAACAATGCCTACGGGAACGGAGGTGGGGGCGGTGCGAGGATGAATCAGAAAAACAACGAGAGTGCGGGTCCTCTTCATGGCGGCTACAATAACCAGCATCAAAACAGGGCCGGATCACACACCAACTATGGAAAAAACAATAACAATCAAAACCAGCACGCGAAAACCTACAACAAGAATTTTTCTAGCGGAACTTCGTCGCAACAAGATAGCCAGAATGAGGGAGGCAATAGCACTCATCGGATGAATAACAATCATCGTAATGCTGCTGGTGGAGGAGCTGGAGCCTCAGTCCACAACACGTCGGCCACCGGCGGTGGTGCGCAGATGCACGGTGCAGCTGGAAATGGTACCAGAAACTCGGCCGCTGCGGCTGCCGCTGGCGGTGGAGGTGAGCGCGAACAGACCTCCAACCAGAATCCAAACGGAAACTACTTCAACCAACATTCTAAATATCAGCACCACAATCGGATGAATCAGCAGAGTGGTGGCCAGCAGAGGAACAATGCGAATACGAACGGCGCGGGGCAGCAGCAGCAGCCACACGGCGGATCATACAACAAGCACCAGCATTCATCAACCCACAACAAGTCCTCTGCGTATAATTCTGGTGCCGCTCCTTCAGGTTCTTCTTGGAACAACGCGGCCGGGGGAAATAACAGTACTACCAGCTATTCAGCGCACCACCATTCAAATGCTTCGCACTCCGCCAGCAACGGGACGTCGACATCTAATGCCGCTGCGCCTGGCTTTTCCTCCTCCAATGCGGCCAATAAGAACAACTCCGACAAAAATTTTGTTGGAGGTGGAAGCCACAACAATAATTACAGCAATAAGGAGAACAGCATGACCAGCGCAGCATCGTACAATTCGCAAATGAATACTGGCCACCAGCAGCCGAACCAACATGACACCAGCGCAGCTTCAGGAGCTACTACAACTTCTGGGCAACAAGTAGACCAGAAGCACACGACCACCTCCGGCCAGCAGCAGCAAGTGCACAGCACGTCTTTGATGGATGGCCGGTCGATGAATTACCATGTGCAGCTGGAAAAAGCAGTCCGGGGAAAGAAAGTGGAGGAGGCCTGGGCCATTTTGGAGGAGATGCAGCGGGATTTTGTGGTCTGCGACAAGTACGCGATATCCAGGATCTATCCAGGAAAAAAACCCATTCCCATCCAATTTGTCATGCAAAACATGCATAATTTCCTATGTTTGTCATGCAAAAAATGGATGGGGATGGGTGTTTTTTCCTGGATAGGATCCTGATGAAGACAGTAAACCACTACCACGACTTGAATCTATTGAAAAGAGGAATTGCCGTGGTGGAAACCTTTGTACACCAGCAGCCGCAGGTATAATTCGTTTTTTTTGTTTGGAATTGGGAAATTTGCATTGCCTATTTGCTTTGGTTCATGGCGTCACGTTTCTGGAACAAAAAAGCAAAACATCACCAGACAAAACGCAAGAGCCCCCTAGAATGAATGCTATTCAAATTCACGACGCTACGCCCCAGGACGTCGACGAAGTCCTTTTCAACTCGCTCCTGGACGCGTGCTGTCGCACCCGCGACATGGCACGCCTAGAGTCCATCCTGAACCAAATGCGGAAAAACGGCATCCAGCCGAGTTCCGTAACTCTAGGAATCTTGGTGAAGGCCTACGGCCAGGCGGGGGATATCCAGGCGGTGTGGCGTGAGTGGCTCCGCCTGAAGGACAACCTACACGAGAACGCAAACGCGGTCACGTTTGGCTGCATGTTGGACGCGTGCGTGAAGTGTGGTAATTTTTTCTAAAATTTGGGTTTTCGTGTTCTTCCGTTGATGGTTTTTTCATCTCGGTAGATGAAGTGGAAAGCAAGCGCAACTACAGCAACAGGTGCAGACTTGTATTTTGACGGAGCCGAGAGTAATGTCGAGGTAGATGTAGTACCAGCCTGTTTATACTGTTTTGCATAAGTCGTGCCGTTTTTGTACCAAAGGACAGCATGAACACCCTCAGGCGACATCGAGAAGGCACTGTTCGTGTTCCAAGACATCAAGCGAATCGGCAAGCACCACAACACCATCCTGTACACCACCCTGATGAAGGGCTTTGGCATGGCCCGGAACTTGGACGGGGCGTTGAACTTGTTTCGGGAAATGCGCGCCGAGGGGGTGCCCGTCAACACGATCACGTTCAACTCGATGATTGACGTGGCGGTGCGGGCGCACGACTGCGAACGGGCAGAGGAACTGTAATAGAAATTGAAATTCTTGATTTGGTCTGTGCCAGCTTTCAATATGATGTTGATGATAGATAAACATGACGATGACGGCGCTCAACAGAACAGCATCTATGCATCCTACAAGTCAAATAGTTCAACACAGTACGGTGCCCGTAGTTCTTCTTCTCGTTGGTAACTCGCATGTTGGACTAGTTGGTGTGGCGAAGCCGAACGAACGGAGCGCAGCTGAGATTGAATCAGTGAGTTTGAGTTTGAGTTTTAATTGAGCCTCCACTCACTTACACTCCGACTTCAAACGTTAGTGCTTTACTATCAGGTACCGCGAACTGGAAGAGACGAGCGGCATCGAGGCCGACCTGATTACCTACAGCACGCTGATCAAGGGGTTCTGCCAGGTGGGCAACTTGCAGAAGGCGCTTTTTTACATGGAGACCCTGAAGTACAAAAACCTGCAACCTGATGAGTTGGTGTTCAATTCCCTCTATCAAATGCAAAAGTGTCTGGGTCTGGAAGATTCTGAACCTGTGACGCTGTCTCTGGATTCTAAAAAAGTTTGATTGCATGACCGGCAACAGAACTCCAGTTTGTGCTAGCCGGAGAGGGCATTTCTCATTCGGTAGAGGCATCACAAAGGCCCCCTCTAAAAATCTGTCATGCTAGAGCATGCATCACAGACATCATGAGTCTTCCAAAATATGTACGACAAACCTGGCAAGCTTCCAGACCCAGACATTTTTACATTTGATACCCTCCTGGACGGGTGCGTGAAGTCCAACGATCTGCAAACCGGGCTACACCTCTTCGAGGAACTGGCCAAGGAACTGCAGAAAACCTCGCATGTCACGTACCAGATTTTGCTCCGCTTGTATCGGAGGAGTGGGTACAGCGATTCGGAGACAGAGATGGCGATTCAGCAATTGTACTACAGTTGCAATGTGATGCTGCCGAACACCGCAGGAGGCGGAGCGGGCAATATTAACCATCATGGGAACAACCACCTTCACAACAATTCGTCTTCTAACGGGGCGAATGGTGGTAACAGCGGAGGGTCTTACAACAACTCGATGATGCACATGCAGGGTAGCAGCTACTCCATGGGAACAAACAATCAGCAGCAGCTGCACCAGACTTCTCGCAACGGAAACAACAACGGTTCATCTGCCACCTACGGGCCGCACAGCAACAACCACATTGGAAGTAGTAGTGGAGGACATTATCACAGCAATAACTACAGCAGCAGTTTTTATCAAAACAACCAGGGCTCCAGTGTTTCCAACTTTCAGATTCAAGGGCCGCGGAACAACGAGAATTGTATTCGGAATCACTTTCAGCAGGGGTGCGCAGCGACCACGAGCAGTATGATGCGGAGACAGGAGCAGCAGTCGCGGAATAAGTACATTATTCCGTTGTATCATTTTTTGATTTCAAATTCCGTATCTGATTAGGTGATTTCAATTGTAACACGCACTTCATGCACAAGCTGCTTGTACTGGTAGATGAATCGAAGATTTTTATGAGCACCTGAAGAATCAATTTAGTCCCTCCATCAACTTACTCGTCCAGCCGCCGTCGCGGCGAGAACTTTGGGCGGGACAATCGGGGTGCTGCTCCTCTGGGCGCCGGTGCTGGGTTTCTTGGGCAACAGGGAGGCGGGGGGCTGGGTCGCAGTTCTGGCTTTGTCCCCCCTCCTGCTGCTGGACCGAGCGGCAGCATGGGTAATGCAACAAACGGCGGGCAATTCGGCGGCGCCTCGAAACATATTGATGGAAGTAACTGTGAACAGGGAGCAGCTGCTGCGACTATACCTACCGGAGGTTCGTCGTATGGGAACACTGGTGTTGGAGCATCGAACAATATAAATTCGTACAACAATGGCACTAATAATACCGCGCCAGATCATGGAGGTGCTGGCCCGCAACAACAGCACAGCCTGGGCTCCTGCAACAATCTTCCACAGCAGCACACTGCAAACCAACATGGAGGAGCTGCGCTCTCGCAGCAGCAGGATTATTTTCAGGGGTCCTTCTACAACGCCGGCGTGAATAGCACTTTAGACCAACACGCCGCTTACCAGAACCCAAATAACTACAGCAGCGGCCTCTTATCGACCGGCGGTACCACACCGGTGCACGCGCACCATCAAATTGCGGGCGGTGCCCAACAAAATGCCAACTTCAATCCATTACAGCAAGAGCACGCATTTCAGCACGCTACAACTTCTATGAATAACAACCACGACATGGGTAGAGGAACAACATCAAATGGGTTCAGTTACAATCTGACTGCTGGTGCTATCAGTGGCCAACAAGGACATCAGCATCCCCAGCACCAGCAGAATCCGCTGCAGTTTGACAGCCAGCAGACGCATCAAAGTGGAGGGCATAGCCATAGCTTTCAAGCGCAGCTGCAGCAATTGGGCGGCTGCACTCCAGCGAGTGGCGTTATGAACAATCAGCACGGTGGTGCACTAGTTCCTGGAGTAGGACAGCACCAACAGCAGCAGCTTCACGACCAACAGTTCCAATACCACGATTTCCATCAAAACAGCACTGGAACATCATTTTTCAACAACCCTGCAGCAGCCGGAAATAACCTGTACGGAGGTGGTGCGGGTGGAGGTGGTACTTCTGCTCACCATCAAGGCCACCAGCCACAACTGCACAACTACGGCACGACCGGCGCTACTGCAAATAATATTAATGCGAACGCCTGCGCAACTAGCTACAACGAAAGCACAGTATCTTCCTCCTGTGGGGGCAATGGAGGAGGTAACAAAAGTACGAGTGCCACGTTCAACCAGTCTTTTGAGTCGAAGTCCACTGCCGCAACGAATCAGTCACCGCAGGAGTCCATTGGGACCATGAACCACGATGCAATCCATGAGCGGATGTGCGGAGGAGCAGCCTCTGGAGCGGGCGCAGCTGGTGCGGGGGGAACGGCGGCGCTGTTGGAGCAGTTTCATGCTTCGTTGGTAAACGTTTTTTTACTGTAGTTCTTTCAGGTTCGTGACTTTTTGAGGGACCAACGTCGATCGGGATGAAAAGGGCTTGCTGGTGGCGAACGTGTCTGGAAAATCAATAGTTCCCAGTCGAACCACAGCGATGGTCAAGAAAATCTATTGATTTCGAAACCGTACAAATTGAGGAGAAAAACTACAGACCGCCGCGAGCCAAGGATTACCCGGGAGACTACCCTCGAAAATGCCGGATGCAGGCCTGTCCGCGGGAGGTGGTGCAGCAGCTACCAATGGAACGAACAATGCAGCTGGATCCTATTTTGCAGCGACAAATAACACGACAGGGGGTTACAGCAACTTCGGGGTGACTGAGTAAAAGTTTTGAAAACGAAAAATCGTGTTTTGTTGAAGAAAAAGAGATAATACCATGTACTGAAGAGTCTCGTCGTTCAATACCCTAGTGGAAAGAAAAGCTTGGAACTGCTCCAAATGGTGCCAATCCACTTCTACTGAAATGCTTGTTGCTCAATAGAAGCCAGCCTCTAGTATCAGCTACTCTTAGATTACTGCTTCTAGACAAATAACACGACAGGTGCAATTCGTAATCGTATGCAAAAGAGAGCAACATACCCATATTTCCAGTGCGATGAGCATGCTGACTCACGACTCAGGCTCCTCTAGCGGCCCTACAGAATCTCATATGACGCATTATTTTAGCGCCAAGTATGCCTATGCCGCTCCTACGTAGCAGAAGTTGAGTTTTTATCATCCGCTCTACTCTGCTTCCAAGAAGTTGAAGTAAAGCTACCGGGGTACTACCTAAAAAAATTGTTGATGGCTCTCCTGTGTAAGTATTTATTCAAACGTCTTTTTATGGTTTGTTTCTCTATTTCCAGCTATGTTTTTGTGTATAAAGATAAACAACTACAGCAACAAATGACACAATCTTCATGGTACTCTGCCACGATAATTTCCTAGTGTTGATGATGTAGCGTGTTTAACCGCCGTAGAAATTCGATGATAGGAAATATGTCTTTATTCTGAAGTTCAACATGCAGAATCTATAAAATGCACTTCTTTAATGTTTCAAGAACTCAAATGGAAAAAAGATGCAAATGCACTTCAAAATTTTACATGTTTCTCCTCATGGCCTATTCACAACATAAAACACATTCGCAGCACGATTCCATCGCTGGAATTCTCCATCTGTGGACGCCGGGAAAACTTTTGCTGCATGGTGGTCTGCTTTGAGTTTGACGTCAGTCTGCTCGTTGGACGATATGGCAGTTCTGCAACGATCAGGGAGGGAGGATAAATTCGCGGTTCATCCGAAAACTGACTTTCTTGATGATGATCGGCACCTAGCAGGCTGCGCATCGATCGGCAAATTGCACCGCTGCTGCTCCTCCAACTACACTACCGCATGATCATATGAGCGTGCTGGTTCTTCACGATTTGAGTGTGAGTGCGGGAGACATGAAGTTGTCATCGTAAACAACTTAAGCTAAATGCAGCATTGTTTTGTCGTTTTCTATAATCGCACCAGCATGTCGGGACCCTCGTTTCAGTTTCTTTCGTCATTCTTGCCTTCATTCAAGCAGATAGCGGTGATCTTGCGGCAGGTCCCAGCGGAAGATCGGGAAAGAACAGGACCGGCTCGTCGTTTTATTGAAACTGTCGGAGTCGGTGTTCTTGCTTGTGCGGAGATGGAGAACCAATGGATGCACCGGGCCACGACCGCGATTGAAGCTAGGTGACCACAGATGCATGTTGTACTGTCCGCTGTGTACTAGCTTGTGTACGACGAGGACGTAACTGATCGGCAAAGTTCGCGACCTTGGAGCTGCTGCTATGTCTTCAACGGTCGTTAGCGTACAGAAGTGTGAATTTGCAGTGAATTTGTATTGCATGACTTGCATTTACTTAAAAGAGAAGAGCGCTACGTATTAGACACACGAGCCCAAGCATACCACATAGCCTGAAGGGCTGCTCGTCGCGTGGTGGCGCTTGCAGCACCAAAAGAGGTGGTCTTGCGGGGGCTCGCCGGGCTGTGTAGTGCGTATCTAGCGACCAGAGAAGGTGGGTCCTCGGGGGGCTCTTATTCTTCTGCGCGTCTGCCTCAGAAGTTCCTCTCCGAAATGGTCGAAAGGGAGGGCGACGCCTGAACACAGGGGCACTAGTTCAACATGTATGCTCTCACGAGTTGTGGTTGGCTCGGCTTGGACTTGGATATCTGGGAGCAGCCTCGGGTGGAAGGGGAGGCACGATTCGGCCGCGGACACTAGCTTGCTTCGCCTGCTGTGCTCTGCTCACAACTCCCTACGTGTCTTTTTGCCTCCGGAGCAAGTCTTATTCGACGTGATCCCCAGGTCAAGAATTCCCTTGGTGAATTTTGGGACTTTTTGTTTTGGCGACACTTTGTTGAAGCCCCAAAACGCGCTAGCGAATTTTGAAAAAGAGCCGGAGGACAAAACTCACCGGCGTCCTTTTCAAAATTCACCCCAAAATTCACCGAGCGCCACTTTTCGACCGTGATAAGCAAAGTTTAGCGCAGAAAAGTGCTCAAAAAAACGCACAAGTAGACCCTGGGAAGTGGGGCCGAGGGGAAAAGACAGGCGCCCGCTGTTGCCCTAAGCGCCTCTATATTCTGCCGAAAAGGCCTGGAGAGTTCACGCGCCTGCCGGATAGACGCGTCAAAGCTCTCGGCCGGGTCCTTTCGCCTTTGCTGGACGTAACTGATCGGCAAAGTTCACGACCTTGGAGCTGCTGCAGTAGGAGGGCCGCCATGGTGAGCAACGCAACCGGGGGCAATATGAGCAGTCCGTTCGGAGGAGGTTCGGGAGCAGGGGCACTTTTGCCGAGCCACCACGACTTGCACAGCCCGGTCGTTCACCACCTCCCTCGGCAGCACCAGAATAAGATCGATGAGGAGCACCACGAGGCGAATGAGCAGTGTGTGCTCCTTGGGAAATTCGGCAGTCTTGGTTGGTGGCTGCAGGTGCTTTTGCTGGTTGTGTGTTTTGTATCCACAGTAAATTTTCCGTACACGTACAAATGCGGTCTTTGCATGACAAAAATGGGCCCTACCCAGATAGCAACAAATGCTCTCGCCGCAGCAGTCCCAGGAGCCTTTATTTTGTTGTTGTCTCTCGGTAGTGATCACTTTGTCCAAACTTATTCTACCTAGAGTTTGTCGAGTAAGTCAGTGGCTACCGTTTTAAGTTTTAGAGAACGACAGGGACGCCCAGCCCTTAGCTTCCCAACATGACAAAAATGGGCCTCGATCCTAGTTTAGCATGACAAGTGTTGCGTTTCCAAAGATAGTGAAATTTGTGATGCGTTTTGTACATGTACAGGAAATTTGTATTGCATATTTTGTCTCCCTGATCTACAAGAGGTTCACCGACCCGGTGAGGAGAAGCTGGACCATCTGGTTTCTGGATACCAGTAAGCAGGTAATAGGTACTAGTACTAGGAGCACTTATCATAGTACCGCTTTGGAACAAATCGAAGATGAGCCTTTTTGCATCTTCACAAATCGTGACGCACGATCAGGAGCAGCTACAACAGCGTCAACCACTGAGATGAATTCAAATTTCAGTCTTCTTGCATTATTTAGTTGTTGACGTCGACGAACAACAACAAGCACAAGGCTCCTCCTTGAGCAAAAATGAAAACAACATGCTTACAAATCGCTACAGGGCGTCGCCGCCTGCGTTGTCCACGGACTCAACATTGCCTTGTCGAAGCTGTTTGCTTTCCTTTCCACCACACCGAACTCCGATGCCTGCAATTGGTACTGGCTGAACTTGATGCTGGACTGCACGCTGGGCGTCCTAGTCACGTTTCTCTGCCTCCGCATTCTCTGCCGCGTCTACACCTCGGTCAGACTCGCGCTCTATGCAATGCAAAAGTATCGTACTAGTATGTATTGCTATTGCATTACAAATTAGCCCAGCATTACAAATTGAATTTGTAATGCTGATTTCCCTTGAGAAAGAGATTTGTAATGCATAAATGCAATTAGAATTACTACGAGTACGATACTTTTGCACAGGATACGCTCTACTGCCCGACGAAAGTGGCGAACTTCACCTACCGCCCGGAATTATGAAATGCAAAAGCATCGCACTAGTATAAATCGCATGACAAATTTCCTCAGCATGAAAAATGGAACTTGTAATGCGGATTTAGGTTAAGCTTAAGAGGGTAATGCATGACTGCGATTACTACGGGCACGATACTTTTGCACAGGATAGGAACTCGCGAGAATTGGCGACTACGGAGACCCGATCGACTACAAGATTTACAAACGGCAACTGTTAGACTACCAGTTGATCATTATCTTCAGCAAGATCGTGGTCTTGATCTTCGTGCAGGTCTTCTCGGATGTGTTGCTGTCGATCTCCGGCTTCATTTTGGGAATCTTCACGCCCTATCCAAGGGCGAAGCTGGTGTTTGTCATGGTGATTTATCCAGGAAAAAACACCCATCCCAATCCATTTTTTGCATGACAAACACAGCAAATTATGCATGTTTTGCATGACAAATTGGATGGGGATGGGTGCTTTTTCGTGGATATGATTTGCCCCATCGTGATGAGCTGCTTGGCGTTGTGGGTGACCGACAACTTTTTGCAGTTTTACAATGATTCGTTTGGCGACGTCGTCCGGGAGGAGCAGGAACTGGCCGAGAACGAATTGAAGGTAGACGAAATGGGAGGTGTGCAGCTTGACACGACGATGCATGGGAGCAGTAGAAGTACACCAGAGGGACGAGGAGGACCCCCACACGGTCGTGGCCTTGCACGCGGCGCCGGTGGAGTTGTGCAGCACCATGCTATGGATGATTTTGTCGGCATCGGGGCTGCCAGTGCCAGCAGTAGCGGCCGCCCGTCGCGACCATTGACGCCACAGAAACAAAAAGTTTTGGATATCCACCAAGCGGATCACCTTCACGGCTTTATTTCACCTGCTGGAGACCAATTTGTTTATCAGGACAACGATGTCAGCATAGAAGATGCCGATGACGATCTATCTTCACCCGATTACAGAACCACAGCAAGAAGCAACAGAAACGGCACAACCGGGAAGAAGACGAGTGCATCTTCTAGCACGACCTCTTCGCGCCTCTACAACCAAATAGCAAGGCGGAAGAGCGACAGGGATTTGACGCTGAACGTAAAGCCAAGGCAAAACGCTGCTAATTCCTTCGCAGCAAACGTGATAGGTGGGGCCAGAACCATGCTAGGAGGCGGCGGAGGTCGGAACAATGATAATAGGGCCACATCGTCAACATCGGCTGCAGCGACCTCTAGTTCGCTCGCCTTGGGAGTTGCGGGACGAGATGTGGCGGTGGCCAACATGGTTGCAGCTACACCGGGCGGAGGAGCTTCTTCGTCCTCATCAACTTCAATTTCGAGCAAAAAAGCTGGTACTAGTACGAAAACAGGAAGACAAGCAGCGAGCGCCACGTCATCATCAAGTGGTTTGAAAGCTTCTTCCTCGGGCTCCGTTCTTATGGACCATGTGGTAGTCGACGGTCATATCGAAGATGAAGAAGAAGATCAACCTCAGCTCGCAGTGGAGACTCAGCTCTACAACTCCAAGACGACATCGTCCTCTGGTGAGAGCCGTATAATAGGACGCGGAGTCGTGTCGACGTCTGCTGCGGTAAAAACCTCCGCAGCGGTCGCTGGTCCTGCTAGCGGACTCCTTGTTCAACATGGAGGGTACCAGCACTTCCAGTCTGAGGAGGAGGATCTTCGGGCCGGTACTTCTACTTCCACAGCGAGGACTACAACGGGAGTGGATTGACGCGAGAACCACACGAGAGGGGCTGCGTGAAAATCCCCTTCTGTGATGAAGGTTGTCGTAGCGTGCCTACTACTATTCGGAAATTCGAACAGTGCTTGTTTTATTCTCTCTCATGATGTTCAACACGTACATGATGTCTTGGCTTGACTTGCTCTTGCGCGTATTAAAACAGCTAGAACTTAAGCAGCGTCTGTAGCTGCAGCTTCCTGTCCTGTTTTTTCGGGCAGGCACCATTGTAAATGCATGAACGTCCACCAGACAAGAAGCACTGGATCTTGCATCACTGCAGAAGGTGCAGGGTGCAGCAAAATAGATTGCATGTTCTTCTGTGGCCTAAAAATGAAGACCAATCTCACGTCGTCTACCCACAGCTTCAATCTGTATCCGCAACTGGTGCTTGTCGCAACTTCACATCTTGTAAAGATGCTGCGGGCACCAGGGGCAGCATCGCATCGTTCTAAAGTAAGCTACAACTTGAACTTGCCAGCACGCAATTGAATCAATCGTTGCCGTTGAGTGTGGTCGGGATCTTCATTTTTCAGTTTATGGAGCGCAGGAATGTACTGTAGCCTGTACAACCTGTACAACCACGACAGAGGAGCATTAGAGCATCACTACAGTTTGGTACAACTACACATCATCAAAAAACGTTCAGCACGAGTCCAAGATGGGCAAGGATAAGAAGAAGAAGGACAAAAAAGAGAAAAAGGAAAAAAAGGAGAAAAAAGACAAAAGTGATGACAAAAAGGCCGATGCCGGCGCGGATTCTGCCGAGCCTAAGGAAGCCAAAAAGGACGCCGAGGATGCGAAGTCGGAGGCCGCTAGCGATGCCGGCAGCGCAGCCAGCAAGAAATCAACGAAAAAGGCCGCGCCGAAGAAAAAACTCACTGCGAAAAAGAAGAAGCAGACCCTTTTGCTTTTGAAGGCGCAGCAGAAACGGGTGCAGGAAGTGCAGGACTTGTTGGACCAGGTGACGAAAGACCTGGATGCCGCGGAGAAAGTATGGCGCTCTCAAACGTTAGGTTACACTCTCAACTGTTACATGATTTGTCATGCAAAACGAGCATCAACATCCACACAATTAAGCTAGGATAGTCACAAGACGAGTGCCTAGGATTGTCACAAGGGCAGGAAGCGAAACAGGACGAAGGAGGTACTGGGGTACAGGGCGGTCGGGCGCACGAGGAGGGCAAAGCTGGGGAGGCCGGGGGCCAAGAAGCTCCTGACAGGCAGAGTGTGAGTCAGGCTGTAGACACCCAGAAAGATCCGAAAACTAATTGCGGGACCGCAGTCGTTGATCCATTGCGCAAGTTCCACATGGGAACCGACTGCCTCGCGTTATGCCGCGAGCTTGGTAAGGATTTGGGGAAGTCAAAGAATAATGGCGCTAAGGCCCCAGCGTCGGCCGACCGGACCTGTAGAGGAAGTGAGGCTGCTGGCGCCCCCCAAGTAGGGCACGCGGCTTCCTCGTCCTCCTCGATAGCGCACAAAAGGTACGACCAGCTCACGAGAAGCGAGCGCAAAAGGTTTCAGGTGGGGAGCCCAAGAGGCACAGGGAGCAGCTCGAACGAGCTGGCAAGAGGGAGCGCTAGCGCAAGTGCGGACAGAGACCAAGAGCGAGAGGCGGACGCAACAGTGCGCGGGGATGCCACTGCATTAGGGGAAGAGGGAGGACAGGCAGTCAGCGCCCGGCGCGCTGATCCCAGCAGTGGGCCGAGAAGTCACAGCCGGGACATCAAGCAGGGAGTTGCCGAAGCGGCCCCCCCTCTCGCAAAGGAGTTTGGCACGAGGCAGCTGCCAGCGCAACAGGAAGCGCAAAAGAACAAGGGGGCGGCGGCTTCTGTCGAGCAGACGCAGGGCCCTGCAGAACCGGCAAAGCAGGCGAAACCCTTTGGGGAGCCCTTCGGGGTAGGGGTGGGAAAGTTCCAGAGGCTCCTGGATGTCGTCCATCTGATGGAGCCAGCCCACAGCGCGGATCAACAAGAAACGAGGGGGGACAGGCTGGAGTGCGAACAGCTTTCACCCAGGAGTTGGGGTGAGATGTTGCGTAGGGTTACAGGCAGGAAGAAGGGGGATTTCGAGTAGAGTAAATACTCGGCGTCCAGCTGCGTCAGTGCCTGCGCTAGGCAAGAGCAACACTCTGAACCACTGAAATTCGACACATTCAAATTGCAACACTCAGACTTTCCTTTTCTCGATGAGCAGACTGCAAAACAAGAAAAAAAAAACAAAAGCAGAAGTGTAACATTAGCGGGCGCTTTAGCTCCTGCTCTTCGCTGCCTAGGCAGTCGAGTTCGCCTCAGTCGCGAGACCGTATTTGTGTTCGGCGGACGATACAGCGCCTGCTGATCATGTCGCGTTCTGCAACAGAAGCAAAGCGGTGGCAACAAGAATGAACATCGAAGGGCACCGGGTCACTACGTATGAAGGGGATTGCCGGTCACCCTTAAGTGGTAAGCTCCGAGACGAATCCGGTTTACGATCCCAGTCCCCCCTCCCACCCTTTGCTTCTGTTGCAGAACAAGGCTGCACTATGACTGCCATGCACAAACTAAGCCTTTAAGTTGTCGCTGTGCCCCAGGAGGGTTGCCGGTCAGCAGCGACAAACAACTGGTCGATGGTTTGACAACTGTGGTCCGTGCAATTGCCCTGCTCGCCCGTGCCGCAGGTAAGGCACAAACGGTCCAGCCTCCCCTGTCTGGGCGGGGTTGCGGCTTAGGGGAGAGTCTCGCCCCTTAACCCAAAGGGGTACGTCGTCTCTTCCGTGAGAACAAAAACGTAAGGCGTAAAATGGGTCGGGTCCTGGATCGTTCTGTATGTTGGGCTGTCGCGCCCGGCTTGCTGGCCGGGCTGTGCCGATCAGGTGTGGTGGGTTGCTCCCGACTGGTTGGTACTTTTCTTGGGGCGACTTGCCGTGGTAGCGCTCGGCTTTTGTATGATGAGGTCGCCGAAAGTGCTCCCTCGCCCACCCCCCGGGGAGGGGATCCTTGACCTGTGGCGCCGGGAGCGGGTGTCCACTACATGACGATGATGATGAAGCTACTTCGCATGACAAATTTTGGAAAGGCTAAACAGCCCCTAAATCTGTGCGGAATTTGTAATGCTACAAATGCAACCTCCCTTCTTTGACTTTTGCCATTCTTGGATTACAAATTCATGTGACAGTTGAGAGTGTAACGTTTGAGAACGCCATAGAAAGCCGCAGATAAGGCGTTCCAAGTCGCCTCGGGTGGGAACACGGATGATTTGCGGGCGGACGTCCAGAAGGCGACCAAAGAAGCGGACTGGAAGCTGTCGCAGACGAGAAGGTCGAAGCGGGCGGTGGAAGCGCAGCTGAAGAAGGAAAAGGAGGAGCTCCAGAAACTGGCGGACAAAATTCGTGGGGGGAAAACGACCGCGGACAAACCCGAGCCGGAGAAAACGCAGTACGACAAGGCGCTTGGGGATCTGGGGGACGATCGGCCGGTGTGGTCGGTGCCGCGGAACGCGAGCAAAAAGATGGGCGGACTGAACACGCCGGTCGTGGCGTTGGACCCGCGGGGGTTCCGCATCGTGCACAACGAAGTAGACCACAAGCACGGTACGGACGACGACTTCACCGAGTTCCCGAAACGACAAGCGCTGTTCAACATGTCGGGACTGCAGGAGATGCGGTTTCAGGTCCGGCAGATGCGGTTGGCGAAACGGCTGGCAGCCGGGGACCCCGACGTGTTCCCCCGCGAATTTACGTTCAAACTTACCATCGTTCGGGTGGAGAACATGACGGACAACGAACACTCGGTTTTCATCGCCGGTACCACCGCCCACAACTTGGCTCGCGCGGACCCCACCGCCGCGCACTTCTATGAGGACAAGTACAACTACAGCGACCCGATCCCGCTGTTGAAGTTCCAAAAAGTGAAGCTCGCGAAGGAAAACGAGTTCTATTCGAAGCGCGTGGAGGGGAGCTACATCTTCCTGAAAGACATCGAACTGCGGCTAGACGCCTGGAGTCCCAGCTTGTACAAGATGAACGACTTCCTCGGGACGGCGACGCGGAAGCTGTACGACCTGGCAAACGGAGAACTCTCCACCTACATGACCGTGACGCAGCCGATCTTGAACGACATGGAGGACCCGGATTCGATGCCCGCGGCGAACAAGGAGATTGACCGACCGGCGGAGGTGATGCGGGTGGGGCTTTGTTGCATCATGCAGGAGATGTACTACTTCGAAATCAGCTTCGCGGGGTTGCACTTTCTACCCAGAATCGTGAAACAGTTCGCGGACCCGAGCGAGCTGAGGCTCCGGATTTCCGCCCCCTGCGACATGTACGGCAATGTCGAGTACTTCACGTCGGACTTTGGCAACGCGGATTACACGTTCGAGGACGGGGGTACCTTTCTGTACGAGGGAACCCGAACCTCGTTTCAATCGGAGTACGTGGAAATTAGCATCATTTCCGGGATGCGGACCAAGGGCGCGGGCATCATCCCCCTCGCCGGGACGGACCTGAACTCTTCTGTTCGCGCCGTGGTGAAGGCGGTAGATTTTCGCGAGAAGTCCTACTTTCTCGGGGTCTTGACCGGTTTTGTCGCCGTGAAAACGCGGTCGAAGCTCCTGCCCCCGGGGATCGAGGAGGACCTGACCGACCCGACCATCCCGCGGCCCATGCAACCGCTGCAGCGCAGTTTGATCTTGACCCTGGACCCGAAGATGCAGTACCTGCTCGTGGAGGTGTACTCCGCGGACGGGTTGCCGGTCGCGGATCCGGACTCGCGCATCTCCAACCCCATCGTGCGGTGCAGCTACGTATCAAATGCAAATATGTCTGGGCGGTCCTCTGGAAACCTGTGATGCTGATTTGCTGCTGGTTGCAACGCTTGCCATGGCAGCCACGCATGACAATTTTTTGAAACGCCTTCCGATGTCTAGCACGCATTACAAATTACGCTTTCGCAACATAACAAAGGAAGCGGCTCTTCTGCTGCTCACGCAACACAGATTTTCTAGGAATGCAAGACACGCATTACAAGTTCCACGTTTCCAGACCCAGACGTATTTGCAGTTGATACTCCGACGGGATCGTGCTGGAAACCTCGGTTGCGAAAGACACAACCCGACCGGTGTACAACCAGTACCTGCACTTTCCGGTCCGCTACGCAAATCCCGCGGTGCGCACGGATCCGAAGCTCCAAGACAAGATCCTCCCGGTGGACATCATCAAGCGGGGAAATTTAGAAATCGAAGTCTGGCACCACAACGGCGTGACCACGTCGGAGCTCCTCGGGCGGGTCGAGATCGACCCGCATTTGATCATGCAGTACGGCGTTGTGAAGCCCCGCGCGGTCGCGGACCCGTCGGCGCAGGCCCGGCAGTCTTCCGGCGGGGTGGGCATGGACGGCGAGGAGCCGGAGGAAAGTATGGAGGAGTCTGTGGATTCGGACTATTCCCTGAAAATTAACATCCCCATCCAATTTGTCATGCAAAACATGTAGTAAAAGCTCCGTTTGTGATGCAAAAAGTGGATGGGGATGGTTAATTTTCAGGGAATACGATCGCCGACAGCGACGCCCAGGCGGATTCCGCGGATGCCAAGCGGCAGAAGGACTTGCGGACGCAGCAGGCGGTATGGCGTTCTCAACTGTTACATTCTCGACTGTTACGATGAATTTGCGATGCAAGAATGGCAAAAGTGATAGGGGGACTCTTGCGCGTCTTGCATGACAGATTTGGCACCGATTGTCAGCCTGTTTGGCCCTCTGAGAATTTGTCATGCGAAGCAGCTTGATGGTGTCGATTCTGAAGGCAATTTTGCATGACAAATCGCGTAACAGTTGAGAGTGTAACGCTTGAGAACGCCATAGGCGGGGATCTTGACGTTTGGGATTCACCCCGACCTGATCAAACAGCAGAAGGTGCGGGTGTACTAGGAAAGCCTCAGAATGGAAATTCTCAAAGTGGAAATGATTTGTGATGCATGAAATGCGACACCAAAAAGGCTGTATTGCAGAGAACGCAATGGAGGCCGACTATTGTGCTTCTACGGCTTCAGAATTGAGCTGCTGATTAGCACGAGAGAAGGGCACCCCTTTGCCTAACTAGCATGACAGACACGTTTTGAGTGCCCGGGAAATTTGTCATGCGCCGACTAGAAATGGTGCTTCGACTGGAGTTGTTTTTTTGCATTACAAATCATTTACATTTCCACTTTGAGGATTTCCAACCTGAGGCTTTCATATCTACCAGGCGCGGAAGGAAACCCTCACTGGCGGGTGGATCTACACGAGCGCGCGGAGTTCCATCATATCCACAGAAAAAAACCCATTTACATCCATTTTTTGCATGACAAATAGTGGATTTGGTACGTGTTTTGCATGACAAGAAATTGGATGTGGATGGGCATGGGTTTTTCTCTGTGGATGCATCACCTTCGACGCCTACTTCATTCCCGACTTCTATGGAAGCGTCAGGTTTGAAATCGCCAAAGTTGAAATAATTAATTTGTGATGCATAAAATGCATAGCGCGAAATACGTGTGTTGCAGAGCAGGCAAGGGTGGCCGATTGTAAGCCTGTTTGGGGTTAGAGCTCGAGCTGTTGCAGTAGCATTAGAAAAACAGCCATCTTTGCCTAAACAGCATGACAAACAACTCGATTTAGGCATCGCCAAAATTTGTCATGCGCCACTTGGAAACTGGGTTCCAACTGGCATCCATTTTATGCATCGCAAACTATTTCAACTTTGACGATTTCAATCCTGATAGGTCCATAACTTCGCCCCGGATTTTGTCGTTCCGAGCCAGCCCGCGGAACCGTCTTCCGCGCCGGCGGCGGTGGACGCGCGCCTGAAGATGGTCGACGATTGGAACGAATTTTTCGACACCTTCAACCTGGCCTACACCTACTGGTTTATCGACGCCATTCCGCCACGCAAGCGAAGGTTTATCTGCACCACCGAGGCCATCAGCAGCGGGAACCTGGTCGGGGCGGCGGGCGGGGAGGCGCAAGCCGCCTTGAACCAAGCCCGGCAGGACGTCATGCTGCTGCCCAGTCTGATCCGCCACACCGTCCTGCCGGACGGCTTTCGGTACCAGGCGTATGTGCTGCACTGGCTCGCCTGCATTCCGTTCACCGTGTCGCAAAAACAACACCAGACCCACTTCCTGGACCGGTGGCTCCCCGTGCAGCAGGTTTTACATGGAAAAAAGGGCTCCGTGCAGGACCACTGCGCTTTATTGTGCTCGATCTTGACCAGCCTGGGCGCCGACGCCTACGTCTGCAAGGGCACCGTGATATGGAATTAGTACAACAAGCTTGATGTTCATCCGACGTCTGTACACGGCGTACAGATTCTTGCGTCACATCAAATTTCATCGACGAGTAGAGAACGCAGCTACTTTTCATGCGAAATAGGATGCAAGGAGAATCTTGTCATGCAGAAACCGCACATGTACTTCTTATGTCTACGCGCCATCAAATGTACTGTGCATAAGCTCGGAACCCAGAGTTCGACCGGGGCGTGCCCAAGTACGCCGAGGAGCGGCTACGGCTGGCGAGGCAAATTGTGTACCGAGAGCACTGCTGGGTCATGACGCGGGAGAAGTCGGGCACCGTGGTGTTCTGGGAAACCACGCAGGCCATCACCTTCCAATTGAAGAGGCGGTGGACGGGGAAGGCGATGGAGTCGGAGCACCAGTACCGCAAGCTCGTCGCCAATCAACAGGCGAAGAATGCGAAGTGGAAGAACAAGGAGGACGACGAGAGAAAGGCGGACTCCTACGTTTTTTGGGACCTGTTGGCGCGCCGGAGGGACGCGCTCACTCGGCTGAAGGACCTGAAAAAGCTGCCGATCGTTCCCATGGCCGAGATGGGGAGCCAGAGCAACATGGTCGCCTTGCCCTATTACAGTATCGAAATCGTGTTTAACAAGGACAATGTGTGGGGCAACCTGCGCAACCACGACCCGGCGTGGATTCGCTACGACCTCGACGATGACCACCAGTGGAAACCGCTCATGGAGATCGACGGTACGGAAAAGTGGTTGTTGCAGCGGAACGACTCCAAGTCGCTGGTGATTGGGCCTTCCTTCCGGGTCGTCGATAGCGAGCAGCAAATTTTGAAAATCCAGGCCGACGTGGAAGAGGCCATCCGGTTCGCCCGGCTGCGCATCGGGCTGCAGACGAAAGTGTTCCGGAGCGCGATCCTCGGGGAGGTGCTATCCGAATTCCTGGACAACATGGAAAAACAGTGCCTGCTCGACTATCCACGAGTAAACGATTTCCCGCACAGGTATGTAAAGAAACAGACTTTATGCAAGTGTGGTCTCTGCAGCATCACAAAAAGAAAATTGGCCTGCTGACCCTAGTCAGCATGACGAGTGCAGCTACACTGGTGTTGTTCTAAGTTCTGGCAAATAAATTTGTGATGAATTTTGTTCTCGAAACTGCGAGAAATCGAAATTTGAACTGCATATCAACCCATCGCACTGCACGAACATTGACGGCGCGGCCAAGTGTTTGCGAAAAGGCTCCTACGCCTGGGATGGGTCTCTGCTGACGACCAATATTGCCGCGGAGAAGTATCGCAAAAAAGCGAAAAAGCAGTGGCAGAAGTGGTGGGACAAGTACCGAGACATGGATATTCGGGTGGCGGGCGTGCCCATCCCGTATGCAATGTAAATTTCCCGTACATGATGTACAAAATGCATGACAAATTTCGCTAACTTGCAGTGCCCAACTTGTCATGCTAGACTAGGACTGAAGGCAAGTTTTGTCATGCAGAGACTGCATTTGTACGTGTGCGGGAAATTTACTGTGGATATCCCGGAGTCCACCACCTTCGAGGGTGTGCCGTTCCACCTGAGCACCATGGAGCTGCGTGAGATTCGGGCGTACATCTCCAGCAGCAAGGACGCGCGGCGCCTGTTCATGGTCGAGGAAGAGACTTCGGAGTACGTCGTGCAGGTGAACATCTACCCCTTGCAGCACGAAATCGGGTCGGTGTGGATTTTTCTCGGGCGCATGACCCGCATGACGGACGCCGAGGTGGCCGTCGCGGCGGCGGCCCAAGAGCGAACGATCGACGGCGCAAAGCGCGAGAAAAAGGAACGCGACGAACTAAAGTCAGCGGTCATGCGGGACCTCCTCGGCGGCCCGGAAAAGAAACAGGTGTTCGGGTAATAATCATCCTCATTTTTTAGTATTGAAACAACTTGCAGCCGCAGCGGCCGCTCTTGCGCAGCTTGTTCTGGCACAAGGGGACGACCGCCGTTTCTTGCAGGAGGAGCTCCTCCTATGTTCTTCGCAGGAACACGAACAGAAGCTCTCCTGTGCAGAGCAGATCCAGATTGTTCGGTCATTCGGCTCTCCTGTGCAGCAGGTCTGATAAAGTCCTCTGCTCTCATTGATTCATCAGAACTCGGTTCTCGTAAAGCGATGAGATCATCTTGCACAGTTGATGTAAAAAGTATATCTACAATCTCGGTTTTTTTTTTGTTCTGGAGAAACATCATGGAACTTTCAACGCTATCTTTCAACATCGCCAAAGAATTTGAACTACGGTGGTGCATCTTCACCCTGTCGATTCATCACTTTTGTTGTGCGCCAAGGCCAACCTTTGCCTTTGGACGCGATATTAAACAGTAGGCTGATCATGCTGATTTTCTTTCAGTAGTAATCTTCAGAAGATCAAAACATCGCGAATGCTCGATGCTCAGGTCCAGAACAGTTCTTCCCGTAGTTTATTTTGCCCCCCCAGTAGACTTGAATATCCAATGTATCGTCGTAGTATCTACCCATATGAATTACCTCAAGTCGTTGCCTTTTCGTAGCATTGTGGTCTTTTCGTTTTGCTAATTTGGCTATAAAAAACGAAAATCTATCGTGCGGTCGCTCGTCTTCGTAGTTCCCCATGCCTGCCCTTCATCTAGAACTACTAAATTTTCCTCTTGGCCTCCGCCGCTGGCTCTTGTATTAATTGAGTAAGAACTGTATCTCTTTCTCTTCATATATCGTGTTGTTCGTCTTTTTTCGCCGCTCCATAGATACCCATCTGCCTCTACCCCGTAGCTACATGGTATAAAGTAGTTTTTTTCTGTCGCGTCCGTCGTTTATTTCATAATCGCACGAAAAATCAAAATGACGAGTCTTGTTGGCTACCATCAATTTTTTAGCACTAAATACCTTCTCGCGCTTTCTGCAGTTGAGGCGTTTTTTTCCCCCAGCTAACATGATTCACCATGCTTCATTCGGGATAGAAAATTCAAATTATACAACCTGAAGCTTGATTGTTGTGGATGCCCCGTCCTCCGCAACAGGACCGAGAGTAAAAAAGAATGTTACCTCCACTGCGGTGCCGGGGCCTGTTGACCGCAAGCAGGAGTTGGCAACAACAATAAGAATAACTGATACCACCCGAACAAAGGAAGTAGAGCAGGTAGACCACGAAATGGCGAGCATCATGATCCAAGGCAGCTGCACCGAGTACGAGTAGGAGCAGACAATCACAATTTGTCCTGAACTAATAAACATGATGATGCCTGGAGGACAACTTTCCAGGCCGCTGCTTGTCGACCATGGCGGTGTAGAGGACGATGTTAAAAACAAGATGGCTCCTTCACACTCTCGTCCGCAGTCGGGCCACCTGCAGGAGCACAGCACTTCTTCCGCCCGGAGGAACCACCAAGCGGAGGATGTTGAGCCAGACGACCTCCACCTAAAGCCATTTGTGAGCAGTTTTTCGTCTGCCAACGAGTTCAGCGCCCTCTTCTCACAAGCCTCGCTCACCCTGCCGAAACAGGCGATTTTGGAGAATTTTGTGCACCACAACCCGTGGGACATGCTGCAGGAATCCGTGGACTTCTACGACTTCATGGCCCACCACCGACATTTCCCGAAGGTCAAGATTCCGCTGCGAGTGCAGGCCGCGACGGTCGAGCTCGCTTCGGTTTTTTTAGATCGTGGAGCGAGCAAGTGGAGTTTCGAGGCGTCGAGTAGAAACGCAAAAACTCCAAATGCAGATGTACATGAAGAACAAGTTCTTGCAGCGATGCACAGAGCGGGTGCAAGGCGGGATCATGAGTCAGGAGCCCCTGCTGGTAGTTCTCCTTTCCAGAAGATGAGAGGACATCGAGAAGAGCTCGACTTCCTGCAATTCTTCGCCATCTTAGAGGCCGAGGATGTCGATGGCAGTACAGAGATAGTAGAAGTAGGTCATCATGCTCACCTTCCACCGGGTAAAAGCTCTAAGATTACGAGGGCCACCAGCAGGACGAGTCAACATGAGGAAACGCGGCCAGTTCGTACCCCTGGCCGGCTCTCATCGGTTTCCTCTTTCGGTGCTACACTGTTGAGGCGGGTTGCGAAGCTAACACAATCGTTCACAAAACCCAGCACGAACTGGAGAAGCTTTGCGGCGCAGAGGGCCAAGGAGGTTCTTTTGGAATTGCAAGAAGCGGGAAGAACAGAAGCCGCGGTACAAGTAGAAGTAAACGAATCTGCGACAGCGCCGGCGTCAACAATAGCCTCGTTATCAATAGCCCAGCGAATCCTGGAGGAAGATTTCCACTTTTGCTACAACCTCCCTGTCACCGAAGAAAATCTGCGCGCCTTTCTTTGGGCTTTACCCGGCTACGCGGGCATGTTCCAACGGATGGAACGGCACGAAGAAGAGCAGTCTCACTCTCGACGTGGTCTACTTCGTGAAGATGGAGGTCCTCCTCGTCGTGGCTTGACATCATCACCAGAAGCACAAGCAGCTCCCAGACTGCTTCATTTCGCCGCCGTTTTGTCCACTTTTTTGCGCTCGAGTTTGGAGCATGACAAGACGCAAATCGAGATCGAGTATACGGGTCCGGAAGATGAAGCGGAGTCCGACATGCAAAACCCGTCGGCGGTGGCTTTTTTACAACAAAACATGGCGCGGCGGGAGGCTTTGGAAACGGAGTACGAAAAGGTCACTTTGCGGTGTATCTTTGGGACGACGAATAGTTACTCAGAAAATGTTGACGGTGAGGACAGCAAGGAGAAGGAAAAACATGGTGCCGCGCAAAATAGGGCTCGTCTCGTCGCTGGCGGTAAGACAACTCGTCCTGCGAGGACACTGTTCACGCAAGACAATCTGCACGATGTACGGACGCAATTAATTCTAAAGCAGGACGAGGAGCTGGCTGGGAAACAGCTGCATACTAGCGATCTTCATGATCCTCTTTTCTGCGAGGAGGTCGTAGGGCCAAAACAAGCTGCGGCCTCCGGTCCTCGTTCTTACAGGATGGAGACTGAGGATTCATTTTCTGCAAGAAAACTTCTCGCAAACAGGGTGAGAAAGATCCAGCTCTTCACCTGTATCGACGAGCGGGAGTGTTCCTTTCGCAGACACGCCGAGCGGGTGGGGCAGGAGTTATTCTCTTCTATTACACATCAACATGATCATGATGAAGAAGAAGAATACCAACAAGGGCGCAATCGTGCAGCTAGACTACAAGAACCAAGATCAAGATCTCCAGACGGCGTGGTGGTGGAAACCTTCGGCGTGCCAGGCTTTTTCGATTTCCCCATCCGATACCGACCTTGTTGGGCAACTGGAGGCGGAGAACACGGAAGCGATGCAACAAGTTCTTGCGGAGGTGTGATCACCCTTGCGCCGGAGGGTAATTTACCAAAATGCGTTTTGGTCGAGGAAGAAGTTCTTGAGGGAGCAGAAGGAAGAAGTTCTTCACTCATTTCATCTACTTCGGATAGTACAAGTTCAAACTCCGGTCCTGGTCCTTCGACAAGTTCAACAAACATCTCGACGCTCGCCTCCTTGCCGGCTCCTTTGATGCTTCTACGTGCTGCCGACCAGGTCTTGTCATCCTTGTTTCCCCGCCTAAGCGCAACTCCTTATCGCGCGGAGCTCTTTGCGAAGTTTGACTTCTACGTCCACGAGGTTGCCTATGGGTGTGTCAGGATCGAAATCGACAAAATCGAAAAATTTGTGATGCATAAAATGTAGGGCACTGGAGGCCTGTATTGGGGAGCAGGCAAATGAGACCGGTTGTAAGCCTGCTTAGGGGTATGCAATGCGATGCCAGAGTAGCACGACGGGAGCGATATTCTTTGCCCAAACAGCATGACAGACTGGATTTGGGTGGTCCCGAAATTTGTCATGCGCCGCTTGCAAACTGAGGCTCCAACTGGTATCGATTTTATGCATCACAAGTTTTTCGATTTTGTCAATTTCGATTCTGACACTTCCATATTGCCGGGTTTTGTCCGGTCCGGAGCTTGCTCGTGTCCGCGGTTTTGTTCCCGTTTTTCTTCTTCAACTTGTGCCTGGTGTGCTGCTTCCCGGATTGGCGGAAAAAGGTCGTGTCGGACTGGTTTTTTCACAAACTATGACAATGCACAACTCCCCCTTCCCCTCATTTGTCATGCAAAATACCAAATCCACCCCTTGCCTCTTGGCACTGTTTGCATGGCAAGTTCTGGGAGCCCAAATAGCACTACACTCCAGTGAAAATTTGTCATGCAAAACCGGCACTCTTGCTGATGCTTGTACTGCCGCTCATGCAATACAAATGAGGGGGAGGGGGAGTTGTGCACTCTCATACAAACTTTTGAAGATTCCGAACGGGGAGTTTCCGCCGGCGGGAGATGTGGATCATCACGTTGAAGTTGTGGATCATCAAGAGGAAAGTGCTGTATTTCCGAAGATAAGTGGTAAGAACGTGAACGAGGAGAACTCGCCTTCTACAGTGTCATCACCATCACGACTGCCTCCATCTATTCTAGCACAACCAGGATCTGCCATGCCGAAAACGCGCCTGAAAAGGCCTCTCCCCTACACGAACGAGGAAGCTGCGGTGCGGTTGGCGCGAGTTTTCAACAACATTGGTGGTGGGAAGAGGATTTTCGGAGATGAGGATGAAGATCATGAAGCAGATACTGTTCTTGCTGCTCCAACATCTTCACAAGCACCATCAGCAAAGCAGAAACAGCAAGACAAAAAATTTCACTTGATTTTCGTCCTCGGGCACGGGTCTCGCACGGTGAACAACCCCTTCGATGCTGCCCACAATTGCGGTGCCTGCGGTGGCCGCGAGGGCGGGCCGAATGCGCGTTTGTTCTGCTCGTACGCGAACGACAGGGAGGTCCGGGAGATTCTGCGCAGCAAATTTCAGATTTCCATCCCCGACTCCTGTCTGTTCGTTGGCGGCTACCACGACACGAGCAGTGATTTTGTGGAGCTGTTCTCGGAAGACCTTTATTTGCTACTTGACGAAAGTTGTAAGACGGATGCGGGAGAACGAGAAGTGGAACAACTACGAGACGCCGGGCTGGTGCCGGATGTTGCTGTACCTTTTGAAGCAGGAGTAGCTTCTGATCTAGTTCGTATTACGTCAATCCAGAGAACAATCGCCCTCCTGCAAACTCATTGGCTGCTCGAAACGCGGAGAAGGAATGCACTGGAGCGCGTCGCGCGTTTCGGCCCGGTAGAGAGCGTGATTGCGACAAAAGCCGAAGCCCTACAGCACGTCCAACAGCGCGTGGAGGACCTGGGGGAAGCGCGGCCGGAGCTCGGGCACGCAACCAATGCGGCGATCGTGATCGGGCGCTATGGATTGCAAAAATGTCTGGGTCTGGAAGATTCTTACACTTGTCACGCACTTTTTGCATGAGCCACGATGTCTGTGATCCAGACCCTAGCAATACTATACAGATTTTTTGAGGGCTTCTTGATGCCTATTTCGCATGACAAATGCATTCTCAGCGTAGCACAAATCGCATTCCCTTTGGTACTCATGCAATACAGATTTTTTTGGAATCCAGACGCAGCATCACAAGTTGCATTCTTCCAGACCCAGACATTTTTGCAGTTGATAGGCGCCGGGAGCTGACGAAAGACAAGTTTTTCGCCAGACGGATTTTATCCAGGAAAAAACACCCATCCACATCCAATTTGTCATGCAAAACACGTATAAGATCCTGTGTCTGTCATGCAAAAAATGGATGGGGATGGGTTTTTTTCTGTGGATAGATTTTCCTGGTTTCCTACGACCCACAAAACGACGATGCTCTCGGAACGAATTTGGAAACGCTACTCACGCCCGCGATTATCGTCTGCAGCGGAATCTCCCTGGAGTACCTGTTCAGCACGACGGACGGGGGCGCGGGCACAAAGGTGCCCATGAATTTGGTCGGCATGTTCGGGGTACAGCAGGGGGTGAGCGGGGATCTGATGCCCGGGCTGCCGACGCAGATGACGGAGTGGCACGTGCCAGTGCGGGCGGTTTACGTCGTGGATGGGAAGGTAGAGGCGGTGAAGGCGGTGTTGGCGAGAAAACTGAATTTGAAGAGAATCATCGAGAACAACTGGGTGCGGTTTTTCGTGCGGGACTTCGAGACCGGGAAATTCTACCGGCAGCAGGAAAGAGGGAAATGGGTCGAAGTAGAGGTTGGAGGTGCTGGGGAGGAGAAAGAGCTAAATTTGCAGCCCGTCCACGAAGACGTTGTGGAACTACACGGGCATCAGCAGGAAGATGGTGTTGGCGGCCAGCACAGCGGCAATACTTCTAGGCATAAGCATACAGGAGCTTCAATATTAAACAATCCGCCCGTGCTGGCCCCGGACTCCTCGGACTTCATCAATCGAAATAATTCAGAGGTGGAAAACGAAAAGAACTTCAGCAAGGCGGGAAGCGAAAAAAACCTCTCCTCGACAAAACACCTTTTCAATGTGGACAGCAGCACCGCACTTCTGGATGACCCGCCGCCCACACTGTCGACGGTGTCCACGGCGGACACTCTGATTGGGAACGGAGGAGGCGGGAACTACACTAGCACCGCACAAGGAGCTCCTCTCGTCGTGGTGGAACTAGCGACACCGCTGCACAAAAAGCTGGCGGATGTGGAAGAAGTTGAGGTTGTAGCTGCTGATGTAGTACTACTACAAGAAGGTGGACTTCCAACGTTCAAGAACCGAATCGCGAGAACCCTGACCTACGTGCCAGCATCGGAGCAGATCCAATATGTCCGCACGTTGGTACATGGCGAACGGACTGCGTTCCTTGCGTCTCTGTTAGTCGGACTTTGTAGTACAGCGTTTGGATTCATCTACAAGGCGGCCGGTAATAGTTTTCTTGGTTCAGACGTTGAGTCGACGTCTCCCATGGAAAAGATCGCAGCAGGGCAGAATGCGGCGGCGCCAGCACGGGAAAATCAAGCGGTTCCGGTTGCAACCAGTGCCAGAAGTAGTGCCAAAATGTTTTTGACAGACACGGCATCTGGTGCTTCAACGAGCACTAGTAGCGACTCCACTATCTTCTTCTTCAAAGACCTCGTCTACCTCGGTTTCAACCTGCTCGGGATTTTCACGATCTGCTTTTCCAGACGGTACCTCCACGGCGACTTTTTGTTTTCGCGGTTTCTCCTCCTCTCCGCATTCATGCTGGTCGGGTTCGATTGTTTGGCTTATAATCATCTTCCGGTAGATTCATCTAGCACAACTAGCAGCATCGATAGTACAATCATCGGAGGCGGACTTAATATGGAAGACAGCTCGCAACCGACTGCGTCAACTACTACTACTCTGGGTTTTTCCCTGCTCTCCTACACGTCTATCTTCCTGATCGGAGCCTACAACGACCGGCGAGTAGTTGCCGAGAGCGCCACTTTCGTTTTCTTCGTCTACTGCGTCTCGGAGCTGTGTTTGTTTCTCGCGATGACAAGCGACGGTTTTTACAAAAAAGACAACGGGCCGCTTCCCACGTTCGGTCGTGAGTCACCTTCAGACGTAGGAACAGTACACGGCGGTGACACGACATTTTTGACGACATCATCATCCTCATTCCAAGCGGTCCTGCTCGTCCTTGCCGCAACCCTGAAGACCTCCCAGTTCCCCTTCACCGAGCTGTTCCCCCGCGCGATGGAGGGGCCGTCGCCTTGCTCCGCGATTGGGTATGCGGTCTTTTCCGCCCATTCTGGCCTTGTCCTGCTCATCGAGCTGAATGGTCTCTGGATCAACAGCAAAGTGGCGGTTTTTCTACTGCTCCTCATCGGATCCGCAACGATGTGCACGGCAACCGTCTCTGCGCGTCTCCGGGCCGACCGGAAGGGATCACTCGGGTCTGCGATCGCGGCCAGTGTCGGCGGACTGTACGTTGTACTTGCTGTATTGGCAGCTGGGTTTCATCATCTTCTTGACCACGGAAATGTTGAAATGGCAGCATCAAAAACTACTACCGGACCACGCACAGGAGGTGCACAATATCAAATCTTGCACCCCTCCCCAACATCCTCCTCGTTTGTTTTGTTCTTAGCCCTGGCTCACGCTACTTTCCGGTGTATCCAGTTGCTATCAAGTGCAAAAATGTCTGGGTCTGGAAGAGTGCGCGACTTGTCACGCTGCTTTTCCATGGCCCATGAGGTCTGGAATGCAGGACCTACCATGACAGATTCTGTGCGATCTCTCTCATGCCTATCCTGCATGAGAAACTCCCTCCCCACTTGGTCAAAACTGGACGACTTTTGGCAATCATACAACACAAATTTTTGCATGCTTCAGATTTAGCATGACAAGTTACCACCTTCCAGACCCAGATATTTTTACATTTGATAGTTGCTCCGGGCGCACAACATCATCCTCGAATACCACCAGTGGCGTGCGGCCATGGGCCGGGGAAGGCAGTTCGCGAAGTTGCAAAATGAAAATGATGCACGAGCAGATAGAGCAGCAGCAGCTGCAGCACTTGATAATCAAAAGGACGATCATGCTGAGATGAATTACTCCACCTCCTCCGCTGCCGACAGCATCATGCGGCCGACATTTCTGCCTCTTTCCACCAGCTTCCGCTTCTACTGGCGTTGCGCGAAACGGGGTTGCGGTAGTGACGTCACAGAACTGGTGTTGAGCGGGGTAATCGGGAACTTCTGTCGAGTGGTGAAAACTTGCGTGGTCGCTACTGTGGCTATTTGCAACAGAAGTCAAACAGAAACAAGTCGAAGTACTAGACAAAACACACTGCAGCGGAGGTTCCTCCTCGCAATGGAGGCGATCCAAGAGCCGTGGCAGCGAAACCGATTTCAGTGCCAGTATGCTGCCGTCATTATTTTCCTTGTCCTCATCGAAGTTTTGAAACGACAGAGCGCTGCAGCGTTTCTTGATGATACTACAACAACATCAACTATTGCATCTGCAGCGCATCACGTATCATCAACATCTTCCGTGTCAACATCATCTTCCTCTCTTTCTGACATAATTTTTAAAAGCGGTGGTGGCGCTGTGCTACTTGTTTTGACCCATATTTTCATCCCAGTAGTTCTGTTGCGATTTGTGTTTACCCACGTCTTGCACGCGAGGAGATTTCGGCATAGCGATAACGTCAGTGCACAAAAATTGACACAGATAAAAAGTGGTCGCTGAGCAACCGACGTCAATTGTAGCGACATGTTGACGACTACGATTTCTTCCATATTAATTTGTGTCCTTGTAGAGTCAATTACACAGAGCAACATATGCAAATCTCTCTTGGGAACCAAGAGCATACTACACAAGCCGACCGCAGAGAAGTTTCTTGCACATGGATCCACCAAATGTCTAATGTCATACTGCGCATCACGTGATGACGCGTCGACTGCCGACGTATAATTTGCAGAGGTCTCGAACAACTCATGGATGATTTCGTAATTTTTTTGATTTGAGGAAAACGAAAACAAAAGCAAAAGCCCGAAGATTTATTTGATTGGGCGGACGCTTTATTGCAAAGACATGACTCCTACACGACATCATTGTCATACATTCGTTTCAGAAGCTGGCATACTAGTGTGTCGGTGTCCCTCCCTGCTTGTAGCAGTACATGGTCAACACCCTGAAGACCTCGAGGGCGTTCGTGCTGTGTCTGTGCCCACCTATCGTGCAGGAGTTGTGCAGCAAGTCAGTCTTCCGGAGTCACCAGACGCTGAGCTGGGCGGCACGACAATTCTCTTGGGAGGAAATATCAGGAGCGGAAATGGAAAAAAATGTTGTTGCTCCTCCTTCTTTCAGAGAGAGTCCTCGTGAGCAGAGATTGTTCAGACACAAGATCCAGACAACAATAGTTAGAGTTTGTCGTTTTCCGAGTGCCAACGAGGGGTTGTCTATACCGAACAGCTACAGTCCTAAAGATAGTTTCTTTCATCGCGCCATCCTTAGCATAAAATGCCCGAAGCGACGCGCAAGCCGTCTTTCTCCGCTCCTGTGGAGCCGGCGTTTTCCGTCGATCCCGCGGACCTACACGACGCCGTTGTCACCGCAACCAGGAAGGCGCTCCCAAACCCAACCCGCGACCGAAACTTGGTCGATACGGTGGCGCTGGCGACCAAACTCGCTCTGCAAAAGGTCGTGCCTGCGCAGAAGGTACTAGTAGCACAGGCGAGCAAACTTGTTCAGGCTTAACCTCAAGCTGCACACAAGTGACGTTGTACATGCAAGTCTAGTGGATGTCCTCAATGCTCATCTTCATTATGCTCATGTTGTCAACAGACTCCAATATCAGTACCAGTTCAAGCAACTGTGTCCTTTCCTGCTACTTTGATGTTCTTGTCCCCAACAACATGTAGCTCATGCAAATTGCAATTCCAATTGCCGACGAGGACGCAAGAAAAAGTTTCAAATAACAGCCCGCTGCCTCCAAAACGGCAGTCGGTGTTGCTCCCACAACTGCTGCTGCACCCCGCACCTCTGCACCGCCGCAATCCTCCAACACCGCCACGAAGTTGCAGAGCCAGCTGCAGAAATTACGTTTTTCCTACTTCCGCGAGTTGACGGAATTGCGGGACAGACTCCGGGACGAGAAGCTCGTGGACGCTGTGAACAGTTCGAAGAATGGCAGCCACGACGTGCCGGTGTTTTTCGACCCGACGGCTTTTCTGGATGACGTTCCGGACGAAGTGAAAGACCATTTGGAGGACGTGGTGTATGAACTGCAAAAGTATCTTACTCGTTCTCGTACAAATTGCATATACAAATTTTCTCATCATGAGAAACGCAATTTGTAATGCTGTTTTACCTTAGGAAGAAGATTTGTCATGCATATTTGCAATTAGATCGAGTGCGATACTTTTGCACAGGATATGGTCTTGGAAAAGACGAAACTGCTGCTCTTGAAACACTCGCGGGAAGATACGCTGAGGATCAAGAAGCAAGATCAGCAGATGTAAATTTGCGGTTAAACTTCCATGTTTCCAAATGCAATTGAAAAAATGAAGGCTACTTCCATCTTGTTCTTTTTTGTTTCACTACTTATCGCCACGGGTTGAGCCATTTCGTAAGAAAAATGTGTGGAAATCTAAATCAAAATCACCGCAGCGCTGAGCTTCTCGCAGAAAACTCGCAGTTAAAAGAGCAGATCGAGGAGCAGAAAGCCCGGGTCCACAACGAGTATGAAGTGGCAGCCTGCAGCAATATTCCACGTCGTTCCCTCGTCGGTCTCATTTGTGGTCATGCAAAGATGAAAGAGGAAATGGTATGGAGTTCGAAGTCCAACATCATTAGACCTAGTTCTAGCTGCACTTTGCATCGCGAACCCCATCTATCGTCCTCACCTCCATCAGCACACGGGCAAGCAGGATGCTGCTGCAGCATGGCACGATACTAAGTTGGCATGCAAACACGACAGTGTAGTCCCGTGCTTCTGATTGCATCCCTGCTGCAATCATCTAGACAGGGGAAACATAACAAGACGTGGAAATTTTGCATCCTGACACCGAGACCGTGAAGCTGAAGATGAATGTGGACGAGTACAAGGAGCGCGAAATCCAGTACAAGAAGCGACTCGCCAGTCTCGAGCAGAGCTACAAGAAGTCCTACGAGGAGCTGGAGCAACAGCACAAGGACCAACTGGACGGCTTTGCCAAGGAGATTCTGCTGATAAAACAACAACAGGAGAATACGACTTCGACTACTTCGGCAACATCCGACGTGCGAGAAAAGAAACCCAGCAAGTCGAGTGATACTTCTCTTGGGCAAGTACTCGAGGACTTTAGTGAAAACAGCGAAGAACAATCTTCCAGCAGCTTCACAAATATCTCACCAGCAGCTAGAACCACACCATCGTCCGAAGTTGTACAGCCACACCCATCTGCCTTCAACATCCAATTCTCTGCCAAAGAACGGGAACAACACCTTGTCGACTCTCAACTCGCGAAAGAGAACGAGCTGCTAAAGCAGGAGGAAAGCGAGCTGAGTAAGGAATTGGAGCAGCTGCGGTCTGATATGCAATACAAATTTCCATCTGTTGTAGTACGAGTAGCACAAAACGCATCACAATTTCGAGTTTCGCCAACTTACAGCATGATACCACTTGTCATGCCGAATAGGATGGAGAGAACATGAAACAAAAGTTTTGCCATGCAGAAACCTCCGCATTTGTGTATCTCCGTGTACTACTGGAAATTCACTGTGGATATCGGAGAAGGAAAGATTGAGGACGAAATTAGCGACGTTGGAGATGATCCAGGTGAACAAGAAAGAGTCAGGTAGTTTTGGAAATAAAGACAAAATAAAGCCGAAAAATCTCTTCGAACAGCAGTTACAAGCGACGCCGGAGCTGGTGCTACAGGAGATGCAGAAAGAACAAACAGGTGATATTTTTGACGAGGATGCTGATGCAGCAAGAAGATCAAGATCATCAATTGGCTGCACAAAGAGCAAGAATTCGACTTCGCCAAGCAAAACATCAGGTGGAGAACAACCAGCAGCATCTACTTCTTCAGCGGTTCTTAACATCGATTTGGACAAAATCAAACTGCCGGAGAAGTCCTACAAGGAGTTTCTTGGCCGGCGATACAACCCAAACGCACCCATTCCTCCTTCCGGGGTCTCGTCCGCAAGCATTGCAGGGAGCCCACCGTCCTCTTCTCACGGAAGTACCCGATTTCCCTCTCCGTCAAGTGTGTCATCCAGTAAAAGCAGCTCACCACCAGGACCACCGGGGGGAACAAGCAGCGGTAGCGGAAGCAAAAAAGCGACAGCGAAGGTCGTTGCTCCGAAAGAGCCGTCGACGGCAAAGACAAAGGGTGTGGAATCCAAAATGGTGATTTCGCGGCACTCATTGCTGCGCCGAAAAACTGCACCGGTAGGGGCGGCATTAGCGCCGCTAGCGGGGTGAAGAAGTGCGTGGATAGTAAAGTTGATTCCGAGTCTTCGTTTTATCGTTTGTACAGTACTAGCTGCAATCTGCATCTGAAAAAGCAACGAACTTCTACTACGCCGGAATTTGAAGATACTTACTTAATTCTGTTAACGGAGTTGTAAATCCCGACTACTTCGTTCTTTTCGTTTCAAGAGGCCTCTCGCAATATTAGCGATATTACAAGTCTACACTTTAGCTTTACAACAACATCAGCTATTTTTTACAGTACTGCCTACTACAAGTACAACAAGGAGATCAGGAGTAGCTTGATTAACAAGTTCTTTTTTTTTGGAACCGTAACTACCAACACAACACGATGAAAACGTGCGCAAAGCCGTACCCTCAACATGATTTTTCGCAGCTCTTGGCGTTATCTTCAGAAGCAAATATTCGTCCCCCGAGGAGAACTTCAGAAAATAGAAGAGCGCAGATCGGTCCTTCAGCCGGTACTAAATTGAAGAAAAAGAAAAAGACACGACGTGGCCACGGTGCAGAATATGGCTCCCGCTCATCTCATGTTGCAGACAAAGCAGGCTAGTTTGTAGTGCTTTTCATTTTTGAAGAAGATTCAAGATTGTAATTGTATACGACACAGACGGTCGAATTGTTTCATACTTGCTTAAGTGCAGTAGCAGTCTCGCTCTCCTGAAAAAATGTTGCTGACTCTGTGTAAGGTAATTTCAAAAGCTTCTTCTACGGTGAAGTTCTTCTGTTTGTAAAAACTGGAGGCACGACTGAGATCAGGAAGATCAGCTGGATCTGCAATCGAGGTTCAAACACCTTCGACAGGTCCGCAAATGATCGGAAAACAGTACGTTGTAGAGGAAGAAGGATCGTCAATTTGAACGATGGAAGACGACGAGATCAGATGTTGAAAAGATCCAGAAATAACTGACGACAAGAAAGAACAAGTAGAGCACGGCGATGCTGCTCAGGATCCCTTCTGCTCCAGTAACGTATGTTTATTCCACCGTTGTATAATCACGACTTTGTATGCGTATGGTTACATCATCGATTTCCACCAAGCCACAATTCTGCTTCGATGGTATGAACAGCATTGATGACATTCAGCTTTAGAAGGACGAAGAAATAGAAATTGAAATGCATTGATTGAAACATCCGTTGTACTAGAAGTATTTCCGGGCGGCGGTGGTCAGAAAATATTTCGACTAAAATGGCGGCGAAGAAGCGAAAACGGAGCAAGCACATGCAACAGCATCTGCAAAAAGTGTCTATGCAACAGCAGCAGGTGCAGGACAAGGACAACGCTGAGAAGAACCAGACACGCGGCGGCCATGATGATCTCCAGTCGAATCATGTGGAAGCACCAGCCGCGCGACCAAGCGGCCAAGAACGTCCTAGCTCGTCAACGAGCTCGTCGCAGCAAAAGAACTACAAGGGTCTTCACGAAGTAGATGAGCATCAAGTTCTTGAAGGTGAACGCAGACGGGCGAAAAAACGAAAAGTTTCGAAGAAAAATGTGATCGTGGTGGCCGAACAGCCTCAGCTGCTTGGTGCCGAGACAACGATAGTAGACACCCCGGCGCCAGGACTAAAGGATGAACCTTCATCATTACCATCTACCAACATAGTCGTGTCCCAGCACGATATTTCTGCAGATTCAGAGTCAGAGCCTGAAGAAGAGACGAACCATGACTACTGCCGCACATGGAGTAACGCGCTAAGGACATCAAGTTGCTCTGCAGTATCAAGAAATAAACATTTGACAACATCAAAAAATATCGAAGTACCGACCACGACGACCTCCGGAGACCAGCTAGTGCCATTAACCTCTGTTGTAGACGGAAAAAATGATTTCACCCACTTCCGGTCCCTTTGCGAGGCGGTTTTCCACCATAACAAGCAGAGCTACTGGAAGCCGCGGGATAGCGAGCCGGCGAATATCTTCGAAAAACTCGCAGACGAGATCTATGATTTTCACATGTTACGACCAGCACGTAGGTGGACGAACACGAGCTGTGCAAAATCTGAAGAAGATGTTACAACAACGAACGTCATCAAGCCGGTAACCCGCGGTGGCGCCGAGTGGTGGGTGCAGGTACGCGATGATAGACACAGTGCGCAACAAGCAAGCGGTGTTCCACCTCCGTCTTACAGTTACAACCAGGGAGCATCTTCAAAGCAAAAACAGACCAACACCACCACCACCTCCCCTTCACTTGGGTTCCATTGGGACCAAGATTACGGCACAGCGGAGTGTCCCTTTCTCGGTACGGTGACCTATCTCGACAACGTAGGCGCGCCTACAGTAGTGCTGGACTACCCGAAAGATAACGAAGTGGATGAGGAAGTACAAGATGGAAGTCGTGGTGGCGCACCTCCACCGCCCTCAAACATCGGCAATAATCAGCGAAAAAATAAAACGATGAAGAAGAAAAACAGGAGCAAAAGCGCTAGTACAAGAACGAACACAAAGCGTGTGATCGAAACCGGGTTTGTCAGCCACCCGGAAGCCGGGAAGCATTTGGCGTTTCAGGGAAATTTGTTGCACGGCGTTCCAGAGCAGTTACAGAAAACGACGACACGACCGGGCCTTGTTCATAGAAATTCTGTACCAGTATCTCAATCCAGAAAGCGCATCACGTTCTTAGTGAACCTCTGGCCCGAGAAGGATAGCATCACCGATGTTCCCAAGTTTGACGTGTCAAAGCATTTTCCGGCAGTAAGAGAGGAGGAGCTGAGGCTGACGCTGAGCGGAGATACAGTGGCTGCTGGAGGTTTTGCTGATGACACAGCAGGTAATATCGGAACAGCTGCATCCTCCACCTCTTGTCAAGCCCTGCGCTTTGCGTTCAGCATGAGCAATAAAAGTGGAGGGCAACAAGAACTACACTGCAAAGGCGCTAGTCGTGGTGCAATAAAGCCTGACACTCCGGAGGAAGTCATCACCGACCGAGGGACCCCTGTTTGCGGGCTGACGTTTGATAACGGGGAGGAAGAGCAGTACGAACTTTGGTTGCCGGTTCCATCGATGGGAAGCTCTTCATCTACACGACCTTCGCGCATCAAGCACCAGAAGCAGAAGAGCAAGTCTCTTCTTGTAGCATCTTCACAGGCAGCTACTTCTCGGCCCCAGCAAGAACTGCCGTCAACACAGAAAGTGTATTTTCAGGGTGGAGCGCAAGCACCATGCTACGTGCTGCGGAGATAGAAGAGCTGGTGCCCCGCTCTAATGGCAAAGTAGGAAGCCGACTCAGATTGAAGTGGATCTACTGCCCGATTGAGATGAACATGAAGTTATAAACCTATGCTGATGTTCATGTTGTAGTTGTTGAACTTGAACTATGTAGCCAGCGACGCTGTCGTGCTGTGAAATCGAAGACTGTTTTGCAGTGGAGCGACAAGTAAATAACTGCTCACGACAAGCGACATGGAACATATCAAAATTCTGCTCGGACATGTGCCCTTGATCGCGAGGCGCGGCCTCGCAGAGGCGACGACTTCTATTTCCAGCATTTCTTTCGCAAGCCCTTGAAGATGATGTATGTTGCGCGAGCTCATCTTCTTCTAGTTCTCCCACTCTCACTCCGTCTGCGATTTGCTCATCTATTTGTTGAGAGATAAACAAAAAACTGCGCTTCAAAGTGTGATGATATTTAAGAGTCGCGAGGGTCGAGAGAGAATTATAATTGCAGGCGACCATGCTCCTGCGAACCTGTACCTGAGAGCAAAATGAGAAAAAATGTAAAGCTGAAGGTGTAGCCACGTTCTTGAGTGCTGTGAATGATGTTTGATATGTGACTTTTATTTTTTATACATTATCATCGTCTTCGAAAAAAACGTATATTAGTAGGAGCTTTGTTTGCTGTACGGACGGCGGAGTGCGGTAAAACACTTCTTATCGAGTTGTTGCGCAACCTCAACCACGTAAATTGCTTCTTGATTTGGGTCGGGACTATTTCCTTTTCCAGAAGTAATCAATAGACGAAAATCATCATCAGCTGCTACTTGAGATTTGTGGCCATTGTAGCATCGACACAGGAACAAGGGTTGTTCACGACCCTTCCTTGGTGATTCCGTTAGCAGGGCGCCAATCTTCATCAGCCGCACGACCATTTTTGTTCGGAGCCTGCTATTAAAGAGGAGCACGACGACCACCACCTGTGACGAGTTCGGGCCCAACAAGCTATCTCCGCACAGATGACGACCGTGGAGGCACCAGGTTGTACAACAATTACGCCAGCTGGAGGGGCAGAAGCTGCAGCGGCAGCATCAACATGCGCGGCAAGATCCACCTTGGATCATCATGTTCGACGACGAGCAGATGAAATGCAAACAGAGTGGTCACGACATCAATACCAAAAACGCCGGCGTGGTCTCAAGAAGCCGAAGCAATGCGGCATCTTCTTCGTCCTCGGGCGGGTCGTCTGGAAATGTCGAAGAGGAGGTGGACACAAGTACTTCCGGCGACGTCCACAGAGAAATTTCCTCCGAAACTAACAAGCAAGCCGCGAGCGTCGCTGGTGATGCGACTGCGAGTAGCAGCTGTGCAACTTCTGGTACCGAAGAAGACGAGGAGAATCAGGATGGTCGTGTTGAGAAGCTGCACGATGAAGGCACAGAGAAAACGACGCACCAGGACCCGCACAACTGCCAGAATTCTTCGACTATGTTGAACTTGAAAACTTCTACATCGGACACTGTCACTGACCAGCAGCACGACCCACACCAGAACACCATCAACCAGAAAACGAAAACTGGCAAGCGCAGCTCTTACACGAGCCGCCGCGCGTCCTCCTGTCCCTCCCCCGTTACCGTTTCCTCGCCGGGTAGTGATGACGCGAATGAAATCTTGCACCACCTGCGCCGGAACTCCACGACGCAGTGTGCCGTAGGTTCTCCCTCCACTAGCAAAAATCTCGAGGCGCAGCTATCATCGCCGCTGCAAACAGATAAGCAACATGACGTGGGTTTTCTTTCCGAGCAGAAGCGGCGGTCCTCGTCGCTCTTATCCCGTTCCTTCGCACGAAAAAGCTGCAACCTGTACAACGCAAACGTACAACAGCTGCAGCAGCAGAATCGCAGGCGGTCCAGCTATCTAGCTGCTAGTACCGGGGGTGCTGGAAGTTGTAGTAGTCCACTCGGAGCTACTGCCAGTGCCGGAGGTGGTTCTCCCAGCGCAACGTCCTGTGGTGGAGCTGCAGTGGCTTTTTGGTCATCATCTCCCACTACAAGCGTTGGAGCGATGAACAAGTCTCATAACAAGAGACAGATGGTGAAAGAGCAACAGAAACGCCGGAAAAGTGGTAGTCGCAAGGAACATCACGGTAGTAGGGGTAATATTTTGACGAGTTACCACCAACAGGAACACGTCCAGCCGTTTGAGGACTTGGCGCTTTATACAACAACTGCTTGCTCGTCCACGATTACACCGGGGACGACCAGTGCTAGCGCCACAAATCATCATGCACATGCCGGACCAGGACCCCAGCAAGGTAATGCGCCGGAAGAACAGCAACAGCACGGTGGACAAGTCAAACAAGGAAAGGAAGTAGAGAAACGGAAATCATCCAAAAGAGCCAGCGAGACAAGAAGTGACCGGAAGAACAGAAAGTCTACTTCTAAAGATCAGTTGCAGCAGAACTGCACCGCATCAGGCCACGCATCGCGCTCCACGACGAGCTTCTGTCCCTCCTCTTCCGCAAGTTTGGGAGCTGCAAAGAACCTCGTAACCGCGGAGGATGTTGCGGCGCTGCGTGACAATATGATGAACAGTCCCTCCACCGCCACGCCAGGTCCGCGTGGGAACAAAATTAACACCCTAAACGGACTATCCTCCGCAAAAGCATCAATATCGCGGCACTCGTAGTGATTTTTGCAATCATGCAGCACTAATCCGCCGGTTTTCTACCCGCGAATCCACTTGTAAGCTTGAAGCGATTTCGTAGGAATTCGATAAGCTCAGTTTTGTAGCAAAGGAAAACTTCGCGGATCTAAAGATCATTATATAAACAGGGGGATGCGCATCCTATAAACGCATACACGATCAAAATTTTACAGTATTCAGTTTCGGTTTCGTCCTTGATCCTAAATCGCGTAAAGCTAGGAATTCTTTTTTCGTCGAGGACTTTTCCCGAAACACACTGTAAATTCACCATTCTAAAAATACTGAAGACTCAGCGGAGTCACACCGCTCTTCTGTTCGTATTCTCAACACACTAGCGCGCGCGTTGCTTCCATATTCATAAGAGAGTTTTTTTCTGTCGACGCAAAGTCTTTCTTTGAGCTCTGGGTCTGTTTTTTCTTCCACTCGAAGCTTCTATTTTTTTCTCTCGTTCATCTGGCAGCGCACAAAAATCAACAAACTCACTTCCTAGAATCAATTTGTATAAGTTGTTTTTTTCCCAGCCGGGTCAGGCTTCAGAACTCAGGACTCAAGATAACACTCGAGCCGGACGCAACCGGCAGCCGCGTTATCATCAAAGCAAGCACGAAGGTATCTAATAGAGTTTCTTTCTGGAAAGCCCATGCATGAAATACAGATCCATGCTTCCAGATTCGGACTCACTCTTTTCCGCAACTCTACCCAGGTATGCCAACGGTAGCCGTGCAAACCGAGAGCACGGGCCCAGACCTGGAGGCTTCTATGGCGGCGCTGTTCAAGCACAACGTCGTCATGCAGAAGGAAAGCACGAAGCTAATCAAGGAAGCCGAAGAGCTGCGCAAGCAGAATCAGCTCCAGTGCGCCAAGTGCGGCTACAACAAACTGCAGTACACCAGGATCCAAGTCGAGAAGCAGATTCTGTGCAGCGCGGTCGCGGAATGCGTTTCAACGGAGCCAGCAAAAGCGCTTCAGGCGTGCTTGCGAGAGCTGGGCCAGCGCCTCGGGAAAGCAGTCGACTACGCAAAAGCGGGCACTTCCGCTAGCGAAGCAGGTTGGGAACGACTGGAAGACATCCAGTGCGCAAACAACCGAGCGCTGACGGGTCACGACATTCGTGACATCCAATCCGACATCCGGGACTTCCTCGAGGACTACCAGCGCTCCTACAACCACTTGCAGGAACTCAAGCGCTACCTCATCATGCTGAAAGTCCAGACGCACGGAATGCTGAGCGAAACACTGGCGCTAGGCGGTATTATGCCGGAGCACAGAGCTCGGGTGATCCGGAAGTACACCGAAGCTCTCCATGACCACAAACTCGTCTTCGCCTTGTTGTTCGACTCCGACGAGGTCGAAGTGGACACACTGGACGAAGCAATGATCCAGTCCATCATCGAACTACAAATCGCAAGGAAGCGGATCCGGAACGGGGAAGACGTGATCGATGAATACGGCCTTCCAACCCGTTTTCCGACGCAGCGCGAGCAGACAGTTTTGCGACCACAAGCAACGCTCGCTGTAACCGGTGGCCAATACACGCCAACCGCCGGATCGTGGTGGATGAGGAACGAGAACCATGACCACACACGAGAAATTGATGATCTCGCGGGTCGCATATTGACCGCACTCAGAGCAGCCAGAGTGTAAAGCCCTTCACTTGTACAATTTCAATAATTCTAAGCATCAATGTAAATTTCTGAAGCAATCCAACACACAAGTAACACCAGTAACATGAAATCTTGTGCAATTTCTTGGTATTCAACGGTAGTCCGAAAGCGCAAAGCTGAATCCCACACCAAAAATTCTTCGCTCGCCGCGGCTAAGCACCCAGCAGCTCTTGTTGCAGGCCGCGCGAGTGTTCTTTTCTCATGCTGAAATCAACCCACAACTCAGCTTCAGGAAAAAGAAATCGCTCAGTCGCATTCGTGCCTTCAGTCGTGTTTTTCCCGAAGGTAGGCCAGATTTCGTCATCGTGTTTTTTCTCATAGTCGCGTTCAAGCAGCGACTCCAATTTCGTGTTTTTTCCTTTTTAGAGCGATAAGAGAGAGCTTTTTCTTGTTTTTTGGTCCGCGAGAGTCACTTCGTCAACCTTTTCGCTTCGATTTGGCACGAAGTGCTTCACACTTTCCAGGACAGCTCTCTCAGTTTTAGTAAAAGTAAGTCAGTCCAGTTTTTCCCTCGCGTTACCACACAATGGCAGCCGACAAGAAGTGCACTATCTGCGACACCACGAAGGCCGACGCGCAGATCAAGTTCTTCTGCAAGAACCACTCCGCGGCCACGTCGTGCAAAAACTCCGTGTGCAACGAGTGCGACAAAGAAAACGGAGAATTGTGCATTCGCATGTTCGCCACGGTGAACCACTTGGACCCGGCTTACACGATCTGCAACAAATGCGACATGAAGTTGCACACCGGTCGGATCAAAAAAGTCGAGGCAACTCTGAAGGAAGCTGCTGGTGATTCTACACTGGCGGCGAACGTGATGGCTTCCGAGCCGTGGTGCTCGGGCTACGTCAATCTCACCGACGCCGAGCGCTTAGAAGGACTCAAAAACTGCAAACGCCCGGCGGTAGTTCCTTTTTTTGCTTTCTTAAAATTGTTCATGCATCATGAGACCAGCATGACACTCCGAATTTTCAAACTCAAACTCCCAGTTCCGCGAAGTGGAATCCAGCCGCTTGGACACCTCGGAATTGATCTTAGCGCACCAGTCGCAGCAGTCGACCACCGGTGGTGCCACCTCGGAAGCCTTGTTCAAGGATATCAAACGGCAGAAAAACGACCACTACCGTTTGAAGGTAGTGTTTTTCTTTGCTGTAATCTTTCAGATTTACACTCTCCACCACTCTCATGTGTAATGTCCGGCTTCAATCCAACCACAGGATCTTTTGTTGCCGGCGCACGGTGGAAGCATTCCGAAGGCGATCCGCCACTACGAAAAGTGCACTCTGCACTTCCCGGGCACTCCGTGCGCGCTGGTGGCGGCCCGCAACATGTTCTTCTTGAAGTACATTTTGGACACTTCGCAGAACAACGCCTCCAAGAAGGCGATCCACGCTGACCCGCCGATCAACTTGAACTACTCGGCGTGCGCGACCTTGAAGTCCTTCCACAAGAAGATCAGTATTTCTTGTTCCTTTCTTCTGCTTGATGCGATGCTCGCGATACCCATGCTTCGAGTTATCTTCCCTTTAATACTTTCAGAACTGCGCACGCGCATGGAAGCGACGAAGCAGGCGCTGTTCACGTCGTACTTTTTGCCGGAGTTCGTGTACTCCTGCTGCGCCAACCTGTCGAGCCCGTCGGTGTTGGCTTCCATGCTGAACACCTTACCGCCCGCGACTAACCCGATCGCGGCAAGCGCGCCGGCGCCGAAGCGCACCCCGAGGCCGCAGCACACCCCGACCGTGCCGAACACTCCGCATAAACGGCAGGGGAACGATCAGTACAACTCTCCCAGCACCCAGTACTTGCGTGCGGGGGACTCCAGCCAAATGCTGCCGCCGGCCACACCGCCGCAGTACCACCGCACCGGCAAGCCCCAGGGCATCCCAATGTCGCCGGCGCCGACGGTCCCCTCGACCCCGTATAAGGGCGGACCGGCCGATCAGTCCCAGCTCGCCGAGATCCAGCGTATCCTCTCCGGGGCGAATCGCGATTCGCAATCGGCCGCTGCGGCTTTCTCCTCCGCAAAATCGGCGCACCAGGGCGCGACCTACGAGTTCTTCACGAAGAACGGTTACTGTCGCAACTGCTTCTTACTGGGCAAGGGTCTCGGGCAGTTTCACGGACCGTCCTACGCGGAGTGCGAGCAGCAGGGCAGCCGTTGCCTCATCCAGTGCACGTGGTGCAACGAAGGGCAGCACTGGTTGAACCAGTGCCCGCGGAAGAACGCCGGTCAGCCGTCCGCAAAGGGCAGCAGGGGCAAGGGCCGCTAAATGATGATCGCAATTTCTAGCAACAAGCACTCGCGCCAAGTTTTTTCGCTCGTTTCTTTCGGTACATTTCGAAATCATTTTCATCTTCAGTATCCAGCGGTAGGTGTCAGTCACTCAAGCCTGTGCATCGCATTCACTAAGTTAAGTTTCACAGGATTCAATCAATATTCAAGTAAAATTAACTTCAAATTTACGAATTTCAGTTAAAAAAATTTATTTTGTGCCGCTCAGCAGCAGATTAAGGAGCAGTAAAGTATAAGTAAGTAGTCCTAGTTATCAGAGTTCCCATCTTCGCCACCTCATGACACGCAAAAGAGACAAACACAAGTTTCAAACATGGCATCGGGGAAAGTGAAGACAAGAAGTCAGTATTAGCGATTCAGTCACGGACTCGCACCGAAACAGAATCGCTCAACATAGAGTGAGTCAATGAATCAACTCCATTCGTTTAGCAACTAAAATTTCGGTGTTTTGTGATTTTTTCTCGCGCAGAGGCGCGCTCGACGGTTGGGGAAGGCGCTCTGCCCATCATGAGTTACTCGTCGCTCATGCTCCAGCATGTGATGAAGCGGGCGCTTGGCGACGAACTGGCCGAAGAGCGTGGCATCAAGCTCCGCAAGGACTCCGAGGATCAAGCCAAGTTCTTCGCACAAAGGGCGTTCAACTTGCAGCAAGCGAACGCGAACGCACCCGCGGGAGAGCATGGCGACGCTCTCTTCGACGATTTCGAGGCTTTAGGCGCGGAAACTGCAATCCAGTCCGTACCGCAGGACCAGCTTGCGGCACCTCCGCAACAACAGGCTTCTTCCAGTTCTGCCTCGTCTTCTTCCGCACCAGCGATGAGCTCGCTAATCCAAGGTCAGGCAACGAGCAGCAGTTCTCAGATAAGTCAACTCGAACCACTCCCCAACATTTACAACAACTTCATCGAGGACCCACCAAGCTCTCCGGAGTTCATGTCTGTGCCAGACCTTCAGGCACAGGTCCAAGCAATCAACGGCGGCACTTCAACAACTTGGCTTCCGGCTTCAACCGGAGCGGGCTTTGTACACCAGCAACCCGCTCAATCATCCTCGAGCGGAAGCAGCACACAACCCGCGTCTTCCATTGCTACGGCACAGCACAAATACAAGCCGTTCGTCTCTTCGAAGCAATTAGATCTCAAAATCTTCCCGGAAAGACTTTCCGTGTTCCAGGAGTTCCCGCTTGACGAAATGCGGCGAAGAGCGCTCGTGGCTGCAGCTACGCGATTCGCGGAAAGCAGCATAAGAGAGTCAACCTGTAACACCTATTCCGGCGTGTTGAGCTCGGTGGTGCCACGGATTTGCGAAGTGTTAAATTTCCAGCTTTGGCCAATCACTTCGGCATCCGAAGCAGAACTGTTCTTCACGGCTTTCGCAACTTCAAAAAAAGCACATGCGAACCACGTGAACAAAACGTCGGGCAAAGTGAATTGGAGCAGCTTTCGCAGCATCAGCTCCGCCATTTCGGCCTACAACAGCTGCAGGACCAACGTGAACAATTTCTCTATGAGGAACAAGGACCGGTCTTTCCAGCGGATTTGGGAAGGTTTCAAAAGGAGCGCCGCTCACCCGGTAGCAGCGGACGCGAAGTTCGCTCCTTCAGAACACCACTTGGAGCGCATTCTGAAGTCGGCAAAGGACGATTTTGTTTCCATCTGCTGCCCCAACGACATAGCAGCAGCGCATCCCACCTGGACCAAGTCTGCATTCGAGGACAAGCAGGCCTTGCAGGTGGCCATCATGTTCCAGTACGCGGTTATTGCGAACGTCGGGTTTTACGGAGTGCGGCGCGCAGCCGAGTTGATTGCCTTCTCTTCCGATGATGTGGAAGTAAAAAGGCTGACGGCGGACCAGCATGCAGATCGACCGCGGTTTATCAAGTTAACGGTCAAAGAAGCGAAAAACGACGTCTACGCAAAGGGCGACTTTTGCATCATTCCGGCAAAGGTCGCAAACTACCTGCTGACGTGGATGAAATACGCGCACGCCTTCATCCTGCACCACTTCAAAGCAAGATACTTGGCCGGGGCGTGCTCGCTGTTTTTCACGATCGGAACAACGAGAATCAAGACACGCGGTTGCCCTCTGTCGAAAGACGCACTCCGCAAAGGGATCAGGAACGCACTCACCGCGTTCGCACAAGTAACAAAGCCGATCTCGCTCCGCAGAGGCGGGGCGCAGTATTACGCGCAGATAGATCGCCACACGGCATGGGCCCAGGGCGGTTGGCGAAGTATGAGGATGCTTGACGAAGTCTACGCTCCGAAAGAAGACTCCAAGCTTGCCGCGGAGATTCACGAGTGCTCCAGGGTGGGCGAACTCGAAAAGCAGCAAACCGCCATCATCAAGGCGATGGAGGATTGCCTCGCTATTCAGGACGCAGAAGGCATGACCAAGCACCTAAATGACTTCAACCCGAATTTTATCGGCTCAGAAAAAATCAAAATCCACGCTCCAAAGATTTTCAAAAGACTCATGTTGAAAAATTTACACAAGACGCACTTCAAGAAGCTGTATTTGATATTCTTTCCGGACATGGAATTCCCAGAAGGCACCAGCCAGCTGGCTGCCACCGCGAGCTAAGTCTTCTCGTTCCTTTGCATAAGTCTCTCGTTGAGAACTTGAGCTTCTGTGCTTTCGTGTACCAGCTTTCAGTGCTTGAGCTTTGGGCTTCAAAAAAAATTCAAAAGACATAAGACAGCCAGGCAACAGACACACAGCCGATTGACCCATTCTCGCCTAGTGTTCTGCTGTGGCGTCCTCGAGTTCGTCAGTAGTCGCCTCATCGTTTTTTTTTCTCAAAGTTCGTGAACCATTCGTGCGCTCATCGCATTGTCGGCATGAATTCCTCATGGTTTTTTTCAGTTTTTTGTTTTGCGACTCCTGCGGGTAGTTCTTCCTGTCCTTTTATCAGCGCACTTCTGCTCTCTCATTATCGCCTAGTACGCAGCATCATCGGAGAGATTGCATTCGTTTCTATCGTCGCGTCTTCGCTTTGACACTCTCGCTCCTTCCATCGCAGTCTTTGTTTTTCACCTGCACTTGTGGCAGGCGCGGTAGAATAATGATAATTTCGGAACGCACAGATGAGGAAGAACAAATGGGAACTCAGCCCACCTCAGAGTGGTCAGTCGAGGACTACAAGGCTCTGGGCATCCCGACCAACGACGTGGAAGTCCGCGAGTTCATTCGCAGCCAGGAGGGCCCGCAGGACGAATGGCGCGAGCAAGAGGACGACTTAGCCTTCGACGGTCTCTCCCTGTCGGCTAGACAGTGTTGTCGTTATGGCGCTCATCCCGACTTCATGACGCGCTGGTTTGGTGGTTTGAAGTTCAAGTGGCTCGCAGACTCTTTCACTCCGAACCGTACCGAAAATTATCCCGGCGCAAGCGCATACGAGGATATTTTCACGAAGGAAGTCTACCGGTTTGTGGAAAGCAAGAAAGTGTTGCTGTACGACAACAACGGTCCGCCCGATCTGGTTATAGCACCGGGCTCCATCATCCCGCAGAAAGGGAAATTCCGGTTAATAACGGACTGGCCAAACTCAGAAGTAGGAGTCAGTTCCAGCATATTCGCCACCGCTGTGAACTACAGCAACTGGTGGCAACTTCTCGAGTTGATTGGCCCCGGTTCAATCGGCTTCGGCTGGGATCTACAAGACTGCTACCGTATTCAAAGTTTTTGTTTGTGATAAGTTCGCTTCATTTCTAGACAAATCGCGCTGACTTGGATTTCTAACTTCATCTCAAAAAACAGCCCACTGGATGATCCACCCGAGCTTCAGGCGACTGCTCGGGCTGTCCATTCCGCAAACAAGCAGAACGGCGGTGCACTGTTTCTTGCCTTTCGGCCTCAATTGCGCCCCCGGAGACAACGACGAATCAGTGAAGCGCCTGATTTCCATGGCGCACAGTGCGGGTGTAGATGCGAAGATCCTGGACTTTGTGGACGACCTCAGAGGAATCGTTCCGCGCCCACTTTCGCACCGGATGGACATCGCACAGCGCGAATTTAACAAGGTGTTTTTCATCCTTTCGACGTTAGGGTGTAGATTGCACACCAAAGCGGGGAAACTCATTCCTCCTTCCACCTTCTTCCCGTGGTTGGGGTTCAATTGCGACACGGTCGACATGTCGTTCGGGGTGGAGGATGACAGGCTGGAGGACTGCCTCAAAGCAGTCCAGGAATTCAGAACCGAGATAGCAAGTGACCCAGGTTCCGCCACTACAGCAAGGAGGGCGGCGAAGGTCGTCGGGAAGCTCACCTCCATATCGCTCGCAATCGACGGACCGTTGCGCAACTTGCAAAACAGTTTAAACGCGAGCGGTTGTTACGCCCTGTGGCAGTCCAGCAAAACCCACAATCCGAAGGTGGTGATTTGCAGCGAAGGAAAAGCCGACTTGGTGTGGTGGAGCGACACCCTCATCGCCAAACCAAGGGCGAGAATCCACTTCAACGGTTTGAGGAGTTTCTTGTGGCGCGAGGACGTGCTAGCATTCGGAGCCAACTTCTTCAGAAGCCTCGACCCCAACTCGTTCACAGCGTTCTCAGGGGATGCAGCCACGTCAGCGGGTTGGGGCGGGAAGTTCGGGCAGCAAAGTTTTGCCGACAGATTCCCGGTTTGGCTACAAGGGCAGTCGATAAACGTTTTGGAATATGCAACGCCACTCCTCATACTGCTACGAGTGGAAGCTGCGGACGCAAGCAAACTGTCGGGGAAAATTCTCCTTTACTACACTGACAACCCCGCTTGCAAAAGAGGAGTAAACCGCGGCAACTACTCCACCCCAATCTTCTGCAGGATCACGAGGGAGCTGAAGTCGCTGCTGGTCCGGAACAGGGCGGAACTAGTAGCAGCAAAAGTTTACGGCTCGCAGAACATTGAAGCCGATTTGCTGTCGCGCTTTGACGACAACATCAAATCGATCACGGACAACAGCCCGGAGAAGTTTCGGACGAGCAGAGCCTGGAACCACATTTGCAAGACGCTCCCGGGTCTGGCAATCGAGGCGTTCAGCTCCGCGGATGCATCAAGCACCTCCAGAAGACTGAGCCGATACTTCACGGCAAACAGTCCGCCGCTCTTCAGCTTCGAAGAAATTTGCGAAGTACGAAGCTGGTGGCTTCCACCGGCCGACCTGCTCTACGCAACATTGAAGTTTCTGAACAAAGCGTTGCAGCCAATCCCGGCGGCCAGCAGACCGAGGATAGCAATCTTAGTCCCAAAAATCAACAACAAATTCGCAAGTTTGCTCGGGCCGTTCGGGAAGCCAGTCATCAAATTCAAGAGAGGCAAAGACCTCTTCCGTTTGGAAGGAGTAAGCCACAACATCTCGGCCGATGACGACTATCGGGTCTACTCTTCCGTGCCATTGCACGAGTGGATCAAGAGCGACGCAGTCATCAACGTCCCCAGTGCCCAAGTGGAAAAGTTGCTGAAGAGCGCGGCGTTCATGAGAACTATCGGCGACACCAGCAAAGTGGACTTCTCGCCGATTGAGTACTCGACGGCGGATTGGATAATCCACATTTGCTGCGTAAAACCAATTCGTCCTCTGGGGATCGCAAGAGCGATATTCGCAGTCCACAAGCACGCGAATACTTACGACAAACCAGAATCTGCCAAACCCTTCGGCAGCTACGAAATTCTGAACAAAGTCGTGAACATTTACGCCATGAAGCTGCCGGGTATCGGCGACGGCGACGGTCGGCGACGGTCGGTGATGCAGCCGCGTCCCGCCTTCAAATCTTCGACTCGTGTATGATGGATTTGGCATCAAAAGCGGTGTCGTTGGGTATCTCGTCGGTCTCCATTCCGCTCAGGATCGGATGCGGGTCGTGTGGAGGCAGAGTCGCTGACTATGCTTTAGTCATCGAGCGATTCATCGCGAATTGTGAAAGAAACAACATCAGTGTGCGACTACATGACATTCCGACAAAACTCTAAATTTGTAAACCATTTGTTTCAAAGTCTAGTCTTGTGCAGTCTTTCGCTGGTTTCGCAACATAGTCTCTCTATTGTGCTTTTGATTGATAGCACGACCCTATACAATTTGCACACATGCATCAGATCCTTCGCGGAGTTACTCATACTTATCCTGCTATCATGCCTTGCCACAAACTCAGCGGTCTTCGTCTGTTCGCGTTTCGATCACAGAAACAAGAGATCACATACAGGCAGAGATCCTCTCGTTCTCGCTGGGTGTCCGTCGACACGGATACGTGCAGGGCAGGAGCAAAATAAGATCCTACGAAGTTGACGAGCGAAAAATTGTAAGCTTGAAGCGATTTCGTAGGAATTCGATAAGCTCAGTTTTGTAGCAAAGGAAAACTTCGCGGATCTAAAGATCATTATATAAACAGGGGGATGCGCATCCTATAAACGCATACACGATCAAAATTTTACAGTATTCAGCTTCGGTTTCGTCCTTGATCCTAAATCGCGTAAAGCTAGGAATTCTTTTTTCGTCCCTCCCTCCACTCCCTCGGAGATTCCTTTCCTACCTCGAATTTCAAATATTTCATAAGCGAAGCTTTCCTATTTATATTCCTCACGTAATCCCAGTTCGACGGTCACCCATTTCTGCGAGAGGGGGTTTTTGCCACAAACTCAGCGGTCTTCGTCTGTTCGCGTTTGTTTCGATCACAGAAACAAGAGATCACATACAGGCAGAGATCCTCTCGTTCTCGCTGGGTGTCCGTCGACACGGATACGTGCAGGGCAGGAGCAAAATAAGATCCTACGAAGTTGACGAGCGAAAAATTTCAACATGACAAAATTTTCCATTTCTCATGCTAAAAGAAATGAACTCGTCATGCGATTTCTGCATACACCAAGACCAACTGCGATCCATCTTTTGCAATGCATACGAACCACCACCAACTCATCCTCCTCGGTGATGTCTTCCTCAACAAAGTCAAAGATGAGGTCGGGGACTATCGGCTCTGCCTACTCCTCCGGTAGTGAGCTCTTCGAGCTTGGTATGCAATACAAATTTCCTGTACATGTACTGCAAGTTGGAGCATGCCACTTGTCATGCTGAATAGGATTGGAAGAAAAGTTTGCCATGCAGAAACCGCATTTGTACGTGTGCGGGAAATTATTTACTGTGGATACTTGGAAGAAATAACTCAACAAACTTAAACTCATCTTCTCCCGCCAAGCCGCCCAACAAGCAACAAAACGATCCTGATTTACTATTTACGTCGTCGACCCCGAAAAAGGACTCGAAAACGAGCATCAGCTCCTTTGACCACATGATGAACAACTACTCGCCGACCTTGCTGAAGACTCTGCTGAATTTCTCACCAACGGCCAGTATCGGTTCCTCCTGGAAAATATGCATTGCAAAAGTATCGCTATCGTACTAGTAGTATAAATTGCATTAAAGAAAGAAAAATGGAACTTGTAATGCTAATTCAGGTAAAAAGGTAGGTTTGTCATGCAAGATTACAATGAATTAGTAATGGCACGAGTGCGATACTTTTGCAAAGGATAGAAAATGTTGACAAGTGGAACAAAAAGCCCTAGCAAAGTTCCAACTGCGAAGGTGATGCCGCTATCTTCCACTTCTTGCGACAAGAGCAGTAAAAACGCTCTGGACTTCATCGACGTCACCGCAGCCGCGTTTCGGGATGAGGTCGCACCACTGGTGGAGGATAGCATCGATGAGACCACATCTCGGGATGTTCTCGCGGAAATGCAGCAGAGCAAATTCACCATCCGGGAAGATTCTTTTAGTAAGGCGGAGAAGGAGGGAAAACTGAAACTATCTGCCAGGAGCCGGAGCAAGTTGTCTCTGTCCAATACGAAGAGTAGCCGCAGCCCCTGCGGGTCGAGCAGAAGTACCAAGGAGCGTGGCACAGCGTCGTCGTCGGGCCGGAACTTAAAGAACACTCATAGTCGGCGAGGGAAAAGTTTGTGTTGCTGTTTCTACGACGAGAACGAGAACAACGTGGAGTAGAACAGTATATGTATAGCATACTGAAACTGAAACTGAAGCTGCTCATCTAGCTCTATTGGGAGGGCGGGGTCAACAAACATGACTACTTAGCCATCTTCTGACGGTTCGAAGTTCGAGGAAATATGTAGTAGTGGTCCCATTCAATATTCAAATTTATGTTTACTTTTTTGTGAAGATCATTTTTGGTTTCATCTATGCCCAAAAAAAGTGCGATTCCATCTGCATCCAGATCCAATGTCTTTGATGAAGCGTTGACATGATACACACAGCCCACTGATTAGTACCACCCCAAGCGCTATCGCCATACCACGCACACCTCAAGGTAGAACTGAAAAAGTATTAGCTCCACCCCAACGAACGAGCTGCATCAAGTACTTATAGATTTAGATACAATTTTCCTACTAGACGGCTATCCAGAAAATACAACTCTACTCAGAGCTCGCGATGTCACGATTCGATAAGTATTGACTTCGCGCTAGTAGCTTCTTCTGTACGCGGTTCGCTACGTTTTCGCAATGATTTTTTTCGACGTTTGAAAGTAGGTTTCTCGTCGCTCGAAGATCTTCATCGCTACGTGTACGTCTACCTGATTGACACAACGAGGACAACATCATCGACACAAACTCTAATTCTAAACTTTCAACACAGGAGGCGGGAGTCTTGAAGCTTCAACTATTGAGAACGAGTTTCTTTTTCTACTGCTATTTTACTCCTAGTACTACCTACTTCGGGTTCGAACGCAGCCACATCAAAGAAATTTACGCATGCTGATGCTATCGAGCATTTTTCAGATTGATTTTCCAAGAAAAAGAAACCCGCCAAGAAATAATCCCCACACAGATTCATTGTATGATAGAGCGTAAGTGTAAGTTTACGCCTGCGTCTTTGGTTTTGACATGGTCATCGTCCTTAGCTTGAGCAACCAGTTATTTTTGGCTGAACCACCAGCCGCGTCCGTTGGTTTGCTTCTTGTTGAGAGCTCGCCTTTTCATCTGAATAGAAATACTAGAAAATGTCTTTGGAGGGGAGGAGTATTTTTTATCCCTTGTTTTTTTTAGATGAAGCAACCCTGGAGAAAACGACTCTTACTTTTTGAAACTGGTATTGGTTTTGAATTTGACGAACCTCCTGTGGGAATGCGAATTGTTTGACAGTTTTTTTCCTAGTATCGGGAAGGTTGAAAAAATACAAATGAAAATATTATATATGATTTATGATTTTTTATGTGCCCCATTTTGAACACACCACGAATAGTTAAAGTGAAGAATGTGCAGGCGCTGGGTATGGTGTAGACCACAAAGTCGCTACTCGAACGAAGGCAATTACCACCAAATTCATTCTTGTAGGAAAACCGTGATTGAAGATAATTTAGCACTGAAGGTTGTCTTTGAAAGCGAGGCCTCGGCTTGCTTGCTCCTGGCCGAAGCTCGCACATTAATGTGCTATCTTCGAAGTCGTCCATCCCCAATGAATACGAACATCTATAATTATGTGAACAAATTATATAGAATGCATGTAATTGGCAAACTACAGATAGAAGTGGCCTCCAGTCCACGCCCAGCTGATATTTGGAAGTGACGACGCCGAGGAACGAGACGAAGATTTGTACCGTGCACGAATGCATCATCAATTTTGTCATTGACAGAAGCATCACATGCCCGATGAAGCTGATTAATTTACTACATCGGAGATAATGCACAAGACGAGATGAAAATAAGCGGGACAAACACCATATCCTCCAAATCTTTTAGCACAAAAAAACGCTGAATGAATCTGAAAAGAAGATAGAAGCTTGATTATAAGACTAACGACAGATCTTGTCCGCTCGTCCAAAGCAGTCGCAAATGCTTCAAATCGGGTGGCGTCGCCGGCGTCTTTTGGCTTTTTGAATAGGCGAAAAAAGAAGAAAGAGAGCGAGAGAGGAGCAGCCCCCAAAAGGAACGAAGTCAAAGTTAGTCCTAGTTTCTTAAGCCATTCGTAGTTGAAATTAAGAAAGTCAAAGAACCAAGTTGCATTTATTTCAGCTAGATATTGAAATGTTGAAGTTGAAGATATTACCGACGCGTGTCGGCACGCCCTTCCGCTGTGCTTTGCCATTGCCGTTGCCTATGTAGAACGAGGAAGAGGAGCATGTTTATGCACACGGAAATCATGGTTTTATTCCTGAGAGAAAACAAATTTGGAAGCAGCTGAAGTGTGATATAGCTGCAAGGAGGTCGTGCGTCTCTAATGTCACAGCGAACTCCAGCTATGCGTCTGTTGTTGTAGCAGCGACATAAATATTGATTTACAATAATTTGCAGCGGCTGCAGCAGTGACCGAAACCGAGATAAAAATGCCGGAGCCCATCGGCAATCCGAAGGCGTCTCGGTTGCGCCAGCCCCAAACGACTGTGGGTGGAGTGGTCCTTCACACTTCTAAGAGCACGACCACAAACGCAGGCATACACTACACTTCAAACCGCACCAGCGACGCGCACGACTTCCAGCGGGAAATCGCCACTTTTGCCAACACGAAGATCCGGCAGTCCGAGGGCTGCTACTCGCAGCGGGGTAGCGACGTGATTGCTCCTTTTTCCAATGTATTCGCCGGCGGTATAACTCCTGCTGGGTTTGACGAGGAGGAGGAGCTAAAGCTATTGCAAAAAAGCAAGATGGGTCCTCGTGGAGGTAAAAAGACCAAGCGCCGGCTGTCGCCCAATGTGCTCGAGGACGAGGAAATCATCATCAATGGGGATGAAAACTATCCACAAAAAAAAACCAATCCACATCCATTTCCATTTTTTGCATGACAAACACATGATTTGATGCGTGTTTTGCATGACAAATTGGATGTGGATGAGTTTTTTTCTCTGGATGAAAACAGTGTTGACGATAAATCCACGACACAGGACCAGGAGGAGTTGGAGGGTGAACTGGATCATGATTGCGGCGCGCTTGCTTCCGGCTGCAACAGCAACTACGTCTACAACGACAACGAGGAACTACACCATGGCGACCGAGTTTTTGGGAAGACGTACGCAGCTGCTTACGATGTGACGCAGGTCCACGACCCCGTGGGACGAGACGATGAACGTCGCCATCAAATCTATCAAATCGAGGAAAACTACGAACTTTCGGACGTCGACCAAGGTGGAGAGCATTATGCGGACGAGGAAGATTTTGTCAGCGCGGCGGAAAGTCTCGCAGCGTCGACTTTAAGCTTCGGGATTGGAGGCCGCTTGCCGGCAGAGGGGGGAGCGATGGCAGGCATGCTTTCCAATAGTACCTCCTCTCTTGCAGCAGCGGCTGCAGTAGGAAAAGCCGGAGCAAGTGCAGCATCCAGCCTGATTGATGATACCCGGCGGGGGGCCACTTCGTACAGGACGGTGGTCGAGGTCGACGACCAGCAGCATGTTGACACTTTTGATCGTGGACAAGGTCCCGAAATAAATGAGGCACATACTTTTGTAGACGGTCGTGCCTCCTGTAATGACCACGTCGCGCCGCCGCGCAGCTCCAACCACGAGCATCTACTTTTAGAACATGCTCCTACTTCGACTTCCAGTCTGCTCGAGGAACGATTTTACAGTTGCGCCGACCGGGAGCAAGTTTTGCCAACGAGCGCATCTGCTTCGGAAATTACCAACATAAAAAGTCAGGAGCCGCGCGACCGAGTGGATGAAGTTGAAGAGCTTCATGACTTGGGTATAGGATTAGAGTACAAATAAAAATTCTGATGAAGAGTATCTCGACATCAGAAAAGAAGAACAGATGTTGACGCAGGTCATTTTTTTACTTAGTTACTCTGTTCATACTAGTGAGTCTGGTCTCTTCGAAGACGAAGATCCTTGTATCAGTGAAAACAATCTTCAACAACAAACAACAAAACTCTAACTCATGCAGGCCACGGCCGACGTGACGAAGGGCTGCTACAGCAGCCACTCGGCCCCAAGAACATGATGGGAGAGGACATCTTCAACGGCGCTAGTACCTTCTATGAAGCACATCTTGACCTTGACATCCAGGCGGAGCAGCAACGCCACACGACTTCCATCGACGAAGTGGAAGACAACTTGGATGATCTGATGGAAGACTGGGAGCCTCTGGACATCGTGGAGCTGGAGGCGAACTCCACCATCGACGAACTGTGGACGCTCTTATGAGACTGCACAACTCCCCCTCCCCCTCATTTGTGATGCAAAATACCAAACTCACACCTTGCTCGTAAGCCCTGTCAGCATAACAATTTTTGAAACCTCAAATAGTACTACAATCCGCAACCGCATGTTGTACATTTGTCATGCGAAAGCCCCTTTTCTATTTCTGTTGTTGCTTGTGTTTCTTTTCATGCAATACAAATGAGGGGAGGGGACGAAGTTGTGCACTCTCATAGTTCTTGTTCCAGAACTACGATTGGCTTCGACAGGTGGAAAAATCGCTGAAGCGGACGAAGGGGAGCATCGATCGGTTGGCGATGAACAGCGGAGCGACGATGAACAGTTCCTCCTGCTTTAGCTCTCCAGACGGAAAGATGACAGCTGCTAGTCGCACCCCCACGGGAAAGATCATGAACCGCAGCACAATTTCTAGCAACAGCAAGTCCTTCCTGAATTCGAGTTTTGACTCGTCCAGCGTCGCGGCGGCCTATAATTCTCCGGGTGGTTATGGTGGGTTTGGGTCGTTTATTTCAACGTCACTGAGAGATGGTAGAGATAAGATGAAAAAAACTAGCACCACGTCACGAAACAACAGCATTCGGGAGGGGTTCGCGGGCATCCGCTCGAGTTTGCTGGATCCTCACGGACGGCAGAAGACGTTTGAATCCACGCCGACGAAAATTCAGATGAACGCGTTCGAAGAAGAGGAAATCTACTTGGAGGAACGCAAGTCTTCTACGTCTTTTAATACAACGACGAGGAACAAGACTTCTCTCAAGCAAGTGCCAAATCGGAATCCAGCATCCCGGAGCCGCAGCAGGAGCCCAACCACCAGCTTCCTGAACAAAACGGGAAAGAATGGTGCGAAAAAAAATGATAACAGCGTCATGAATATTAAGTCTCCTGCTGCCACTGTACTTCTGTCGGAAAGCGAGGCGAAGCAGATCGTGAATCGGCTCTACAACGGTGGGCGTCCTGTTATACCGAATATTATGCATGGGGCTAGCATTAGCAAGCACCGCTCTACTGCGGCTTCTATCCACCAAGTAGATCGGCTGCACACATTGGCAGAGGAAGGCGAAGACGCGTTCACTTCGCCGTTTAATGGCGGCGCTGGTGAAACAGAAACTACAGAAGCGAACGAGGAGCAGGACAGCAATATCGTGGAAATCACGGATGATCACGAGGACCAGCCAGAAAAGACCATGCCTCTTTCACCTTCTTCCACCACAGCGAAGATTCTGACTGGAGACACGACCTCCAGCTCCACTGCAGCTCGCCGAGATAATATTGCGCCAGCCACGACGGGCGAGATCACGACCAGCCATCGCGGCAGTAAAAGAGATTTAACGTCAAAGACGAAAGTATCGAGAAAAGTTTCGAAATCACCCACGATTTCTTCTTCAAAAAAGACTCAAGTCACCTCGTCGTCTCACCCGAGGACTAGCGCGAAAGTCACGGACAAGAAGCATCATGGTGTTTTAGTTGGACATTCCGGCCGCGGCCGCGGGGGCTCTACTTCCACGAAAATCTTGCAGCAGGCTAGTGCACCTCCGGACGACGAAATGAATAAAGCCTCCACCACCGAGAACCAGGTCGAGGTCACGAAGATGCTCAGGACGTTGGAGAAACAGCGAAGATTGCTGGAGCAAGACCTGGAGAAAATTCGCGAAGACACCACGCAAATCGAGCTTTTGGTTGCGCGGAGGCAGAAGGAGCAACTACAGCAGCAGAACTTGGAGTTGGTGACCTCCTCCGTCGGAGTTACGTCCTCGTCAGGAATAGCAGCCGTAGCAGAAGTAGCTGGAGTGCAGCAGGAGCGTGAAGAGAAGAATGACGACGTCAAGGCCTCCGTCACCTCCTCACGGGACAACATCGATGAAAGCGAAATTGTTCATCAGGAGGTGGAGCACATTCTTGCTGGCGCGACCAGTAACGTAGCGTCAGCAGGAGGTTTTCTACCACAGACGCCGGGTATAGACTACGGCTATTGCGCATCCAAACTAGCAGGACCAGCAGTCGTAGTTTCGATGTAGTTAGATGAGTTATTTGGTATGTTGCAGTTGTACTCGACTGCAATTGCATCAAGAAGAGAACGAAGTAGATGTTGACGGCGCCCCTGCGATGTCTTTCTCTGCTTTATGCCAAAGAAAATACGAGTTGTTTGAATGTGAATGTGAAGACATTGAAATTTTTCATTAGAACGCGTCACCTTCCTAATTGACTACATCCCAGGTTCCTCTGTCGCAGTGTCTACGCGCACCAGCTGCCGCCCGCCTTTGCTACCGAGTACAGCGAGACTTGTCGGGGGCGGTGGATCTTCTACTACGAGTGCTAATCTGCAGTCTGACCTAGGTACGAAGCTCCATGGTGTCATTTCCAGAGCGGTGAGCCGTGAGGTGAACAAAATTTCCCGATCGCGGGGCAACAGCGTGGATTACACTGTAGTTTCTGAACAGCAGCAGGAACTGTTTCACTCGGAAACAAGAACTGGAAGTGGGGACGGAGCTGGAGCTGGTAGCGGCAATGCCACCGCGCAGCAGCTGCAGGACGGTTGCAGTACTAGCGGACAGCAAAGTTCCGCCTGCAGCCGCAGTCGCAAAAGGTCAAGCTCGCGCAAGCCGAGTGTGCCGAGCCATGTCGTGCGGCCAGCAGCGCCAGGCTCTTTCTCGGCCTCTGCAAAGAGTAGATCGACAGCGAGAGAACTACAAAAGGATTCAAGAACTCCACCTGTGTCTGCCATCGCTGGACTGTCTCATCAATCACAATCGGCGAGCACTAGTGCTCTACTCCTTTCAGGAAAAGATGATAGTAGAGAAAGAGATGCACAAGAGCAGACGAAAAGAAACTCGACAGCCGCGGCGCGAAGGAGGTCAAGGTCCCGGAGAAGTAAAGCGCCACACGAGCATTTGATCTGTAATGGGGGAGGACCTGGTGGTGCGGGCCGACCCTTGTCGGGAAGCAGAGCAGGCTCCACCTCCTCCGCTGCTAGACGGAGTAGATCGCGGTCCACCAAAGTCAGCTTGTCTGCTCGCGAAAGAAAGCCCCAACAGGATCATCGTAGTGCGGGGGATGACATTGAGCAGTTGTCAGAAGGCCAAGTTGTAGGCCAAACTCTGCACGGGAGGTGTGGTGACACATATCATGTCGGCATGATGGTCGTGGCAGCGAGAGAATCCGAACGAGAAGCAGTGCAAGGACAGATACGGCTCCAAACGTCTTTCTTGGGCGGGATTTTTGACACCAGCAAGAGCGGATCGAAAACGCCCGGGAGTTGTACTAGCTTTCTGAGCGAGCAGGTCTCTTCTTCGACGATGATGATGCAAGGTAGAAGACTTGTAACCACACAACTGCCAACGCCGCAGCGAATCGTTTGTTCGACAGCGACGGGCGCAGCTCCTGCTGCGCCAGCATCTTCATCTCTGTACCAGAATTATTGTTCCACAACACCGATCAACAGCGGAGGTGGCGCCGCGTCGCCAATCAACCTGTCCAACGTTGCTGCAGCTTTTCGCCGATCTCTCAGTCCGCCGCAGGTTGGAAGAAATAGAGAGAATACTGGCGGTGCAGCAGGTACTTCTACTGCGTCGTCAGGAGCTCCTGGCGACACGAAGATCGCTTTTCCTATGGGTGGTTCTTGTTCACCACTCGCAGCTGCACTTCCGAGGTCTCCGACCAGCAACAGCTTTTTTAAAACCATCAACACTGGTTCCTTTCATGTGAGCAAGGCGATTTTTCCGATTCCCACTCCAACTTCGCCCGGCGGTGCCTCGTCGCCTTTGCTGCACCGAAACATGGTTGCTGGCGGCACAGCTACAACTCCTGGAACGATTATTGGGCCATTTAATAGGAACAGCACAGAAGTTGCCGGAGTGCAACTGTTCAAAAATGCAAGCAACACGATCCAGACACCTGTCAGGCCGAGAAGTTTCGTCACGGCGGCTGCAGTTGCAGCAGAGAAAAAGTGTGCTGCTTCTGTGCTGATAAACACGTGCTCCGCGAAATCGACGCAAGCGCCGAATAGCTGTAGTATAATGGTGGACGACTGCTCGCCATCACCCGTTGAGGAAGTAGCTGCTGCTCCTGGAGAAAACAAACAAGCTGCGACTGTGAACAGGAAAGCGGTTGTAGGAATAAATACAAGCACAACAAACTCCAGCAGTGTGAATTCTGCTTCTGCGAGCAGGCCGAAAATAAGCCGCCCTCCAAAGTTGCCCCCGGCCTCAACTGCAAAATCAAAGCGCGAGGGTGCTGGTGGCCGCCCGGGTGCGACTTCTAGGTCTAGCGGAACAAGTGCTGGAGTAAACACCTGCAAGGGCGCGGCAGCTGTTGCCGCGGCTTGCTCGCCTAACCCAAGCAACTGCAGCCCTCTCGTTCCTGTTGCACTTCTACGACAGATGACGAGCTGCAGCCCCGGAGTGAACCACCACGATGATGGCGCAACTGAGGGCGGATGCGGAATCAGTATCAGAAGCACATCAAGCAGAACAAATGACGTCGACGCATCAGGATCGTTCTCGTCTTCTGTTGTGCTAGAGAAGGACGCCCGCGGGCGGGGCACAGGTAGTACAACAGTGGCACAGCAAGCGAACAACTCTGCAGGAGGACCTGCGTCATCGTCCGCAAATACCATGAGCAGGACCGCTAGCGGATCGAGAATTTTGGCCTCCATTGTGCAGCCAAAAATGGCCACGCCAACATCTTCAGGAGGAGCGTCTGCGTCAGCTGCAACAGCTTCTACGTCGCATCTTGTTCAGCCACGACAGCGAGTGGATGAAGCTTCTCTGTTGCGGCCACCACAAAACATCCAGCACGGCGCCAGCAGCGTCCCGACCAAAATCGTCCTTGATAGCAGGCGATCGGCTTCTTTTTCGGTGCCCCACCCCGGAGGCGGAAGTACAAGTGGTGGACCACCTGCTGCGCAGGGTTTTGTTGCAAACAACGTGAATGGGATTTTAAACACCACTTCTGCAGTACTGCGAGCGACAGCGCAACACAGCAGGACGAGCAGAGAAGGGTCTTTAACAAGACCTAGTCTGTGTCTGCTAAACGCGACGAACATGTTGAGCTTTTCTCCTCCGGCTAGAAACCAGCAGGAGCAGATGGTCATCAAAAATAAAAATGACTCTCCCGCCGCTACAACTTCAAACCTCCTACCAGCGACGAGAGCCTCTTTGTCACAGAACAGCAACACAGCACAGTTTCCAGCATCGAATTTGTTTGCTATTACAACCCCCGCATCGAGAAAAAATAACACTTCTGCTATGCTGCGAGCAATTATTCCTGCTCCTGCAGCGTCCTCTTCCAAAATCCGAGCTACTTCGTTGCCCCCGCCGGGCTACTGCGGGAGTGGTTGCGGGGACGAAATGAAGGAGAAGGACCTTCAGCTGCAAGAAGTAGAACTACACATCGAAGACAAAACGCGAACCTTAATGCGACAGGAAAAATCACAAAAACTTCCCACTGCAGGGGAAATTATTTCCTTGTAGTTGTAAGCAAGGGAATGGGAAGCAGCCGCGCAGCGACTAGGACTACCTAACAAGCATTTTTCCGTTGCGAAAAATCGAAGTGATTATATTCTCGACCAAGAAGATCATGACCATGAGCAACAAGTTTTTTTTGCGTTTTTTTGCAAGATGAAATAGAGTGACAAGATCTGTCGGAAGTAATACGAGTAGGTACCGCCCAGGCCTCCGCGAAAGTTGCGGTCCTATCTATCATCATGCTCCTGTCCTCGCATCGTGCGGACTCTTTCTTTTGTTCCAATGAATTATTATTTTTTTTTTCTGCAATAAAGACCGTACGAGATAAACCATTTCCATCGTTCAATTGAGCATCATGTAAGGAGCACAAACAAATTTGTTGTGTCTTATGTGAGCCCAACGACCAGCACGACCACCAGCATAGAGGACACGCAACGCAGAGCCTCTGTTGTTCCAAAACCACTTTCGACTCCTACAGAATACGAGTCGTTTCGTTCTGATACTAGTAAGTTCAAGCTCGTCACCTTCTGCTTCTCGTTCATGTAACACGTCCGCGGCCTACTTCCATCGTTCTCTGCGTCGTAGCCGTACTGCTGTCATTTTCTACTTCTAGTAGAAGTCGTACTGGTCGTTCTTTGTAGTATTGTGGGTCAACACAATTGGAGGAGCAGAGCTGCACGTTGCTCCATCGGCTGACATCGTTTTATTCGTACTCAACAAACATTTATGTGCACTGTTAGATGAACACGACTTCATCTATTTGAAATGAATCCCGATTCGTTTTGGTTGCCGCTGGTGTAGTTCTCGTACCCGGCGGAGTTGTCTCTTATGTGCAAAATCAAAAAAATCACCAGCCGCAGCCGAAATTGGACCACGTCGTCAATACAGTGCGAAAAAAAAGAACTACCTACGATGTTTTTTGCTTTGGCATATATTTTCGCTAAAGCTTCACCGCGACCCCGACAACAACTATTGTGATTAACTAACAGAATTTTTAGACTCCTTTAACCCGCCCAAACAATCACGCCCTCATTACAACTACCTACACGGAGAGGAAGCACAGTTACAAAGTACTATTTGTAGCCTTTATTCCTGTAGTACAGAGGAAAGATGAGGACGAGGAAAGGAGTGTGTTTATATAATAACTCACTCCCCGCGTCGGTCGCACTATGTCATCAACATCATTTTCTTTTTCTGGTACTTCTAGCTGCGGCCGCCTTGCTAGTACCGTACTCCTCCACCAGCGCAGTCGTAGCTGTACTAGCGCTGCCTCCGTTGATGTCTCGTCGTGGAACTGCATCAAGAATAACCACGACCCGGCCCCCGACGACGAGTACTGCTTCTGCTGCAGCAGCAGGAGGTGATGAGATAATACAAGGGGCTGCACCTCCACCGGCAGGCGAAAGTAGGCCTTTTCTCCAGAAGAAATCCAAATCGAGGCTGTTGCGCGGAGGTGTAGACCGTAGTGGTCGTAGAGCTGCACAAGGAGGTCGTGAAAGTGCGCCCTTATTGCAGCTGCAGGAGCCGACCTTTCTGACGTTGGCGAGATCTGATTCTGAATTTTTGTCCTCGTCTTCAACTACCATAGAGACCAGCAGCCGCACTGGTGGCGGTGCAATCGCAAAGAGGACACATTATGCGGAGCAGGACGCAGCTGCTGCTGCACGGAATAAAAGAACGAAAAACCGAAACGCTTCCGACGACGTGAAAAAGATAATTCGCGAGAACATCAACTACAACGCGACCGAGCAGGACGAAGATGATCCTGCGCAAAAACTAATGCGGCTGAACTTCCTTGAGACTGCAATTAGTGCAGCGGCGAGTCGGGAAGATGTTGATTCTAGGGAGCGACGAGAGCCGCCCGTCGGGTTTCGAGTTCGTCCAGTGCCCCGCGAATACTGGAAGGCATCCTGCCGGAGGCACAACGACGAAGCCTCGTGTCTGGGGGAAGATCTAGTAGAGGTGCTGGAGACCTCGATGAAAAGTATTAACCCAGAAACATCAACATCAACCCCTCTTTATCGATCCAATGCGGAGAGCTGCGAATGGGTTCAGTGGAATGAAGATGCGTCCCCCGACGTGTATACATGCGAACTTCGCGTGACACCAAGGGACCCACCAGACGAAAGGGGAAGTGGCGAAAAGTACCTGTTCCGGAGCAGTAGCCGGTTTCGACAGGAGACTTCTGCGCTTATGAAAAGCACCGGGCGGTCCGAGGCGCCCAGCTTCTGCCTGGCGGAGCACACGTTTTGCGAAGGCACCGCGCAGAACCAGGGGCGTCGGTTGGGACTCTGCTGCGCCGGGTACGAGTGCCGCCGGTATCCGCACTACGCCATCATGAACGAAAGGCAGGCACAAAGCTCCTTCCCTGGCAGAACTGAAACTGCTCGCAGAGGAGAAATCGGCAGCGCGGCGGTGGAAGTCAGTGGAGCACGCGTCCGGCTCGGAGTTGCAAATCTTGTCAGTGTGTATCAAATGCAAAAATGTCTGGGCCTGGAAGAATGCTCGATTTGTTATGCAGCTTTTCCATGACCCATGAGGTCTGGAATGCAGGACCTAGCATCACAGATTTTGTGCGATGTCTCTCATGCCTATCCTGCATGAGAAACTCCCTCCCGACTTGGTCAAAACCGGACGACTTTTGGTAATCAAGCAACACAGATTTTTGCATGCTTCAGATTTTGCATGACAAGTTGCATTCTTGCAGACCCAGACATTTTTACATTTGATAGTCTGCACATCGGCCGCGACCCCACGTTCTACATCTACAAAGCGGTCGTATATGCACTGCAAATCTATCGCACTACCTAGTATAAATCGCATGACAAATTTCCTCAGCATGAGAAATGAAATCTGTAATGCGGATTTAACTTGACGCAATCCATAAACGCGATTAGTACGAGTGCGATGCTATTGCCATGCATATCGTGCCGTTGGAGGCCATTTTCATCTTCACCTGCATGATCTATGCCACGCCAGTCAGTGACGTCTCTATGCACCGCAATAAACGTGTCTGGGTTTGGATAAGAAAGTTCGAACTCATGCTGGTCTATACATGCCTGCGAAATTTGTGTTGCATGACCAACAAAAGCCGCTGGGCGCTGCCTCTTTTGTCATACAAAAACTAAAAGGACGCAGCTTCTCATGCGGGTTGCGCATGCCCGTGCGAAAACGTTCTGGAAAGTCAAAGTTTATCTTCATCATCGACACTTTGGCATCACAAGTTTCCAGACCCAGACACATTTGCATTTGATAGGCTCCGGGCGACTACAACTTCTTTTCGGCATGTTTCTGACCGGCTTCGCGATCCAGTGGACCATTCTCGACCGCTTGCCCCGGGTCCCTTACTTGACCGTGCTCGATAAGTTTATCTTCATGGTCGTTGTCATCTTGTTGACGGTAGGCCTCGGCAGTTGCTGCGCGTTTCTGGTCTGGCGGAGCGAGGAGGAGGGCGACGGAGAAGATGTATGGAAGCGTCAGGATCGAAATCAACAAAATCGAAATAATTTGTGACGCACAAAATTGATACCACTTGGGACCTCAGTTGCCAAGTGGCGCATGACAAATTTCGGGAGCACCAAAATCCAGTTTGTAATGCTGTTTGGGGAAAGAAGACCGCTCCTGTCATGCTACTCGGGCAGCGCATCTCCTTCTCCTAAACAGGCTGGCAATCGCTCTTATTTGCCTGCTCCCCAACACTGGCTCTACGTGCTCTACATTTTATGCATCACAAACTTTTCGACTTTGTCAATTTCAATCCTGACGCTTCCATAAGATGGCTCGAACCTTTATTCCTCGTCTTCCGGAAGTGGCCGCCGGTCTCTGTCCGCCTTACACAAGCCGTTTGACAGTTTGGCGAGTAAAACGGACTTCTGCTTCTGCGCGTTCGTATTGTCCGCGTTCGCTTTTGGGCACTGGCGTCTGTTCCGGGCGGTTACGCGGCAGAACGACCTGGGGAACGGTATGTACCGAAAATGGGTCCAAGGGGGGAATTGGTACAACGCCGGGGCGGAGATTGTGATTGGGTACAGGTTATCCAGTGCAAAAGTACTGCGCTCGAAGCATTCGTTGTGACAGATCTCGCTTCTCATTCTCAAGTGAAAGAAAAATCAGCACTGCGAATTCCATTTGCATTTGCATGAGTGCTTCCAGTAGTTGTGCGATGCTTTTGCAATTCATACAGGCTGAGGCTAGACAGCTCCGGCGATCAGGCGCGGCTTTACCAATCTAAAGGGAGACCAGTGCTGCCGATTAACTTTTGATAGCGATCATGTTGCTACAACATCTAACTTCTGGCGTCGACGTACCATAAATATTTTACGAGCGCTTACGAGCCCGCGACGGTGACACCAGCGTGCCTCGTGTAGTAGAGGACGAGTCGCTTTATGGACGAGCGTCCTGGAATTTTTGTGCTAGTACACGTGAATTTCCACAACTTCTGTGGTCGAGGACCACTTCTTCTTCGCGTTGATCACCTGCTCTTCAGAGGCAGAACCATAATGCAAACACGCCGTCCAGTGACTAAGTGTTTCTTTCGAAAACTAGTGTTTTTTTCGAAAACTTGTGGTTATGGTTTTGTACTAAACCACAAGCTTTCGAATTTGGATTTGCCTGCTTCGGTAAAAAAAGGTGAACCGCGGTCGGTTGGCGAAGGAGGTTGTGAGTTTTGACATCTCGGCTGCGAATTTGAAGATGATCCTCGGAAATGCGCAGATCGGCTCTTGAAGTTCGCGGATCGGTTTTTTCGGTCCGGAAGTGCAAACTTTTCGATCATGCCAAAAATGCAAAAGTGTAGTTCTAATATCTAAAAACAGATTACATTAACTAGCAATATGACACATAATGCTGCAATATGACATATGGCCGCGACAACATGAAAATCCTGCAAAAACCCCACTTCTCATATTGTCATTTTGTTATATTGTCATATTGCATATTGCTCGTGACCGGCTGACGATTGAAAATTGGCCCCACCCGAAGCGCTGTCTCTCGGGTGTTGCGGCCATGAGGTTAGGGCGCGTATGCTCTTGCGCCGACTTTGGGCCGATCGAGCAGGCGCCTGTTGTCCACCTCTTTCGCGCCTGTTGACAAGGCGTCTCGCCACCCCCGCTGTTAGCGAGGGCGGCGCTAGTGCGCTGGGGCTCCCAGCAGTCTACTTCTTCAATTTGTGTCGCAGCTGCGCCATGTAGTGCGCCGCTGCGTCTTTTCGCAGCATCTTGGCCGGAAAGCTGGCCTCGCAACGCAAGTAGCGGCGGGCGCCGCCAGGTCGGCTTCCAGGTCCCGACGTTGGACAAGGTCATATTGCTCAAACTCTAGCAGTCATATTGTCATTTTGTCATATTGTCATATTGCCATATTGCCATATTGCATATTGCTCAAAGTGTCGAAATTTTGCTAGTTAATGCAATGTGTAAAAATGCAAAAATCAATATTCGCATTCTGAAAATTCAATTTTTCGATCCTGCTTCGGTATGAAAACAAACAAGGTGGTTTTGGTTTATGAGTGAGGTTTCAACAGATCATCGTTCCTTCATTAGAGCGACCCGCAGAGCAAGCAGTAAATCAAGTCGTTAAGAAGAAAAAGAAGTAGATGGAGGTAGAAGGGCGTTGCAAAATCAAAAAACATCATTTTGGGTGCCGACCAGTCTTCCAGCACGTCGCGTAGTAGAGATCATTGTCTCGGCGCCGCCGCGGCAGGAGATGAGCTACATGTTCCAAAAATGGACGAGCAGGAGAACAAAATAACTTCAACTACCACACCCTCACCCACAAGCATGCATGTTTCTCCCCCTGCTCCTCCCGCTCCCGTGCCGGCAGTGAAGAATAATTTAAATGATTTCACCCGTGGCGACAAAGTCTGGATGCACGCCGCAAAGCTCTTGCAGGAATGCGACTGCCTGGTCATTACAGCAGGCGCTGGAATGGGCAAGGATTCAGGCTTACCGACTTTCGCGGAATATGGTGATAGGCCAGTGTCGGGTGCAGGCCTTTCCTACGTTGAGCTATGTTCGCCAAATGCTGCGCAAAACCACTACGAAGCGTTCGACCAATGGTGGCGCGAATCAGGTGAATTGTATGCAAAAACAGAGTCTCACGATGGTTATCGAATTCTCGAAAGCTGGCTGATGGGAGGTGCTACTTCTACTACTTCGTCTTCTACAGCGTCAAGCTCATCATCATCCTGTACAAGATCATCAAGCACAAAAACTCGCATCAGAGAGCACTATGTTTACACGAGCAATATCGATGGACACTTTAAGCGTTTTCCGAATCTTGGTAAAAACGTACTGGAGCTACACGGCTCGCTGACCTTGCCGTGGATACCATGGTGGCGTTTCGAAAGGGAAGATCCGTCGGATGAAATGGATGTAGTTGCAGTGGTAGAAAGTAGTGCCACTCCTCCTTCTTCATTTGTACCTTCCCTCGATGGAACTCGGAAAGTACCTATGTCAAACTGCGGCCCACCCTTTGACTACGATCCAGCGAAGTTGCTAAATTCATTTCCAATGTCCGATCGGAGTAGAACGCCCTGGCAGCCGCCCTCCTACGATTGCGAAACGCCCCGAGGCTATATTCCCAAAGAATACCGGCGACCGGCGGTCTTACTTTTCTACGACAACTGCCTGGAGCTCGAGACGTTTCTGCAGCGAAAGATCGAGAACGAGTGGCGCCAGTGGGTGGACGAGGTTTTGATGAAGCAAAACACTAAAAACAAAGTGAAAAGTCTCGTCGTCCTGGAGCTGGGCTGTGGTGTCAGAGTGCCTTCGTGTAGGAGCGAGGGCGAAAGACTCGTGTGGGAGGTGAATGAGCTTGCAGCTGCAAAAACGAAGAGGAAGTCGGACTCGGAAGTCGAAGTCGAAAGGAAGATTGAGGAAAAAGAAACTCCTCGCCCTACACCTACAAGAACAGCCAACTTAATCCGAATCAACCCGGCAGAGCCAACTTTTGGCTTCCTGCGCAAGATTGACAATCCGCTGTTCTGGCATTTCGACGAGGATGATCTCTGCTATCGCACCATTGCGGGCCAGGAAGAAAAGGAAATGATAGATGTGGGCAGCCTTGAGCAAGAAGATCAAAGACTACAAGGGATAAACAACGTAATTTCGGGCAATTACGTTCTCCTCAATGAGTGTGGTGCAAAAGACGCACTTCAGCATTTGGATTCACTCCTGAAGAATCGAATGAATCATGCACAAGAAGTTTAACATGATTATATTCGTGGAAAAATAAATACTAGCGCTGCTGCTGCTGTCGTGTAGCTCGAATCTCGCTCCTGCTCTGAGTGGAAGAGTATTGGCACTTCTTCTCTTGTTTCCATGTGTTCATCTCCACCCTCAAGAAATGTTGCGTCGAGGGTTGCAGATGCAGCTCCTACAGCCTGCACACCAATTGATGTTTCTTTGTGGCGTAGCTACTTCTGCGAGTCTTACTAGTGAGGTAAGAATATTGCTGGCGAGACGCAAGTAAAGACAAAGATAGAACACATACCAATCACAATCTATCATGACGAAGATCGTTTTTTCCCTCCGCGTTCTCCTCTGCACGGTGTCGCTGCAGTGCAGCCGTGTCTTGCAGCTGTTGAGCTGCCATGATTGCCTGTTGTCCACGTCCACTGTCTTGGCGCAGGGGCAAGCAGCGCACTTACACGACAATTATGCTGGGCCGAACAAATTAGAATCATCTCCCCCTGCTCGTGTCGCCAAGAGGAAGCGAAAGAAATCAATCCGGGCCCTCGTCATCTCCGATATTCACGACAATATCGAGCAAGTGGAGCGGTTGGTCGCTGCCGAATGCAGCAAGACGGGCAAAAAAGCTGCGGCAGATGTTGAACTTGGTTTTGAAAGAAAAACAAGCAACTTCTACGATTACGTGTTTATCCTGGGTGACTTTTGCCGCGTCAACCACCTCCCACCGGATGAAAGTTCGGACGCTGAATTTCAAAAATGCGACGCGTTTACGGAGAAAGTGCTGAGTCAATTCGCAACTCAGTGTACTACTATAGGCAGAAATTTTGAAGAACAAGAAGTAGGCATGAGCGCAAATAACAGCAGTAGCATCGTGATTGGTGTTTTTGGTCTAGATGAGAGCAAAACTGCGAAACCCACCACGACCGAGCGCAACCCTCCACAACCCTCCGCAACCCACCGCAACCCTCCGCAACCCACCGCAACCCTCCGCAACCCTCCGCAACCCTCCGCAACCCTCCGCAACCCTCCGCAACCCTCCGCAACCCTCCGCAACCCTCCGCAACCATCCGCAACCCTCCGCAACCCTCCGCCACCCTCCGCAACCCTCCGTAACCCTCCGCAACCCTCCGCAACCCTCCGCAACCCTTCGCAACCCTCCGCAACCCACCGCAACCCTCCGCAACCCTCCGCAACCCACCGCAACCCTCCGCAACCCTCCGCAACCCTCCGCAACCCTCCGCAACCCCCCGCAACCCTCCTCCCCCCGCTCCGCTGGTGTTTCCTTACTCCCCCCGCTTCTTATGTGTGATCTATGTATGTAGTAGCTTTGTTTTCTTTCTTTGGAAGAATGAAAAAAAGTATAAAGAAGAAGCCTCCCGCAACCCGCCCCCCCCGCTCCGCTGGTGTTTCCTTACTCCACCCGCCTCTTATATGTGATCTGCTATGTATATGGAGCTCTGTTTTCTTGTTTTGAAAGAATGACAAAAAGTATAAAGCATGAGCCCGCTGCAACCCTCCTCCCACCGCTCCGCTGGTGTTTCCTTACCCCCCCCCGCTTGTTACATGTGATCTGTTCTGCTATGTAGAAGGTTGGCTTTGCTTTCTTTTTTTGAAAGACAAAGAAGAAGAAAAAGTGTAAAGCGCAAATTATATTACGAGGCTGCAGCGATCGGCTGCGTTGGTTATGGTTTCTGGATCTACCCAGATCGCTGCAGCCCCATAGTATCCTTGCTATGTTGTAGACTTTTTTTCATTCAGCAGCGTTGCTATATGCCTAGCGCGCCACATATAAGTAACAAGCGGAGGGGAGTAAGGAAACATCAGAGGAGCGGGGGGAGGAGGGTTGCGGCGGGTTGCGTTGGTTTCTGGATCTACCCAGATCGCTGCAGCCTCAACATTGGACGCCTATGCTTTGCGCTTTTTTCATTCTTAAAAAAAAAAAGGAAGCAGCGCGACTATATACATAGCGCATCACAGAGAACAAGGGGGAGGAGTAAGGAAACACCAGAAGAGCGGGGGGAGGGGGATTGTGGTGTGTTGCGGGGGGTTGCGCTGGTTGCTGGGTCTACCCAGATCGCGGCAGCCTCCTCGCTTCCTTATGCTTTATCCTTTTTTTTTATGTATTCTCTTAAAAATAAAAACAATGCCACTATATACATAGCAGATCACATAGATATAGCAAGCGGAGAGAGTAAGGAAACACCAGGGGAGCGGGGGGAGGGGGGCTGCGGTGGGTTGTGGTGGCTTGCAAATTTATGGCGTGTATTATAGTACTACTTTATCTTTTTTTATTCATTCTTTGAAAAAAAATAAAAAACAAAGCCACTTTATACCTAGCAGATCACATTATATTTATTATAACAAGCGGGGGGAGCAAGGAAACACCAGGGGAGCGGGGGGAGGAGGGTTGTGGTGGGTTGCGGTGGGTTGCGGAGGGTTGCGGTGGGTTGCGGAGGGTTGCGGAGGGTTGTGGTGGGTTGCGGTGGGTTGCGGTGGGTTGCGGAGGGTTGCGGTGGGTTGCGGTGGGTTGCGGCGGATTGCAAATTTATGGGGTGTATTGTAGTACTACTTTATTTTTTTTATTCTTTTCCAAAAAAATAAAAATCAAAGCTATTACATACGTAGCAGATCACATATAACAAGCGGGGGGAGTAAGGAAACACCAGGGGAGCGGGGGGAGGAGAGTTGCGGAGGGTTGCGGAGGGTTGTGGAGGGTTGCGGAGGGTTGCGGTGGGTTGCGGTGGGCTGCGGTGGGTTGCGGTGGATTGCAGATTTATGTGGTGTATTGTAGTACTACTTTATTTTTTTTATTCTTTTCCAAAAAAATAAAAAGCAAAGCTATTACATACGTAGCAGATCACATATAACAAGCGGGGGGAGTAAGGAAACACCAGGGGAGCGGGGGGAGGAGAGTTGCGGTGGGTTGCGGAGGGTTGCGGTGGATTGCAGATTTATGGCGTGTATTATAGTACTACTGTATCTTTCTTTATGTTATAATATAATACTAATATTATATATCTATAATATAATACAATACTAATATATATTATAATAATAGTAATAGTAGAAGAGTAGTAGTACTACTATGCGTATGCATATATGCGGGGGGGGGAAGAGGTTCGCCCGCGCGCGGAGTTCGGTTTTTTTCCTTTTTTTTCAAAATTGAGGAACCGGCCGGGGATCCAATTCGTTGCAGTTCTTGCACAAGTAGGAAAAAAATGCAAATCACGACGCTACTGCTGCTATTTGCTCTCATACCAAGTAGAAGATCACCTTGTAGCACGAAATGCAATAGGCCCGGAAGATGATCTTCGACACGGTGCAACTTCGACTACACCTACGACCAGCGCTTCTTCAAGTAGCTCGAAAAATAATGCGCAGGACAAACATCATCATAGAGTTCTCTATATTGCAGGAAATCACGATCGCAAGGAGAGAACGCCCTCTACCGTTGGAACGCCAGAAGGAACGGCACCAGGATCGTTCCTCTCCACATCAATTAGTAGGAACCTCACCAACGGCCTCCAGCTCCTCGACACTGACCTCGCTGTCGCTGGCCTCGGTGGGTCCTCGTCGGGCGGCTATCTACGGCAACGGTGGTACGAGCCGGCTTTACGGTCGGAAAAAGAGTACAAGGCCCAGAAAAATGTCGAAAACGTTTGGCCGTTTGCCGCGCACCCCTGGACCAGCGACGAACAGTTTGGTTCGGCGTTGGAGAAGCTATTGGCTCGTCAGTTTTGGACGCTGGAACACCAAAAACGACGCGAGGTGGTAAAAATACAGCATAATCATCAGGCAGAGGCAAATAATCGCATAGCAGGAAACAAGAGTGAGGCTGTGGTCGCTGGCGATGAACAAGAAACAGCGCTAGGAATATTAAAACAAGACGAAGACCAGGAGAACATGCTGGAAACTTGCCGCAAGAAAAACGAAACAGCGCAAGAGCGTCTTCAGAGAAGTGCTTATCTGCTGCAAGACTTCCAGATGCAGCTGATTCTCCTGACCCACACGGGTCCCCACGTAAGCTCTACCGCGGTCTATACGCTGAACGAAACGCACGGAATCCACGGGGGTAGTCCAGAATTGACGCACGTTCTGATGCGACACAGCAGTCGTGTGCTGGATGGTCATAATGATCCCCCACGAGCTGAACTTGATCCTGAAGTAGACAGCAATTACACAGGTGGCGCTGGAGCAAATTTAGCTTCTTGTAAGGCGAATAAAGGGGTGGTCGTGGAGGACCATTCCGACAAAGACCTCGCCCCTTTTCATCCAAAGCGAATCCCTTTGTTGGCGAACATTCATGGGCACATTCATCCAGCGAACGGAATGGACTCGACCTTTCCTAATCACCTGAAAATCATAAATCCCGGGCCCCTGTACCTCGGGAGCTATGCCGAGGTGGTGTTTTCCAAACTTGTTAATGCACATGACAAGAAATCTGGAGATGATGGAGTTGCAATAGAAGATGATGAAGAAGACAAGAACGCCGACGTCCGTATAACCGGCCGAACACCTGAGACAAACAAACCGTTTAAGCAAGTATGGTTTTTAGACGAAGTGGCTTTCAAGAGTGCTGGAATGTGACAAGAGCTGAAGCAGGCAGCTGCTGGGGCTATGTGTTGAGCTTTTTAGGACTTGGTAACTAGACTGAGGTACCGCCCATGCTGTTTGGTCTGATGGATGTTTACGCGCGTAAAGCGGTCTCGACGAATTGGCTGGACATACTGTGTGGCTCAGCCGCTGGAGGCGGCGAGTCGGTCGAGAACCTTACGCGGCCGCAGGTGACTGAGATTGGCATGACCGTAGTCACGCCGGGAGGGATGCCGCACAGGCCTCCCGCCCCTATTCTCTTGGTCTTTTTCTGCCCACCCTGACTCTGACCCCATCTAGGGCCAGACATGTCGCGGCCTCCAGTGAGGCGTCAGGAGTCTCTCTGTATGGTCTTAGTCTTGCCACGGCACGTGCGCATGCATCCTAATGACAACGTACCACCGCCCTTCCAAGAGTATAGTCTAGCTCACATCAGAGCCAAAGGCTATGTGTGCTCTAGGGGTGAGGCCCACTGCCCGCCCCGCCACTTCTGAAGGACGCTCACGGTGCGTTTCAGCGTTAGGGTGTGCGCTCGCGCACCACCAAACGGCGACCCAACCCCCCCTCCGGGGGTGGGGGCCGCTGTAGGCATCCATCGGCCCGTGAACGGACGAAGACCATACAGTATGGGCATTGGCACCTGCATAATAGTTACAGTAAAGCTGGCGTCCTCATCTGCTCCGTCTAGTACAACTCTAAATGTAGGCATGCAGATCAAATCACCATGTAGATCTGATGACACGACTGAAATACGATGCAAATCCCCCCTGAAATCCACGATCCACAAATCACATCATGAGCGAAGAGCGATGTACACAGAGCGATGATGATGAAATGATGATGATGTTCTTGTGCCTTTTCCCATGCTGACAGTTACGTGGATGCTAGTACAGTAGGTAGTCGCACCCTACCTACATGGTGTATTAGTGTTCTAACAATCTTGAGCCCTGTGCTTAGAGAGCTAAACCCCCGGGTTTAGTTATAATTTTTTTTTGTTTATCCCCTTGGGTTTTACACTTGGACGCGCCTGGTTTTAGACTTTGAAAAATTTCGAAAAACTAGGAACCACAAACATGGCCACCGGCAACGAGAAGGATCCCCCGCCGAAGATGGCCACGAAGTTGGAGGCGGCGGAAGATTGGGCGCGCTGGAGTTTTGACCTCTTCCGCATCTTGGAAGGGTACCCGCGCAACCCGCCCCCGACCTCCACCGCCGTCGGCGCCTCCTCTTCTTCCTCCGCCCCGTCCTCGGGAGCTGGTACAGCCTGGAAGGATTGGGCCGAACTTTATGCGGATTACCGGAAGGATATCGCTAGCGGCACGGATATCCCGACCGCCTTGGCGAAAATCGAAACCGCTCCCAGTTGGAACAGCTGGACCGCGAAACCGCTCGCCGCCATGATTTCGCAAAGTTGTGGACCGGACCCCCACCAAATTTTGCGCGCGATCACCGGCCCGCAGCCTACGCACCTGCTTCGCATGGTTTGGGCGCTCGAAAATAAGTACGCCAGTCAGAAGATGGCCACCCGCTTCGCTGCTGTCGTGGAACTTATCCGCATGCGGATGAACCCCGGCGAGTTTGCGGACGAATACGCTAACCGCGTGCGCGCTGTCTTCCGCGAGAAGCTTGGCGGAAAAATTTTGCTGCCTGAGTTCTTAGCCGGCTGCATTTTGTCCGGACTTCCCGACAACTTCGCCCCGACCGTTGCCACGCTCATGGCCAACGAGGTGACCGACGCCGATCGCATCACCACCACCCTCCGCGAGTTCCAGCGCGTTGCCGGCGAAACCAAGACCGAAGACAGCAAGGCCAACAGCGCCAAGGTTGTCGCCTTGGAGAAGAGCCAGGAAAAATTGCGGAAGGAGTTGGCAAGCGTTAAGGCGATCGCCAACAAAGGCAAAGGCAAAACGCAGAAGCCGGAGGACACCCAGAAGGCTAAGCGCTGCCAATTTTGCCGGCACAAGGGCCACGACGTGAGCGAGTGCCGCAAGAAGAAGGCCGCCGACGCGAAGAAGACCGCGAGCGGAACCCCGCCCGGCACCGGTAAGAACAAGAAGGCAGGAGCGAACTGCGCGCGCGTTTTCCCGCTGCAGGTCACCGCCGAGGACGAAACCACCAACAAGCGCCCGCGCGCCCGGTCGGGTTCTTTGTCTTCTGTTGCCTCCCTGCTCTCCTCCTCGGAATCCCAGGAGCAGACGACCGCGAGCAACACCAAGAAGGCAAACACCAACAGCGCCGCCGCTGTTGTCGTCCACACCGCCGAAAAGAAGACCGCGACCGCCCCCGTCCAGCTTCCGGAGCTGAATGGGATCACCAACGGCGTCACGGTGGGAAAGAAGAAAAACACGCCTTGGGGCTTGTCGGATACCCTGCCCATGTTTGTGCGCGAGCACGAGCATCGGATGGCCACCGATGAGAACTATGCGAGAAAGGCGGTCGAGTTGCCTTACACTCTTGCAGGAGAAAAGGCGGAACAAGTTCGAAAGTTCTACGAAACGCGTCAACCACAGCAAAACAAGAACAGTGTGAACCAGGGATACTGCGAGCGTGCTCCGCTCGGTGTGCGTTCTCCGCACCTAAAAACAGTCAATTTTTACTTGGCCAGTGTTCTGCTCGCTCTGCTTCTGTCGGTTTTGTGGTTCTTCGTGTTTGTGTGTTTTACGTTTTTGAACTGCCCCACCCTCGTGATTGGAAGTCCAATCTACCGATTTACATCGTGTCTTGTGAGAGCTGCGATGCAAATCTGGAATCTTTTCGGTCCCTGCCCCCCCAAGATTTTGAAGAAATTCGGAATCTCACTCCCCCGGAATTCTTTCAAGAAATTGAATTCCAGGAGGTTGCTACGACTTCCCTCGTATGCCGCCGGTTGTGCCGCGTATACGAGTCTTCCGAACGTCCTTAACTCCTCCAGGCACGCGCGCGCGCACTTCGTGCAGCAGCCGAAAGCCAAGGATGGACTTCGAGTTTTGAAAGTCATCACGGACAGTGGTGCTACGCACCACATGTTCCCGCATGAGTCAATGTTTGAGAGCTTTACCGGAGAAACCGTGAGTCTCACAACAGCTGACGGCGAATGCTCTGAGCCTGCGAAAATCGGAATTCTCAAGCCCAATAACTTGGGTGCCCGGGTTGCGTTGTACCACCCTGCGTTGCAGGTTTGCCTGCTTTCTGTCGAAACGATGGCGCAGGATGGTGGATCGTACTACCACGCGAAAGAAGAACGATGGATCCAGGATGCCTCGGGCTATCGCCACACGGTCAAAATACGCCAAAAGCTTCCTTGCGTGGGTTTCTACCTCTTGGAAGGCGAGGCGTTGGCGAACGTGATTGGAAACCAGAACTCCTGCTCCGCCTTGCGGTTACACCAAAGGCTTGGGCATTTAGGAGTTCAAGGCATCAAGGTTCATTGCCCTGACTGCGCTGTTTCTAAGTCCTATGGTTCTCAACAGCATCGAAAGGTCCGCCCCGCGACCTATCTCCACAAGGAGTGGATGGACCAAGTTGAGACGGATTTCTTCTCCGGAGGATTACCCGCTTCCATGGATGGGAACACAATCTGCATTACGCTCCGGGACTCAGCCACAGACTGGCTCGAACCTTGGGGCATTACAGACAAAGCGCAATGTGGCAAGGTCCTTCGGGACTTTGCGACACAGGTCGGGGTCCCCAAGGTCGCTCGTTGTGACAATGAGCCCGTGTTGAAAGGCATGGAAGGACCATGGAAAGAAGCCTGTCGGGAAATCAATTGCGTCGCTGGCCACAGCGTTCCACGAGAGCCGCAAGGCAATGGGAACGTGGAGCGCTGGCACAGAACCCTTGGGGACGGTCTTCGGGCCAACCTTCAAGGAGTAGATCCCCGGCTCTGGGATTGGTGTGCGCGCTACGTTGCGTATGTCAAGAACCGAGTGCAGCGGAAAACCAAGCTCCCTGCCCCTTTCTACAAGCGTTTTGGCCGTCAGGCCGATGTCAAACACCTTCGCCGCTTTGGGTGCGTTGCGTATGTTCGCAAGCACATTCCAAGCGACAAAGCCGAGAGCACAAAGTTGGTTGACCGCTATGAAAAGGGAATCTTCCTCGGATATTCCAGGGAGTCTAGCTCGTACGTGGTAGGTGTTTTCCACCATGATGCACGCGCTAAGAGCGGCCAGAGATGGACGACAGTCGAATCTCGGTCGGTCAAGTTCGACGAGGACACGTTAGTGCCCAATGTCAACGCCCTTCGGAAACCGGATAAAGAACCGTCGCAGAGGCAAGCCCCAAACGCCGACGATTCCGCTGGAGCAGTGAGAAGCGATTCCGATCGCCTTCGCGCCGCGCTTGAGGAAGTCGAAAAGCGTTGGAAGCAAACTTCTGAGGGGGTTGAAGAACCGGCTCTGAAACGGAGAAAAACGGAGTCGCCCCCCCCGGCGCCGGAAACGGCCCAGGGCGGAGACAAAGAAAACGAGTCTGCCGGAAGTCCCACCGACGGCGACGGCCGTGGTGCGGCGCCCGCAGATGGTCCCGCGCAGGAAGGAGGAAACTCAGCTCCTGTCGCCCCACAAGTTGCGCCCCAGGTAGCGCCGCCGGACGTTTCAAAGTTGATCGATGACGACCTCAACCCCTACACGTTAGTGGAAAAAGACGGCGTCACCATCAAGAAAAGAAACCGTCGCGGACGGCCCAAGGGCCTCACTCGCGCACAATGCCCCCACTGGCGTAAGCCCGGTCGGAAGCCCAAGCAGCCAACAGCTTCGGACCTTGTGCAGCCCCTTCGAGATCAGCCCCAGGGCAATGGCGCAAAAGCAATTTTTGAAAATGAAATCGCTAGCGCGTTTGTTGCTTCTCGAGTTTTTGATCAAGAGAAGGATGGCGAGGCGATTTGTTGGACAGTACAAGTCACCAGGGTGGAGGCGTTTACAGGACCAGACGCCGCCAAATGGCTGGAAGCTGATACGCTAGAGCGTACACAGCTGGAAGCACTTAAGTGCTGGAGGCCGTTACAAGATGGCGAATTCGGTAAGGACGACGAGATCATCCCGGCCGTTGTGATTTACACTCGCAAACGGTGCGGAAGATTCAAGGCCCGCCTTGTTGCACTCGGAAACCGCCAGACGAAAGTCATGCGCGCCGAAGTGTTCTCCCCGACCGTTTCCCATGCCGCGACCCGCACCCTGCTGGTTGATGCCGCCGCTTCGGCTAAGTTCGTTGAACAATTCGACATCTCGAATGCGTTCATCCGTTCTGCCTTAGACGAATCGGATAGAGTTTTTGTTCGCTTACCCAAACACTGGAGCACGGACCCCCGTGGCGACAAAGTCAGACTTTTGAAATCCTTATACGGACTCAAAATTGCGCCACGCAAGTGGTATGATACGTATGCCGCGTATCTTCTGGAAGACGGCTGGAAACGCTGCCCCCAGGAACCCGGACTATTCAAGAAGAATGGGCTGACGCTGGCCATCTACGTTGATGACTCTCTCATCTCGGGCGAGAATTTCGGCGAGGTGTCCGCCGCCTGCGCCCGTATCCTTGGTAAGTTCGAAGGCAAACTTATCCCCGCAGAGAAAGAAGGCTCTTTCGATGTTCGGGACATCCTTGGCGTTCGTATGCGTTACGATCGGCAACGGAAGACCTTGCGTCTTGATTTGGAGAAAGCCATCAAGAAGCTTGCGGAAAAGTTCAAAATCGACGCTGGAAAGCCACTTTCCACGCCGTGCGTTTACACCGACTTTGATGAAGGAAAGCCGCTGCCGGATTACCCGCTGCGTAGCCTCATCGGGGGACTGCAGTACATTGCAACCATGGCCCGCCCAGATTGCATGTTCGCAGTGAACAGGGTCGCACGAGCTCAAGTCAAGCCTACAGCTTCTGTCGTGACAGCGGCAAAGCGCGTAGTCAGGTACTTGCTGCAGACTTCCCATGTCGTTCTAGAGTACACACCGGAACGGGAGCGGGAATTTCGCAAGCAATATACTGAAGTGCTTGAGGAGCAGAATTCCAGACAGTCCCTCCCGGATTTTGTAGGATTCAGCGATGCAGATTTTGCTGGGTGTTCCGTCACCCTCCGCAGCAGCAGTGGAAGCATTCTCTTTTTCAGGGGCATGCCCATCGCTTGGTCTAGCAAGCGCCAGACACTTCGCGCATACTCAACATGCGAGAGCGAGTACATTGCCCTCTTCGACACGTTGAAGCTATCGCAGGCTCAGGGGTATCTGGAGTGGCTCGATGAAAATCAGTCTCTTCCCGGTATTCTCTTTGTGGACAACAAATCTGCAATCGAAGTTGCGCGCTCGGAGTTACCAACCAAGAAGACGAAACACTTCTTGCTCCGTTTTCACGAAGTCAAGGATCACGTCGAAAACATCGCGCACGTACCCACCGGCGTGAACAAGGCTGATCCCTTGACCAAACCAATGGGAAATCCTTTGCTGTGTTTCCACGCGTGCGCCCACCCATCTATTGACTTAGATGACAGCAAGATAGGTCTGCCGGCTGTCTACGCCGCCTCGGTTTTCGAATCGTAGTCCGTCTTCCGCGTGTCACACTCGAAGGCTACACATGCCTGCGGAATTGTGTAGGATTCTAGTGCCCGTCTGATTTTCCTTCATCCGCGCCCAAAACTTCCACAAGTTTCTGAGGGGGGGAGGTTTTTCATCAGTTTCGTGGTTTCTCTTTGTGCCGTAGCCATGCGTTTTTCCGTGGTGTTTTCGCCAAAGATGCTAGATTTGAGTTTGCATGAGGAGCGCACAGTCATCGTAGCATCGGGATTCAGGGGTTGTGTATTTGGTCAGTGTGTCTATTTCTTAGGATTTTGCAATACCTATTTTCTTACTGTGTCTTTCCACTACACCATTACCGTTCCATCCTGTCACTAGGGGGAATGTAGGCAAGTGCTTAGACATGAGGGGGAATGTAGGCATGCAGATCAAATCACCATGTAGATCTGATGACACGACTGAAATACGATGCAAATCCCCCCTGAAATCCACGATCCACAAATCACATCATGAGCGAAGAGCGATGTACACAGAGCGATGATGATGAAATGATGATGATGTTCTTGTGCCTTTTCCCATGCTGACAGTTACGTGGATGCTAGTACAGTAGGTAGTCGCACCCTACCTACATGGTGTATTAGTGTTCTAACACTAAACCTAATGACGAGAACTCTACAACTAGAACTAAACGCTGTCGCTTTTACATAATGATAATCTTCAAGCTTGGAGGACGATTTGTTTCGTATTCAAAAATGTTGTCGCAGCTGGAACAAGAATGAACCCGTGCAACACGAGGACACAGCTCTGCAAGTTCTGTTAGTTCACTATTGAAGACCCAAGCACGGTCCTCTCTTGCGCGGCCGTGAGTGTTCCTCATAAAAAGACTAGAACGTCACATAAATGCTTTGATACGATAATCGTACGACGACACGACAGCTCATATACAAAGACAAAAATTTCAATTCATCGGTTGAAGATTACAAAACCAAAAAGGTATACGTAAAGCACCAGCGCCCTCCCACTTGAAGATCGGTCGTTTTCGTACCAAGATTCGTTCTTCGGCGTGGTTCTGGTTTTCGTTCTCGTATGCACATCGTTCTCCTTTCGTCCTGGTGGTCGTCGCTCCGTGATTTTCAAGTCTGCTTTTGTCGCTCACAAACCTCTCATCTCGAACACACCTGTCAGGATCCCCCCACGTTTATTATGAATTCATCCCATTGATACCTACGATAACGATATTCAAGAAGGAGCAACAGGCTCCTGCGACTTCTGAAGCATGAGACACCAATACTAGCATTAGCCCGAACTACTCGTAAGCTCGTCGCGCTGCGAACTATATGAAGTTGAAATAATCTATCTCAACATGAGCCTCGGTTTTATTCAAGTTGAATTATGTTAAATCACACTCATTCGTCGTCAGCTCCTGCATGGCATTCAGTGTAAAAGTCGTGATATTAGTTTGAACTTCATCTCAGAACCAACGAATCAAATCACAAACATGAAACCTACACTCAGAGTCAAATTGCGAGCTGCGTTCGCGGTTGTCCTCCATTTCACCCTCCTTGCCGACCACCAAGTCTCTGCCTGCGCCCTCAATTCGCAGGTATGGGCGTACCGACAAGGCACTTATCCTCAAGAAAAACTACGACGTCCCCACCACCCTGCACACTTGTGGTCAACACCAGTGTAGTGGTGCTTGGCTGCGAAAGCAGGATCACAAAGCGATTACCGTGTAAATATCGTGAACAAGACGAGTTGTGGAGAAATAGCAATACAAGTTCGATGGAAGCATTAAGAACTACAACCTTAGAAAAATAGTGTTGCTCCTCACTGGGATCATGCGCGTCGTGAGACGAGACATGCATCCTCAGTATCATGTAAATTCAAATTGGCATGACAAGACATGAGAAGAACTCTGGGGAGGTCGTGGGGACGTTTTTCCTTAGGATGCCCTTCCGGGGAAAATCAAGGCCAACGTGGAGAAGCTGACGCCGGAAAGGTTGATGTCCATGAACGGGGGTGTCACCGAGGAACTAGTGGTCGGCAGCGAACCCCCGGGCGCGTGGGTGTCGTGGCCGGACGACTTGCTGCTGTGCCCACGAAATAACGCCTACAGCTACGCGAACCTCGCGCACCGGAAAAATTGCTGGCGGTCCCAGTCTATGAACTGCAAAAGTATCGTACTCGTATAAATGCATTACAAATTTCCTCAGCATGAGAAATAAAATTTGTAATGCAGATTTGACTTGACAAGGAAATTTGTAATGCATGACTGCAAGATACTTTTGCACAGGATACAGTCGCAGATGTTTACGTTGATGAACGTGGCGGTGCCGTGCGGTGGCGTCGTCGTCGCCGCAGAGGAGGTATGCATTGCAAATATGTCTGGGTCTGGAAGATGGCGAGACTTCTCATGCTAGTTTGGCATGGCGCTGAGCTCTGTATTGCGTGGCCACGAACACCTCCTCTTGTCTGTCATGCAAAAACGATGCTTCTCATGCGGAATACGCAACACAGAGCCACGAGAAAATCTGTCATGCTTGGCGGTGCATTACAATGCGCTTTCTGTTCACTGACATGCATCACAAGTTTCCAGCCCCAGACACATTTGCACTTGATAGGAGGAAGAACTGTTCGGGGTCCCGTTGGAAGCGTGGCTCGCGGTGTTGGGCGGGGTGGTCATCGTCGTGGTGGTCGTCGTTTGCTTCATCGGGAAGGAGCGGACCAAGCTCGCGTTCCTTGACGCGTGCATTTGCTTCTTCCCGCGGGAGGTGAGGGAGAAGCGCGCGCAGGAGAAACAGCGGGCCCGGGAGGCGATGATGGACATGAAGCAACTGGATGCGGAGGAAAGGGAACTGGACGCTGCGGAGAGGGAACATGTCCGGAAGAAGCAGGCGCTGGAGAAGCACCACGCGGCGTTGGACGACACGAAGCAAACCCACGCGCTGGGCTATCAGAAGGAAAAATCCCCCCTCCCCACATCGAAACGAAGTTTCTGATGCTGGATTTGCGTACACAAATCAGATTTGTCTTGCAGTAGAGGACTGCAGGCCCATATCATGCCCATGCACAGAGGTTTTGGCCTAGGCAGTTAGCATGAGGAACGTCTATGCCGTAGAAGGACCAACAGCATTACAAACCGCCTGCATAATGGGGCGGAGTCTGTGGGGTTGCTTTCTTGCATCACAGATGCGATTTGTGGTCACAAATCAGCATGACAAATTTTCATAGGCCTGCCTTATCGATATGGGGAGAGGGGATTTTTCCTTACGATATGGGCCACACGCAAGCGAGTTCGAAGGCGGACCAGCTGAAGGTGAACAAGGCGGCGCTGGTATTCCGTGTAAAAACATCCCCACGACCCCAGAGTTGTCATGCATTTCTGCATGCCAAAAAAGTTTCTCATGCGGAGCCCTATGAGAAGCATTTTCTATTCGTGTTTTGGCATTTGCGATGCTAGAATCAGCATCCTATGCTAGATCTGTGATGCTTCTGAACTAGCTAAACAGGACTACACTACGAGGACAAACTTGTCATGCCAAACAACCAAAGCTGGCTGATTTGTCTAGCAGATTTCCCATCTTGGCTCTGGTAGGTGTGGGGCCGTTTTTAATCAGGATAGCTGGACCGCGCGGCCAATGCGGACTACGTGGAGAGGCTGGATAACAAGTTGCACACCAACTACAACGAGCCCATCGAGCCGATCACGGCCAAGGTGTCGCCAGAAATCGAGATGCGGGGTTTGTTCCCCGCGCGGCGCTCCCCCTTTCAGCCACCGCCCTTGTACGGGCACAAGGTGGTGGACTACGAGCAGGAAAGGCAGGAGCTCGAGCAAACCTCGAAAATCAAACTCTCGGCCAGCGGACCGGGGGGCCCGGGCGCGCCGCCGAAGCCCCCACCACCAAAGAAGCCGGTGCCGTGGGTGGAAGTAGCGGGGGTGCCGACCACGCCGGTTCCACTGCGGACGGCGCCCGTGAAGTTGGACGAAAATGATGGCGTTGAAAAGCCGCCGAGTGGTGGTCCCAGTGGTAAACAGGCGGAAGGCGGTAATGTTAAAGCGGGTGAAACTACAACAAGCACAACCACAACTGGAGGGCAAAGACCAGCTAGTAGTAAACCCGGAGGAGGTGGTGGTCCTGTGACAGAGGTGGAGTTGCAACACCACAAACAACAAATGTTCACCAATCCGATGGCAAAAATTGCAGAAGTGTAGCAAAAAATCGATTCTTGAGAGGAAGAAAGTAGCAGAAGCCCACAGCAGCATGACTGGCGTCGATCGACGTCACAAGGGAACTGGGCGACGGCATCAGCTGCACACTTGAACTTCTCACGAAGTAACGTTTTTCTCTCTGCTATTCCATCAAATTTTCGTTTATTTCCAGCACATTTTTTATTTTTTCATTTTCTACATTACGGCTTGCCAACTCGCCCCCTAATATTGGTCTTGCCTTTATTGCTCCTTGATGTTCAGAAATATTTATCTATAGACTTTTTCCTAAATTGAGGAATGTTATGTAAGTGCATCAAATGCATCAATAAAAGCTTTTACATCATGTACAGTATCAGTAATTTACTCCATTATCTATGTTTCCTCAATTCATCAAATTCAAATTTAGCCAGTAGGTCCTCATGCCCCCTTGCTCTTCGTTTTACATGTTGTGGTAAAAAGAATTTTATTCGAGTAGTCACGAACCAGCACCGGCTGTTCACGTTGATAAAGCTTCTTTTGCTCGCGTTGTATCTGAATCACATCAAGGGAAATCTTGCAGCGGAGGCCCAACTACCTGCGCATCGTTGCTGCGTTTTTCCGTTGCCCACGTTGGGGGGAGGTTCGTTTCGGTTTCTGTTCGATTGGTATTCACTTGTCAGTCGAGGTCGACAAGGCACAGGATGATTGGTATCATGTATAACTACAAGCTTATTTTCCAGTACAGGTTTAGAAACAGCCGGATTCCATGATGAAGAGCAGGAAATCACACACACATGAGGGGAAGAAGGTTGAGCATTTATGGAGCGGGGGCAGCCGCCTAAAGAAAATTTGAGGTTGAGTTGAGGCTCAGCTTGCACTTGTTTCGGCGGGTTTTGCGTATATATCTGCCCTGCTGCATGAGAGAGTAAAAGAAGTTTTTTATCTCCTACTCCTATTGCTTTTTTTCACCTCGTCCAAACTTTGTCTCGTTGGATGAACGAAGAGTGAGAGCAGGAGCACAAGGACAAGCAAACAAGGCCGCGCAGCACAGGAGAAGGTGAAGGACTTTTGCTAGTGTCTGTTGCTATTTCAACATCAGCGTCCGATCTTGGTGTCGACGGTCCTTTTGTTTTTGTTGCTCGGAGAAGCAGAAGCCCCCTCCTCCTGTGTTTGTTGTACCGCCTCGCGCCATCCAACGACGAACGAGAAGGGAAGAGGCCGCTCAGCATTGAAAACTACCGAATGCTAGTGTACGTGCTGCTCCCCCTCTTGGTGTAGTGTTTTGTCCACCTGACCTGGCTGCAAGCAAGAAACACGGTTTCCCCTTGACGGACCTGCTGTCGTGGCTCGCGGCTCGAAGGAGCCGCGCTCCTCCTATCCTCCTCGACCTCTTGTTCTACGCGTGTCGTGCAGCACTGCACAGGAAAATAGGAAAACAAGAACGCCGCGACGAGCCGTCAGCTGCAACTGAGAAAGGTGCTGCTGAGAAGCACTGTTGAAGTGGTTGTGCAACTTCATTTTGCTCCGCAACAAAGGAAGATAAAGTAAAGATTGAAGATGAGCAAGCCGACGAAAAACGCCAGCAAGAAAACCACTGCAGCCGCCCCCAAGAAATTAGCGGTTCATACTAACGCCGTCATTTTGCAAATGCAATATCTATGGATTTTATTCCGCAGTGCTCTTATAGACAACCTGATCTCATCCATTTCATCATCTGTAACGCATTTCATCTTGCCTGTCATCTCCTCGGTTTTTGCTATAGTTCTTAAGCAAAGAAGTAAATCCACAACATGAACAACATTGACATTCATAGGCTTTCACTTTTTCAAGAACTCGCCGGCTTATTTCATCATCATCAGGCTCCCAAAATTCCTGGTCGCAACCCCCGGGAATATGCGGTGGTCTCTGCAACTTGGCTGCGCAAGATATGGAGGGATTCTCAAACGTTACGCTCTCAGCTGTTACGTGATGGATTTGTGATGCAAAAACAGCAAAAGCGAAAGAGGGAAGATTGCGCACTTCGCATAACAAGAAAATCTCGTGGGGCCTGGTGCGAGAAGATGAATTTGTTATGCGAAGTGCCTTGATTGTGTGGCGGCTTATGCTACTTACTTAATTTAGCATGGGTACAAAGCAAGCAACCGTTGAGGGCGTAACGTTTGGGAACCCCATACAAGATCCAAACCGAGTTTCCCACGAGCGCAAATACAGCGTCACCGACAACGGGTACTACAGGCGGAGCTGCAGCAGAAAGTAACAAACCAAGCAGGGTTGTGAAAAATCCGAACAACTACACAAACATCCCGTCGAGACAAATTTCGCACCAATCCGAGCAGCCCGTGCAGACCAGCCGAATCCCGGCACCGCGGGCCGATGCTCTTGACGAAGAGCTTTCTCGGATGGCAGTGGCGGGCAAGCCCTCGCTTATCCCGCCACCAAAAGTGGTGGCGCAGCACGGTAGTGGTACCAACGCGCCGGCGCGGGGAAAGATGGCGGCGGGGGGGCAAGGGGTCGCCGCCACCGGGACGAAGAAGGGCACTGGTAAAATGAGTGGCGGGCGTGCAGCTGCTATCAAATGTAAAAATGTCTGGGTCTGGAAGAATGCAACTTGTGATGCTGCATTTGGATTCCAGAAAAATCTGTATTGCATGAGTACCAAAAGGAATGCAATTTTTGCTACGCGGAGAGGGCATGTGTCATGCGGAATAGGCATCAAGAAGCTCTCAAAAAATCTGTGATACTAAGGCATGCATAACAGACATCAGGGCTCATGCAAAACGTGCATGACAAGTGTCAGAATCTTCCAGACCCAGACATTTTTACAATCCATAGCTGCTCCGGGAAAGCAACAGGGAGCTGCAGGCACTATAGGGGCGTTCGATCATGTGCAGGTTGGCGTGCCAGGAGGGGGAGGAGTCGGTGGAGGTTCTGAAAACATCATGAATCTCGTGCCCCCGCAAGACGATAACAATGTGACCATCACGAACTTCGGAGGAGGTGCTGGTGGGGCACCCGCACTGGTTGGAGCTCCGGCCGGTGGTCCCCATCAGAGCAACCCATATCAGCAACAAGGAGCGCCTCTGCGCTACAACGACGTCGCACCTGCTGCACAGCCAGGACCTCTAAACAACTACCACCCAGCAACCTCTTCCACGAGTAATCCGTATGGTTCCCCGTCCGGAGTAGGGAATAATCAGAACTATGTATCAACCAGAAATAAAGTGCTAACGTGAAGGGTTTTTTTGCAGCAGATGGGCGTGAAGATGAGAGATTTATATATTCGTCTATGTATAATCGTGCATGCCATGCAAAAATACGAATGCACCATGTGTCGTCCTCACATTACAAACACAATATCTTTACAACTACCCGTTGACACTTTTTTCTGGGATACTTTCTGGCGAACAACCCTTTGTACCAACCCGCCCAGTATCTGCAGCAGCCGCCAGGCTATGGTAGTTATGACCACAGGGCCGCACCCCAACACCAGCACCTCCAGCACCCTGGTGCCACGAGTACTACGACCTCTCCACACCAGCCGCAGTCCAGTAATATGCAACTCGCCGGGCAGAACATTGTCTACCCTCGTGGCCGCAGGGACCCGAACGCGCCGCATCCGCACTCGCCCTCCACGGTGCAAAACCCCTTTGTTCTGGGGCCAGCAGCTCCGGGGCAACAGCATGGTAGTAGTTCTATGATGCAGCAGCAGCAGCCGACGTCTATGGCGCCGTTGGGGAGCCAACACGTGCAACACCCTGGAGGCGGAGGTGGACCTCCGCAAAGTAATTACCTAGCAGCCCCTGCGCCTGCTCAAGCCGGCCGAGCAGGACCGGGCGTGCCGGTTGGTGCGGTGGGAGGGCCGTATCATCTCCAGCAGCGACCTGGCGTTGGTAATGTGGTAGCTGCGCCACTGCAGCAATATCCGAACCCATACCAATATCCCAAGCAAAAAGTGTTACAGTTTCTACGCATTTGCTGTGAACAAGACTAAGGCAACACAAACTTTCTCTAGTGCATAGTAGTAGTAGACGAGGAAACCTGCAAGGAAGACCAAGGCAGAGATCACGATAAGCAGGCTGAGGAGCTGCAATATAAATAACAAGGCTTCTGAGCCTATCTTCCGGCGTAACAGAGCTTGCTTGGTTTGCAACACAATGTGTGCAGCACTTTTTTCTTCGCATAACCAGCAACCCGGCGGGCCTGCTCCTCCGGTCAAGAACTACTACGGCCAACAGCACCAGCCGGTTCCGACGGGGGCAGGTGCAGGTCGTATGCACTGCCAAAGAATTATCATCGCATTCACTAGAAGTAAAAACAAGTCTACCATCGGTTGTGGTCGCATGAGCAATTTCATCTACCACGGCGGCAAATAGATGAAATTTCAATTTGTATATGCAGATCTCCATAGAAGGATCAGATCTGCCATTTTGCATCAACGTTGGCATTGATAAGAAGAAGCGCGCTAGTGGTCATGATGATGATGGTACTTACTTTTACAGTGGATAGCCCCGGGCGGGCAGCAAGAACAATATCACCAGCACGTGCAGCCCAGCAACAGAGTTGTCAACCTCGACGCGCCGGTCAGGCTAGAAAGCCCCCGGGGTGGCAGGAAGCTTGTGGTGCACCAGAGAAATATTAATCACAACAACATGCCACCGCAAAATCAATTTCAGCCGCCTGGCGGGGTAGGAGGTGGACATATGCCACTTCAGCAACTACCGGGAGGCGGAGGTGCAGCTAGTGGCGCCGCCGGCCCAGCAAATAATTACCCAATGCAGCTTCAGCAGCCTGCTCCTTTCCCGCACACCGCGCACCAGCCTCAAATCCTCCAGCTGGGCCACCCGCACCCGCCGACGTCCCAACTACCTCCCGGCGCGGCTGCAGGACCAGGAGGGTACGCGGAATTCACTCCGCCGGCGAACGTCGGCCCCCCGGCGGCTTTCGGCTCGGCGGGCGGGCCGAGCAGTGGGGGCAGCGGGGCCGGGATGTATGGACTGATGAACAACACGCCGCAGTTGCCAAGCCCCGGCGGAGTTGCCGCAGTTGCAGCCCCCGCGCCGGCGCATCAACAACTACCAGTCACGACGCACCAATTAACCAATAACCGGATCATATGGAGCTGTCAGGTTTGAAATCGTCAAAGTTGAGATAGTTTGCCACGCATAGAATGCAACGCAGAAAGCGCCTGTCTTGCAGAGTAGGCAAGCGAGGCAGATTGTAAGCCTGTTTCGGGGTAGAAATAGAGCTGCTGAAGTAGCACGACAAAAGGCGTCTTCCTTACCCAAACAGCATTACAAACTGGACTTCGGCTCTACTCATATTTGTCATGCGCCGCTTAGAAAATGGGCTTGCAACTGGCATCGATTTTATGCATTACAAGTTATTTCAACTTCGTCGATTTCAACTCTGACACATCCATAGATGAATTCCACGAAGCTTTTTTTCGACCCGGAAGAGGAGGAAAGACTGCGCCGATATGAAAGCCTCAGAATGGAAATCCTCAAAGTGGAAATGATTTGTGATGCATGAAATGCAAGGCAAAAAAGACTGTATTGCGGAGGACACAATGGAGACCGACTATTGTCCTGCTAGGGGTGAAGAATTGGAGTGCTGCTTAGCACGCGAGAAGGGCACCCCTTTGCCTTAACCTGCATGACAGACATGCTTTAAGGGCCCAGGAAATTTGTCATGCGCCGACTACAAATGGTGCTACAACTGGAGTCGTTTTTTTGCATTACAGTTTCCACTTTGAGGATTTCCAACCTGAGGGTGTCATAGCCGAAAGCGCATGGACCAAGCCCGCGACCTGGCGCAACAGGTCGAGGAAAAACGGAGACAGCGGGAGGTATGGGAGTGTCAGAATCGAAATTGATAAAGTAAAAGTTGTACAAAATGTAATTTGGCCTGTCTTGTGAGAGGCGGAAAATGAGGCGAGCCATAACATAAGCCTTTTTCGAGGTAGACAGCTTTCTTTGTCCAAACAGCATGACAGACTGACTTCAGGCGTTCCCAAAATTTGTCATGCACCAGTGAGCAAGTGGGTCGGGGTCCCGGTCCGGGTCCAACTGGTACCTTTTTTTATGCATGGCAAATCAGAATTTCAGCCTTGTGGATTTCGAACCTGGGAGATCCATAGGAAGAGGAGAGGCTGAAAATGGAGGAGGAGAATCGGAGTATCAAGTGCAAATATGTCTGGGTCTGGAAGACGAGTGAGACTTGTGACGTTGCCTGTGCATTCTAAAGATATCTGTGTTGCATGAGCAGCAAGAGGAGTCCAGTTCTTGGCACGCGGAGTGGGCGTCTCGGATGCGTGATAAGGAGCATCAAGAAGCTCCTCTCAAGAAATCTGTGAGGCTACGACCCGCATCACAGACCCCACGGCTGCGGGTCATGCAAAATGTGAATGGCCAACCTTGCGGTGCAACCTTCCAGATGACCCAGACATATTTGCAATGCATAAGGAGAGAGGACGAGCGCATCCAGCGCGAACAGGAGGAAATGCGGCACAGATATGAGCAGGAAGTCGGGTACTTCTAGTATGAGAATAAGAATAAGTAGCTATCTTCAAGATGGACGGACCACATGATCAACCAACTTTAATTCTATATAGAAGTATTTGTATTTGTATTTCGAGTTGTCTGACTGTTCGCCCGGCGCCCTTGTAATTTGGTTGGTTTTCTAAATCATGTTTATGTTACGACCCGCAAGAAGTCTATACCTATAGACGTCTAAAAGTAAAAATGCGCATCGATTTTTGTATATGAAACTACCTACAACAGATGAGTAGAAAATTAAAATCTCCACAGCCCCGGCCGCGGCTCATCTTCCACAAACGACCCGCCACAGATGATGCACAGCAGCACGCCAAACTTGCAGAATAGCACAACCGGACCGCCACCAGGCCACCACCAGGAGAACTACAACCACGCGAACAACTATCAAAGTAACTATGGAGAAGTGGAGATTTCCGTCCAAGGCTATGATCCACAAAAAAAGACCCAACATCCCCATCCAATTTTTGTCATGCAAAACACGCATCAAGTTCAAGTCCTGTGCTTCTCATGCAGAAAATGGATGGAGGTGGGTGCTTTATTTTCCAGGTGGATAAGTTCGGCGGGATAGTACCACAAGGCGGGGGAGGAGGTGGTACTCATGCTCCAGCTGGTGCACCTCCGCCGCAACCGCTACCCGCGACGTACAGTAATGATTACAACCAGCAGCCAATGAACAACTACAACAGCTACCAACAAGCGCCAGCGCCGATAATGCAGCAAAATCAAAATCTAAGTCAAAATCCGAACCTGTACGGGTCGCCCAATATGTACGCTGGTAGCAGCCTTGGCGGACACGACTCGTCGTTTCAAGAGGAAGACTACAACTACGGGATAGAAAACACTTCGTATCAGGATGAAAAGTGTCCTTCATCTACAGACGCCGGAAGACGAGGGGAAAACGAAAAGTGTCGATGCAAACAAGTTCGAGTTTTCTCAGATGAAAACTTTTTGCCTTGCATGAACAAACGACTACGAGTATTCCTGATCCAGAGGGTAGGCACCGTCGCAATCGTCCTCTACACGACAAATTATGTCCTCCTCGTGGCTGTTTGTTTGGCGTTTTTTGCAACAGATTCTACCTCCTCCCCACAGAAGGGGAACGAATGGCTACATCAGGAACTTTTGCAATACAGACGCTTCAACATCCGGTCGCTGTAGCGCAGTGTGTTAGTTTAGCAAGGCAAAAATACGCTTTTTTTTCCGGCGGTAAAAGGGGCAGTTTTCTTTTTGATACTTCGATGCAGCAGCAAACCCACCTGCAGCCGCATCTGTCGACTACCAATCAAAAGCAGTCGTATCAAAACCAACAAGACGTGGACCGACAAAGGCAGGCGGACAAGGTGAGAAGGAGGATTCGCAGAAAAAGGAGGGCATCACAGGAAAAACTTGTTAGCGTTAACGGTTTCGAGCACGACTTGCAGTCATGATGCATGGCAGATCTTTTGCTGTTATCAAGCTGCATGGGATGCAATTGATTACCAAGAATTTGGGCGCGTTTATTTCGCATGCGGGAACACGAATACTGAGACTGACTGCGTGCCGAATGCGCTTAACGTGAGCAACGCTTTTTCCTATGATAAAGGGAGTTAGAGGAGTTGGAGAAGCAGGGGGAAATTTATCCAGGAACAAAAACCGATCCCCAGCCATGCACTTTGTGATGCAAATGAACATGAAGCGTACGAGCCTCCTGCTGCCCTTCATCATGCTAAAGTGAGTCAACATGGGGATGAGTTTTTTTCTGAGAATAAAATGAACCCGACGCCGGAATATCTGCAGGAGCTGAGCGAGCATTGCAATAACGTACTAGTAGTTTTTTTAAGTAATTCTAATTGTAGCATACTAACTTGAACTTGGCTGGTGATGACTACAAGAAAATCCTTGCGGCATAATATAGAGAGCGTGGGCGCGGCGACTGAAGTAGTAGATATGCACGAGATTCGAATAGCTTCGCCCGCTGGGTGTGACATCGCAAACTTGCGCTAGAAGGAACAGTTTTCACAGAGGTCACTTGCCGCGACGGCGCGCGGGCGTTTTCGGTATCAACTGAGAAAGACACTGCTTCTGCTGTCGTGCCGCAGTGCGTTTCCAGCTGCAAGGAAGCCCAGCCGGAAGCACATTGAAAACGCATCCGCAGCGCATCCCAGCCGGAAATGCCTCTTCAGGGCATTTCTGCCGATGGTGGAGATCGAGCTAGAGACGCCCTCTCAGACAGAGCGTTTGCGTTCCTAGCTGGAAATCCAGCCAGAGAGGCCCCCTCCGTGCATTTCCAGCTGGAAGGAAATCTAGCCGGGAACGCATTGGAAACGCACGCGCGACGCTTTTCCAGCTGGGAGCTCGGCTGGAGATGCCTGCTCAGCCCGTTTCTTCTAGCTGAAAGTAAATCCAGCCGGAGACGCAGCGAAAATGCATCCGCGGTCTAATGGATGCCTTTGCAAAGCATGCCGAGCTGGAAACTCGGCTAGAGACGCCGCCGCAGTGCGTTTCTGCTTGGGAATCTAGCTAGCGACGCCGTCTCAGTGCATTTCTAGCTGGAAACCCACCTAGGGACGCCGTCTCAGTTCGTTTCTAGCTAGAAATCCAGCCAGCGACGCCGCCCCGGTGTGTGTCCAGCAGGGAATCCAGCTAGCAATGCCGTCTCAGTGCCTTTCTAGCTGGAAGGAAATACAGCCGGAAAGGCAGCGGCAGCGTGTTTCCGCTATCGAAAACACGAACGGCGCCGGCTTCCGTCTACGGCATATCGACGGAAGCCGGCACCGTTCGATATGCCGTGCGTGTTTCCGCTACGGCATATCGAACGGTCCCGGCTTCCGTCTCCGTCGGCTGCTCGCGATGTCTCCGTGCGCGCGATCCGCTAAAGCCTTTTTTCCTTAGGGATTTCAGTAAGGAAGCGACACGCGACCGCGCAGATCCGAGTGACCCCCTACGTCACTCCCCCCGCCCTTTCGATATGATGACACTGCGCCCCAATCTGTGTGAATGATTTTAAGATCTAAGATTATAACTAAGATGATGACTTTTGAGATGAAGACTTACATGCGGGGGGCCCTCGCCCCCCCCCCCGCGCCCCCCCCGCCCTTTCGATATGATGATACTGCGCCCCAATCTGTGCGAATAGTTTTCATTTTTAAGATGAAGACTTACATTGGGGGGGCCCTCCCCCCCCCTCTCGCCCCCCCCGCCCTTTCGATGTGATCCTATTGCGCCCCCATCTGTATGAATGATTTTGATTATGATCCCATTGCGCCCCAATCTGTATGAATAGTTTTCAAGTCTAAGACTATAACTGATCGATCTAAGATTATGACTTTTACATGCGGGGGGCCCTCGCCCCCCCCCGCGCCCCCCCCCCCCTTGCGATATGGTGATACTGCGCCCGCCCAATCTGTGCGAATAGTTTTCATTTTTGAGATGAAGACTTACATGCGGGGGGCCCTCGCCCCCCCCGCGCCCCCCCCGCCCTTTCGATATGATCCTATTGCGCCCCAATCTGTATGAGTGATTTTGACTATGATCCTACTGCGCCCCAATCTGTATGAATAATTTTTAAGTCTAAGACTATAATTGATCGATCTAAGACTATGACTTTTACATGCGGGGGGCCCTCGCCCCCCCCCGCGCCCCCCCCGCCCTTGCGATATGATGATACTGCGCCCCAATCTGTGCGAATAGTTTTCATTTTTAAGATGAAGACTTACATGCGGGGGGCCCTCGCCCCCCCCCGCGCCCCCCCCGCCCTTGCGATATGATGATATTGCGCCCCAATCTGTGCGAATAGTTTTCATTTTTAAGATGAAGACTTACATGTGGGGGGCCCTCGCCCCCCCCCGCGCCCCCCCCGCCCTTTCGATATGATCCTATTGCGCCCCAATCTGTATGAATGATTTTCATTTTGACTATGATCCTATTGCGCATTCAGATTTAAGATTGAGACTGAGATAGATCGAGATTTGATATGAAAGTGCGAAAATTTGAACTCTTGAACAAATTGAATTATTCAATTTGAACTATTGAACAAATTGAATTATTCAATTTGAATTATTCACGAAATTGAATTATTCAATTTGAATTATTCACGAAATTGAATTATTCAATTTGAATTGTCGAATGAATTGAATTATTCGCAAGTCTTGCGATAAAATTGTAGATATGACTATCAATGATCTACGTCACGTCTAAGAATTGTCCATCATTTGATCTTTTTATCAGCTGAAGAACCAGCTGGACCGACTTCGAAGCAAGGCCCTAGCGTCCGACTACGAAGACTCGCCATTTCTCTCCGGCCGCGGCGCAGGACCCCCTGGCGGGACCAACACGGGTGGAGCTTCGTCCCTCGGGGTCGGGCTCGGGGTTGGTGGAGGACTGCATGACAACATGGGCGCAGCGAATGGCACCGCTGGTGGAGGAATGGCAGGTGGCGCAGCTCAGCCGTCGCACATGGAGACGTTCGGCTGCTGATAGATGAGTACAACCTATCTAGAGTTGCGCGGCCGTCACAACTTCTTTCTTCATCGTTGCAGAAGTAGAAGATGAGAAGTTCTTTCGGTTCTTTCTCCTTATTGAAATTGATGAACTCCTGGTACACGTACAACATCAAGAACTCCCTCTCGTTCTTGCCCTTGCGCTTTGAGATCATACTTGACACGCTTGACATTGCTACATTTCCTCATGTTCATGATCAGGTTCATGATGTTGATGGTCACTGACCACAGGAGAACGTGAGTTCTTCTATCTTGGTCTTGTCATTCTTGAACAATGCCTTCTTAAGCTATAAAGATTTTAAGTACTAGAACTATAATAATGAAGAAACGAACGAGCATCTGGAGGATGATGCTCAACAACTGACATTATGATACATCAAGTAGCGCAGCAGCCGCTTATAGTTACTCGCTTGCAGCGTTCTTGCAAGTAGATGAACCTCCGATTTGCACTACTAGAAGAGGATCGTGGTGAAAGAAGCCCAAACCTTGGAAACGCACCTCTTTATGACCCGTGTCAGTACACTTCTTGCGTCTTTATTTGACATTGACTAAGGTCGACGAGTCGACACGGATGATACACCTACTGCCGTGCAGCTGTTCCCCGCCTAGAAGTAGTTATGGGCCACCGCCGCGATCTTCTCGTGCAAGAAATTTCAATTTCATTCTACGTGTCGCGTCTACTCTGGTGCGCTATTGTTTCTCTTTCTCTTTTATGCTCTGCAGCATCTGCTTCTGCTCACCAGTCATGATCTGTGGAACTCAACAATTTTTTCATCCTCTTGATGGTTCACGAGGAAATCGAAATTTGTTTGTTGTCGTTTCCCTGTTGTCAGTTCTCCTTTGCTCCGCGTTGGTCCGGGGTATAAGTACTCACAGCGAAGAACGAGATCCGCGCGATGGTGTAATATGATGCCCCGCCCTCGGTATCAGTACATTTACGCTCTTCTCTTTCAACACAGGGGGAGTTTGTCTTAAGAACATGACTTGCCTTCATCGAGAAAATGGAAGCAAGGTCTTTCTCTTTTTGATTTTTTGCCCGCCCCGACAATGATTGTTCGCAAGTGCAAACTAGAAGACTGAATTCTCCCAACTAAGAAGTAAGTTCTTGATTGGTCATCGTGGTGGTGGTCCCCCCTCCTATTTTCTCCAGCTTGACATCAGCTGCTTTATTTTTCAGAGCAGCATACCACAGTCAAAAAACATCAGACCATGCGCAACAAAGGTCGTCCTCTGCCTGCCGAAGATCTGAACTTCATTCGTGGATCTTCAGGTTCCTCTGCGAAAAACGACAATTACCTGCAAAACGGGCAAAAGTCCTACAAAGACCGCGCGACTTATGGACAGAGAAATAAAGACGACTCGATTCTGTACACGGTGAAAACCGTCGTTGCCCCCTTCCCGGTTTCGACCTCAGAAACGCAGTGGGGCGCGCGTTCCGCCCGTCCGCTGTTGCCAAAAAAGAAGATCGTCTCCAATGCGAATCGCGGCGACAGCTACAATGAGAACGACGAGGAGCAGCACAGTCATTCTCATTCCCTCGAGGAACCTGGCTCGTCGGTGGAAGGTCTTCATCCTGGGTTGGCTCAATCCAACTCACGGACTGGGAGTGGAGATGGAGTCATGTTACTATCAAATGCAAATTATATGTCTGGCTGTGGAAGACGAAGATGGACCACTCACTAGTACTCGTAGTACGTGTGTCCACTTTCATGCATCTTTTGCGATCCACACACCTGGACTACGCATTTGCAATGCATAGATATCCGGAATGGACAGGATCGTCAATGGAGGGAGCAACGCGACCTCTGCGCGCCCGATCGCCACCACAGGTGCAACTGGAGCCGCGCCAGTGCACCACATGCCAAAAATTCGAACGGCGGAGGCGGAATACTACGCGTACCTGAAGTCCCTCCCACCGGAGGAACACGTTATCAAATGCAAGTACTTCTGGGTCTGGAACTGGAACTGGATAACTTTTACTGCTGGCTGCACGCGATTTGTCATGTTGAGCGGTGCGCGACGAGGACGACGAAGCGGCTTTGTTCTGTATGGCATGAGCGCATCACAAGTTTTTCGAGCCGACTTCCTGTTTCGCGTTTAACAGAAGCATCACAAATACTTAACTGGCTTTTAGCAGCTCAAGAAACCTGGTTACTCCCGTAATATACAACATGACGGCAAGATGATTCGTATTGCCAATGCAGATCTTGCCGTCATGTATATTTCGCATCAGAAATTATCCAGCGGACCCAGGTATATATGCAACGCATACACGTTTTGCCCGACCAACTCCCGCTAGTTTCCCACTATCCACAGAAAAAAACCCATCCACATCAAATTTGTCATGCGAAACACGTATCACGTCATGTGTTTGTCATGCAAAAAATGGATGGGGATGGGTTTTTTCTGTGGATGCCCACGCTGCGAGCACGACGCATCACCAGCTGCCGATGTCGTCGAATGTTGCCGTTTATGCATTGCTAAAGTATCGTGCCAGTATTGATAAATTCTGATTGCATCACGAAAATAGATTCCGTGTTGACCGATGAATTATATTTTGTCCTGCATGGCTGCATGTAAATACTAGTTTACGAGTGCGATATTACTCTACTTGCAGTGGATACCATTTTGACGATGGATCCTGCTCCAGCAGTTGCAGCTGGTGACTTTCCCACCGCAGTAGAAGTAGCTTCGAAGCAGGCGCTCTCGCTCATCAAGGAAAATAACGGACGGGGGCACCACCAGTTTATTTCCGTACGATGCATCTTCTTGTGTTTGCGTTTGCTACAACTTTGTGCTTCTTTCATCTCTTGGCGACTCTCCAAGTCAGCAAGGTATGCGCACGTGGTCCAGCTGTGCGTGTTGATTGTACAACCCTACCACGGCATTGCACAGAACAAATACAGAAACGGATAAAGATGGAAATAACCAGGCATGAAACTCAACCTTCAGAAGTTGTCAAATGACCACGCAGTGTGGTACTACATCTAAAAGTATCTCAATCTCACTCTACAAAGTTAAAGTAGCTCCTTGGGATAATAAAATATTGCTACTAAAAATAGGAACACGACCCTGACCCTGAGTTTCTTTCTTCGCCGCCGCAGCGGGCTTCGCAAGGCGGCGTACGAATCGCAAAAAACGTCTGGCTCATCATCATCTGGGGGAGTGCTCAAGTTTGTCACGCTCGGCTATCAAGATAGCTGTCAAGTCGGTCCGTCACGCACGTTGCCTAAAAGGCCGTACTTTCCGTCATGCAGCAGCGCAGCTTCAAGCTTCACTTGCAAAAGAAAAAATATTTATAAGTACCCAGCAGCAACTCAAAGTTGAAATGATGTTTGGCCTTCGCCTTGGCCATCATCAATGATTCTTATTTGGGCGTCCTCGTGTTGATTTATTTTTTCCAACCAGCTCCATCACGTTCACGTCTCCAGACCTGCCAGACATATTTGCAAAAATGCATACAAGATGATGAACAACAACAAAAACTCCGGCACCACTGGCGGTTCCTGGGCGGATTATAGCCCGACAGATAGCCATATCAAATTAGCAAACATTCCTGGACGTCTGGAAACTTGTGTTTCTGATGGTTTTTCTCCCGCGCATGATCGCAGAGAAGGAGCCACTCCTATTGCGGCATATTAAGAGTAGCATGCTCAAAACTTACTCAGGTGGCAGCTTATTTGTTCGGATTCATTTGTAAAAAAGACGCATCATAAGGTTGCAGTAATATCATAGCATGACGAAAAACAAAAAGCTAGCGCTAGCAACTTGTTGCAACATTCACGCATCACAGATCTTCCTGTCCTTGACATTCTGCATGACAAATCCAGACCCAGATCTTCGGTATTATTTGCAATGCATAAGCCAAGAAGAATACGAAGAAGAGGAGGAGCAGTACTACCAGGCACCGGAATATGCAAGAAGAAATAAAGAAAAACAACTCTGTAAAAGTGTATGCGAAACTTTTTGCTCCTGCAGGACCAGGAGACGATGCAAAACAGTTGCGGAAACAGTCACAGAGTGGTCGCCAACCTCTTCATGCTTGTTCAACACATGTTGCATCTTCACGGGCTAGCTAGTAAAACATCACGACCACAGCACGTGTTTTCACTTACTACCTGCGCATGATGGAATAAAGTGTTTGCTATGAACACGATCAGGCAAGCGAAACAGATACAGTTTTTCTTTCTTCTCCTGGATGCAGAACTGACTTTTCTCCCGCGTGAAGTGCACCATCCCAAGGTCGCCATTGCGAAATCCACGGCCGCCGTACCCCCCGGGGGGGGCCGACTTTCGGAGGGCCCCGGCCGGGTGGACGCCTTCGCGCGGCGCCCCGCCTCGCGCTGCCCCCTTGGGGGGGTCTTCGACACCCCTTCGGGAAGTCTCCGGCACTTCGGGGGGCGGCCTTCGATACCCCTTGGATGGGTGGGGCCTCGGGCATCGCGAACTTGCAGGGCGTTTCCGCTTCCATTCCGCCCGGCCCCGCGGCGGGCCTTCGGGGCGCCTGGGGGGGGCGGGCGCCTTCGCGCGGCGCCCCTTCGAGTGGTACCTGCGGGCGCCTTCATGCGGCGCCCCCCCTCGCGCACGCTCCCCCTCGCGGGGTGGTCTGTAGGACCCCTCGGCGGGGGCCTCGGGCATTGCAAGCCCTCAACAGGTTTCTGCCGCCAATCCTTCGGGTGGGCAACCTTCGGGGGGCCTCGCGCGGACACCTTCAGGCGGCGCCCCATCTCGCGTTACTCCCTCGAGGGGGTCTGCGATACCCCTTGGGGGGGGGCCTCGGGCGTCGCGAATCAACGTGAAGCAGGTTGCTGCCTTTACAGCCCCTTCAGAGGGCCCAACCTTCGGGAGCATTTGGTCGCCAGCATTTACCGTGGGCCTGTCTTGAATGGTGTTGATTCATTCCTATGGCGGCTCCCTGTCCATCAAGATAGGGTCGGCCAAACGGCCGACCCCCATCTTGTAAACATCACGACACGTGTTTTCTAGTACTGCGCATGATGGAATAAACAACAGGCAAGCGAAACAGATACAGTTTTTCTTTCTTCTGGATGCAGAACTGACCTTTCTCCCGCGTGAAGTGCACCATCCCAAGGTTGTTGTGGCGACCAACGGAGCTCCTGCGGGGGAGATGCACCTGCACCAGCAGCTGCAGCCGGTATCCAGGAAAAAACACCCATCCCAATCCATTTTTTGCATGACAAACGCGGGACTCTATGCATGTTTTGCATCACAAATTGGATGGATATGGGTGTTTTTTCCTGGATAGCCGGGCATGATGATGTACGGCAGTGGTGGTCAAGTATCCAACTGTGGAAAAACTATGTGGTCCCCAAACTATCCGATATTAGTCAGGATGAGAGAGAGAGTTGTTCCGCATGACAAACACAAAGAAAGGTAGACTTGCATGACATCAAGTTGTTGTGGTCACTTTCCTTGCAATAGGGTACTAGTTCCCTGCAGCTGCTTCAATTCCTTTAAAAGCAGGACACCTGTGGGGTCGTGGGGAAGTTACTTATTTTTGCACAGGATATAATCAAGACGGTCGCGACCTTCCTTCTGCGTCGCAACAGCACGGTGCAACTACATTCGGAGCAGGTGGCCACCAGGGCGCGGGTGGAAATATATCCTGAGTAAAAACATCACCAAGTTGCAGAATTATCCAAAAGATCAAGATCTGCAGCGAGTCACGCATGACGAATGTTTGTCAGCAGTGTTTATCTTCGTAATGGAAAGGCTAGCAAGTTTATGTTGTCCAACACTAACAGCTGTGGTGGATCTTCACAAAGTAGCCAACTCCTTATCCACACCCTGTCTACGGCGTTACAAATACCAGCACACTACTTTTAGAAAATCCACTCATGGGCGGGAAGATGCGCATTTACGTGTAGTTGTAGTTCTTGTAGAGGCAATAATTTGCTGGGAAGGTCCGGTGTAGTTGTGGACCTGGACGTTTTTACGAAGGATAAGATAACTCCATTCCCAACCTCGCAAGTGCGGACCGTGGAGGACACGAGGCGACGCAGATGAAGGATGTTATGCATTACAAATATGTCTGGCTTTGGGACTGGAAGTGGAACTACATGATGAATGCAGATGTTTATTGTCGTGTTGCACATTTTTCATGGTCCATGCCAATGGCAATGTAATGGATGTCGGGGACGATGCATCATGTCCTCCTAGCATCACACGTAGTATTATTACATTTCCGAGAGTAGTTCTTTTCATTTTCTGCATAAAAACGAACTGTCTCTAAAGGTGGCGAAAATACTAGCGCAGCCCCCTGGCTTTGCCTTTCATGTATGACAGATTTTTGTGTGCTGACCGACGTATGAGGGCATCGCAAGAAGTGAGTTTGCATCCACTGTGCAGCTGCAGGCCCAGACACATTTGCAACGCATAAATGTGGTATTTTTTTTGCACAAATCTACTTCCGTATGCGTACAACCACCTACAAAAAAAAAAAACAGTACAGTATGACTATCCTCCCTACTGATACTGGTTCTGGTGGTGGTGCGGTTGCACAACCTCCACCTCTTGCCATTCATTTATTTTCATTTTGCTTTAAGTTTGTGTACAACATGAACATGTTGATCATGATCGTCTGTCAGAAAACTTCTACACATTGTCGTTCCCACAACAGGTCCGCATGCCCTCTATGACGAAAGCAATGGACGGCTTGGTTTCAGCAATCATGATGCAGCCAACAACAGCTGCCGCTGCGCCGGCTTATCCATTGCAAGATATTCTGCTTGGGGTTGGGTCTGGAGGATTGCCGGATTTGCCACACAGCAGTGGTTTATTTGGGTCTTGCAAATGGTCTGGAACATAAAATGCACGGGAAGTAGGCACTGACTTACAGGCTTAACGCAGACTGCGCGATGCCTACTGTCCCGCATAACGAGTAGAGGTACGCTCACGCAGCACAAATTTTTGTGGCTGGCTCTCCGGAGGGAGTTAATCTTCCTTAGTTTCTTGTACGAGCATGACATTTATTTTCATATACCTCCTCCAGACCCAGAGCCCATTGTTTGCAGTCCATACGGCTTTATCTGCGCCAATCACTTCTACACCGAAGACCGCTCTGACAACGGCTTCCTCGACCTCTTTGCTGCCAGAAGAAGGTGGCGGTGGGAAGATGAGCATGAGCGAAATCATGACGGGTATGAACTGCAAAAGTATCGTACTCGCATAAATGCATTACAAATTTCCTCAGCATGAGAAAAAAATTTGTAATGCGGATTTAGCTTCAGAAAAAAATTTGTATATGCATGACTGCAATTACTACGAGTACGAGCACGATACTTTTGCACAGGATAACGGGGCACGGTGGGCAGCTGCAAGTGCAACAACATCTTCACCATCAGCATCAGGATGCTTATGGAATGCATGGCACCACTAATACTACCTTTGCTTCCACCACGAAAACAGATAAGAGGCACCTCGAACAACATCCACAAGAAACTTCTCTCGCTGAGGACCGACAGGTGAACGGTCAATATGAAAAATTGCAAAAGTTGTAATGTCGCACTAGCCCCTGCCCCACAGCCAATAGGGGATGCATTTTCTTTTACAAGTTGAATTTGAAATTTCTTCAGCATCACAAAGAAATAACGCACTTTGACTCTGTCTTGGTGTTGGAGGTGAAGAGTTTCTTATTATTTAAGAAATGAGCAGGACTGCGACTGGTGTTATGCATGATTTGGAGTTCTGCTACTATGCAGCACGCTTGATGCGATTGCTTTTGCTATGAGTGCAATGCTTTTGCACAGGATTCTGACACTGCTCAACACGAGACCGCCACGTCAACAACTTCGGGTTCCGCCAAACCGTCTTATGACCTGCAGAATGCGACAGCCATGTCTGAAGAAGATCTTATCACGTGCAAATAGGCTCCTCCTTGAAACAAGTCTGGACCTGCTTCGTGTATGGGGTCGTCAACGTTGTATTTGCCTCAGACCGTAAAAAAAATTCTGCGCGCATTTTTTCGCGGCGCAAAGCTAGTAAACCTGTGCACGCTAGTGAGGGGCTGACTTGAACGCGGTTTGTTTTAGCTAGCTTGTCAGCAGCAGTGCTCTAGTAGGTAAGTGAGTATTGACGCGAAGGGGGGTGGGGCGCTGGGGGTTCTTCTGTGGCTGTTGTTTTCACCTAGAAAACGCCGGGCGCGCGCAATATTTTGCTCCGCTTCCCCGATTGCTCTCTCCGTGCAGGTATTTGCCGCTATGGCCTGGATCAGCGTGTGAGGCTGGCGCCCCGAGAGATGTCTACACAGGCCCTGGCCTCGTCGTCTCTAGCGGGCACCACGCATATATGTTGGCCGCGAAGGCCTTTCCGGAGCCCTTCCAAAAAGGGGGGGCCGGAGGGGTGCCCGGAACCCTAAAAAAAAGCCTATTGATTTTTCTTCGAATCACGATGGTGCTACCCCTCCCCAAAAGGGGTCCCGGAACCCCTCTGGGAACCCTTCCCGAAAGGCTCTCGGGCTTTTCGCATTCTGACGAAAAAGCCGCAAAGGCAAAAAGCGCGCGCGCCTGCCGGTACACGCGCGCACAGTTGCGCCAACTTAGAAACAAGGGAAGGCGCAGCCGCGGCCGGTTCCGTTTGCGCCCTCGACTCCGACCGACTTGCACAGATTGAGGCCCATTGTCTAGCGGCTGGACTGCAAGAGGACCTGCTGCAGCACCTCCAAGCTGCAGGGGCACTCCGAGGCAACTCCGTGGAGCAGCAGCGCCGGATAGCTCCGTCTTTAGCCACTGAGAAGTGCTGCGAATATGCTATCTATTTCATTAGGTGTGCAACATAGTGGGGGGCTATACGTGTGCAACATGATGGATATCAAATACAAAAAAAGGCGCGCGGAAAATTTTTTACAGCTTGAGGCAAATACAAGTTTGACGACGCCATATCGTGTTCTTGCTGATGAGTAACTAGTACTTACCTGCATTGCAGAATAGCCGCTTGCGCGGCATATCAACAGCAGGAGAAGTTTATTTGCGTGTTTTTAGCTTCCTGCGTGATTTGATATTGTTTTTGATTTCTATGTAGCACAATGAAGAACATGTTGATCATGATCTTCCACTTCGCACAACAAATAAACAGCCACTACTAGCTGCCAATCCACCTCTGTATCATGCTCATGCAATACAGATCTGCATCTTGCTCTCATGCGAATCTTGCATCACGAAGAAGAACCTAGACCCAAACACGATAATATTTGCAATGGTGCATAGATCTCCAGATACAACAGCAATTAGCAGCGAAGAAAAAGCAACAAGAAGAACAGGCCGAGTTTATTTCTGCGGCGGAAAGGGCGGCGCAGGTGAAGGCCAAAGCTGCAACCTGGAAGCCAAGTTTGCGGTTGCGGAGGTAAAAGGTAACGCGCGAGAGGGGAACTATTTTCGCGATAGGCAGTTCTTGAGGATAATTTATTTTTACTCAGTGTACTTATTTAAACTTGTTGTTGTTTTTCAATCAAGATCTCATGGCATGCGTAAAAGGGTACTGAACAAGGCTACTGGACAAAAAGGATTGAACTTTCTCTCGTGCTATCAATATTGATAACAAGAATCCCTCGTCCACCTCCTCGGCAGATCATGAATGCAGCCCGCTTGATTTCTTTTTTTGACGAATCATGAGCATGTAATTTTTACCTACAAAAATCGACGCGTGTTTCAGTTTAAGTAATATATTTGTAGTATACATTCGTTAGTTTTAAAGCAAACAGGTGAAGAACTCTTTGAGCAACCAAAGACGCTGCCATTTTGTTTTTTTCATCATTTTCGGTTCTTGTCGATGAGATAGAAATTTTCGCTTTTCAACAATGTTCTCGATGTCTTGATATTGATGTCTGCTGAAGAACTGATAGAGTACCATTATGCGTCGAAATGTTACTAGCGAAGAGCCGCTAATAATGTCAGAGTTGTTCATCTTTCGAGGAGAATGCAAGACTGCACTCTAGCGAAACGAAGAAACAAAACAGAAAACAAGACACACCCACGACGACCCGTCAGACTTTCTTTTTCAGTACTATCATTATGATATCGCCATTGATGCTGGGGCTCGCTCCCTCCCCAGATCGAGAGCTTTTGCTTTTCACAAGAATTAGAAAAGTCGGCCGCGCCGCCGCCGCCTTCTGGTTTGCTGGGAAGTGAGTGGCATACCCTCGTCCCGACGTCCATGCTGCGTCCTCAGAAGTAGGGAGATCGTCCTCGGTCCTTGGTGAATAAAAATCGTACTTAGAAGCAAGTCGAAACTATCGCTCCGCAGGTCGTGCTGACAATCCCGCCTGCTAGTCCTGTCGCAAAAACAAAACTAGAGCAACGCACGCGCGTCGGTGCATCGTGAAGGTGCTACTTGGATTTTTGATGAGGCGTAGTGGTTATTGTTTATTAGTCGACTTGTCCATCATGCGATCATCTGGCTTTATTTCATTGCAAAGCACTTCGTGCGACATATACATAAGAAGTGTGCCTCCTAGTGATCGCTCCACGTGATCGGTAGTACGAGAATGGGCAAAAGTAAAAAAACAAATGTTGGCGCCGACGGTCGTCGGTTTCTCCTCGTCTACAACTGTGGCAAAGTCGTTGCTGCAGCATCGGTGTTTTTATTTCCGAAGGCATCGGTAGTACGTTGACGCTGGTTCATATCTTTCTTGATCGATGAAGTTACCACTTCGCATAGCTTTTTCATTCGACCTGAGATACCATGAACAAGCCTCCTGGTAGAACAGTTCCCGCAACACATAACTTCTCCCGCAATTATTTTGCTAGATTGTTTGCGACCCTTTAAACTTGCAAACCTCTAAACCTCTGCGCCAAAGCTGGCACACTGCCACTGCTAGAAGAAGTGTTTTGCTCTGCCTAGTCGCATTTCGACGAAGTTGAGTCAAGGTTGTTTCCCCTACCCCTTCTCTATTTTTTAAAAATAATTTTTCGCTTTGGACACCTAGAAGCCTCGTCGCTAGCCTTTCGAAATAGTTTTGGACCTTCTTCTTGCTAAACGTGCCAGCTTTGAGTATAGCGCTTTTTTGTTTGTTCATCTCCCTTGCTAAACATAGCAACTCTGGCCGTCTTCTTGCTAATCACTATAGAAGCAGCTCTAAGGACATTTATCCTTCGACTCTCGGCGTCCTGTTCTTAAATCAGGCTAGTTTATACCTGTGCTATTTTTATTCGTGTAATTCTCTTCATATTTGTTCTGCGCCTCCAACTCCCTCTTGACAATTTATTTGGATTTCCCCGCCCTTCGCGTTTCCATACAACAGGCAGAATGCTAATGCAACGCATGAGAGTGCCAGGCTCGAAATTGACAAAGTTGAAAAAGTAGCAACATCCTGCAACGCAGAAAATCCGGGGCACAGAGTGCCAGTCTTGCAGAGCAGAAAGCGAGTGAATCGCAAATGGGTATGGGATTTAAGAAGCCCCAAAGTTTGTCAGTCATCTTATGGACCGCACTTAGAGTTTGCAACTTTGGCCGAGCTGCAATCTAGCTTAATATGCATCGCGAGTAATTATTTCAACTTTGTCGATTTCGAGCCTGACGGTTTCACGCAGCGCGCAACAGTTCTTCTGTTTGGCCTCGGGATAGCGACGCCTCCTGCTCCAGCAGCTGCAAAAATTTCTCTTACTTTATATGGCGTTCTCAATGTTACATTCTCAACTGTTACATGATTTGTCATGCAAAATAAGCATCGACGTCCAGTCCACACGGTGCAGCTACTTTGCGTGACAAATTTCGGCAGGGCTACACAGCATGGGAATCTGTGCCGAATTTGTAACGCAAGAGTTGCAAGATCCGGCCTTTGTTTCTTGCTGTTGCCAGCATGGCAAATCCATGTAACTCATATAGCTACAATAAAGCTCATCCCGCAGCCGTCCCAGGAGCTTCTTGTGGTTGTCTCTCGGTAGGGATCGCTTTGCCCGTGCGTATTCCACTCAGAGTTTGCTGCGTAGGTGGTTACCGTTTGGAGCTTTTAGAATAGAAAGAAATGGGACGCCCTGCCCTTAGCCTTCCAACGTGACAAATGAAGTTGAGAACGTAACAAGTTGAGAGTGTAACAATTGAGAATCCCATACTTCAAAGCCTGGACGCAGCGGTGAAGCGGACTCCTGTATGGGTGTGTCAGGATTGAAATCGAAAAAGTTGCAGCAGCTTGTAATGCATAAAATCGATGCCAAGCAATCGGATCCACGGTTTCTAGACGGTGCGCGAAAAATTTTGTCCGTACCGGAGGCCAGTTTGTCATGCTGTTTAGGGAAAAGGGAAAGGGGCTCCCCTCTGCGATGCTAATCAGCAGCCCAATTCTCCACCCTTGCCAGTGCTACAATGCCCCTCCCTTGCGTCCTCTGCAATAGAGGCAGTGTCTGCTTCTGCGTTGCATTTTATGCATGACAAACCATTTCCACTTTCAGGACGATTTCGATCCTGACGCACCCATATCCTGGCGTCAATGGTTACAGGATGCTGGCGATGGCCACGAGCATCTTGCCTATCGCATTAGCGTTTCCGCTGTTTTAGACTGGGCGAAACACCAGCCGTACTGGACGGAATTAGCTAAGACGCAGCCCAAGGAAACGGGCAAAGCGCTTCTTGAAGAGCGAAATTGCGAGAAATGTAGCACAGCTGACAAACCAGGGGCGTGGTGGAAAAGCAAGCTGGACGGCGACCTAGAGGAAATTGCGAAAATGTACACAGAGATTGCCCAACTGGACGGCGGAGTTTCTGCCGAGGTTCGAGAGGTCGTCACGCGGGCCGCGCAAAATATAAAAGAGGGTCTAACGGCCAGCAGGGTTCTGGACAGCAAGGCCCCGCCAGGGTTCTGGACAAGCCCGGAAGTCCAGGGCTCCTGTAGCGGTACCGTGCCACAAGAGGACGCCAACTTTTTGGAGCTGGGTCCGAATCGAAATCGTGACGATGTCTACCTGAAGCTGCTCGAATATGCGACGGAGCTGCCGAAGGAGCTCGCTGCGTGGCAACTCATGGACTACAAGCAGACAAGCGATGCCGTGACCAGAAACATTCGAAGCGCATACCTGACGCAGGCGACGATATCCGAGCGCATCGCAGACCACCGGATGAAGTCCGGGACTGATCATGGAGAAGATGCTGTAACTCAGTTTCTCCGAAGCACCCTGATGAATACCAATCAAGTGGTCACAATTGCCGACGCCGCGAGGGTGGCGGTAGATAGGTATAGGCCTGCAACAGGCAGCCAGGTCCCGGTCGTGCCGATTCCCGCCGGAACTGTCGCGCTTTTCGGTATCACTCGAGCAAATGTTTGCGGTAGTACACAGCCGCTCACTGGTGAAGGTCGTCCCTCGGACTTGGAGAGATCCCTGACAGAGATGGCAGAGAAAGCTGAATATTATCGCGGACTGGATATCGCCGGCAGTATTCAGGAAGCTGATGAAGAAGCACAAGCGGTAGACAGTAGAAGGGCAAGACTTTCGTGTCTTCACGGTGTGAAGTACATGCTGGAATTTCTTGAAGGTCTTGTCCACGATAAAGAAAGGTTTGCGCCTGATCGCCCCTTCGTGTTGCGTATCCACATGTGGGAGGGCGTGGCGCGCCAACTGACTCCACAGGCCGCCCACTTTTACGAGTCGCTGCATAAGGGGCTCTACGACTTTTACGATCACCCACGGCGCTCGCGCTAATTTTTTCAAGCGCATTCGCCTCGAGATTGGTCATACCCCCAGGCTGCCCTTTGTGGTCGCTGTCTGACCTCCCCAAAAATGCCGACGCCGAGCGAGAGCCGCGAGATCTGCTTGCTCCTCAGCCAAAAGGTCAGCGTGAAAAGATTAACTACTGGAACACCGCGGCTGGACTTAGCAACGAAACGCCGCCGAAGCAGAAGTCGAAGGGGAAGGCCAAGGCTGAGCCTAAGAAGTGCCTGGAGGAGGGACAGTTCGCGCGCCTTCTCCTGAGCATTCCTTGGGCTCAAAAAGTCTGCAGCGTGAACGCGCACTCCAACATGATGATCCAGCCAGGATATAACGTAGAGCGAGGAAGTGCAGAGAGCCCTCGCGACGATTTTCAACACAGAACAGCACTGCCCCCGGAAGGAACGATATTACAGTGAAAAATGCCCCCACCCCCAAAGTTGCAACTATTTCTGAAGCGAACAAGTTTCCAAATGAAAAAGAAAACTCTTTGTCATGCATGATATGAAAGGAGTACGAATCTTTCTGATGCAGAGTCTACGCGTATAAAGCACCGCTTGCATGAGCATGACGCGTGCCGCTCTTGTTGCTGGGGTCTTTTGCAATGCAAATTTTTGCTATTTGCGAGACGATTGAAAATGATCTGCGACGCTGATAGAAGATGCAAGGGGCCCAGTGCTTCACTTGGAAAGGGTTGCGGTTGCACCACAAATGCTCCCAAGTTCTGGGGCAGTAGCGTTTTTCATTGTAATAGTCTGAGTTGCAGCCTCAGTGTAGGCGTTGACGGCGCGGGCGCTTTGCGATTAAACAACAGCGCCGAGGCTGTTCGTGCCATGTTGTCAAGATATTTTGGAATTGTTTTTCCTGAAGACCACGATAGGAGCGCGCAAGCGCACTCTGGTCGAATCTGCGCCGCTGCAGGTGGATCACCAACGCTGTCCCCCTGCTCGAGCTTGGATAGAGCCACGTCGCCTATTTCTCCCACACAGAGCAACAAGCGAAGCCGCAGCAAGAGCCGCAGCGGGAACGAGAGCCGCCTCCGCCACAGCGGAAACCGCAGCAGGAGCAGCAGCAGGGGCCGTCGCGTGAAATCTGGGACGGCGGGTGTCCGCCCCGTTTCGACACATTGCGCGAAAGTAGAGCATACCAATCGCAAACGTTTCTGGGTCTGGAAGGATGCAGCTTCTTGTCGCGCGAAGTCTCCACGACAAAAAAATCTGTATTGTATGAACGCCAAAAGCTAAGCCCACTTGTTGCCATGCAAAAGGCCGACTTTTCGCGCGGGATAAGCATGAGGAAGGTCTCGCAGCATCTGTGATGCTTGTGTGTGCATTCCAGACCATGCGCATGGTCCGCGAGCTGCACGAGGACAAGTTTCGTTGCACCCTTCCAGACCCAGACACATTTGCAATGGATAGAAGACAGCGCACAACAGCCTATGTTGGGGAGGGCGACGACCGACACTCAGCTAGAGCTAGAAGCACACCGACAGCGTCGCTCTCGGGCCCGTGACTCGTCTGACTTTAGCCGCAGCAGAAGCCGTTCCGTGAAATCTGGGGGGATGAAGCATTGTGCGAATATCAATTGCAGATATGTCTGGAGCTCGAACAAGGAAGGACGCAGCTTGTCGTGCGAAATCTCCACGAAAAAAAATCTGTGTTGCATGAACGCCAAAAGCTGCCCACTTGTGGCTCGTCTCCAAAAGGCTGACTTCTCGCGCGGGATAGCCATGAGGAAGGTCTCGCAGCATCTGTGATGCTTGTGTGTGCATTCCAGACCATGCGCATGGTTCGCGAGTTGCACGAGGACAAGTTTCCCACCCTTCCAGACCCAGACATATTTGCTCTGGATAGAAGACAGCGCGCAACAGCCTATGTTGGGGAGGGCGACGACCGACACTCAGCTAGTACCCCGACAGTGTCGCTCTCGGGCCAGTGACTCGCTTGACTTTACTTCTAGTAAGTCACTAGTACGAGTTCGTTGATTTATTTATGAACAGCGTCCCAAAACCTTTCAATTAAAATTTACCGTCTTTCGGTCCCCCCCTCGATAAATTAGATAGCTGGGATTTTTGGACTCCTACCTAGATACGGTAGTAGATACCAGGCTGGTATATCTTGGATCTGTGGACCCCTGCCAAGGATACAAGCTTGGATTTTTGGACCCCTGCCAAGGATACGAGCTCGAAGCTGGCAGCTTCAAGCTTGTAAGTATCTGCCTTACAACCCAACTGCTCCTTGCCATCTTTTTTTGTACCTCCACTAAGCTTTTTTCGTGTTGCTGCAGTACTACTTTTCGAACATTGAAAAAAGAGAAAATATGAACGAACAAAACCCTAAACCCTAAAAATAAAAAAGATGCATAACAACTGACGAAGCTGGTTGATGATGTTGAAGACTAGCGCTGTGATGAACTGGTAAGAATTCCCCATTTGGAATCGTGCGCAGTCAGCTACGCTGATTGTGATTGCGAGTGTAGTTTTTGCGTCGACATGATCTATGATCAACATACCAAGACGTCTAAACCTACAGGAAGACACTCTGCTATCGTTTCGATCGCCTGCTGATCATTGAAAAATCCTCTGAAGAACTCCTTCACGGTTCGGGAATAAAAAGCAATGATAAGTAATAGAAAAAATAAGCAGGCTGCTTATAGTACATAACTCATACTGACAACAAGATGAGCAGGCTGCGCATACATACACTGCAACTGATTACACTGGCGCAGGCGAGTCGTTAACGTTATAAACAAAAATGAGCAACAAGATGAAAATCACCTTCCGAAATAGTGTCGGAGTTGTTCTTTGTTTCGGGGAGAGTGCAAGACTGCTCTCTAGCAGCCAGCAAAGCGAAGAAACAAAACACACCCACGACCCGTCAGACTTTCTTTTTCAGTATGATTTTGTTGGGGTCCAGCACCAGCACTCCGCTGGTGCCGCAGCATCGGTCTATGATTACAAACACAACCAATTTCATTGGGGTCCATTCCATCGTCCCCAGCTCGGGAGCTCGTGCTTTTCACAATTAGAAAAGTTGATCGCCCCGCCTTGATGTTTGCCGGGAAGTGAGTTGCATGCCGTCCCGACGTCCATGCTGCGTCCTCAGTAGTGAGATCGTCGGTCTCCTTTGGTGAATAAAATATCGCACTTTTAGTCGAAATTATCAATCCACGCTGACAGACATTCTCCCTTCCTGTCGCCAAAACAAAACTAGTAGAGCAACGCACGCTCCTCGGTGCGTCGTGAAGGTGGTAGATTTCTGATGGGCGGGTGTTTAGTAAGTACTTATTCGGCTTGTCCAGCATGATCGATGATCATCTGTTTTTTTTTTCATCGAGGAGGATGAAGATGTGCGCTTTCTAGTGTCCGTGGACGAGAAGACTCGAGAACTATGGCTCTACACCGAGAGGACTACCTATTCAAATATAGTACTATAAGAGTTGTAGTAGAGGTACTTAGCCGTTGCTGGGGTGAGGGTTCTTTTCTTCGGCGAGGAAAAGTTTCTGCGTTGTCTCCGACAACACGAGCGACGACCTTCACCTAGAAGTGGGCTGCGCAGGAGGGCTACAAGGAGTTGCGACGAGGAGGAGAATCTAAATCCGAATCATGTTGACGAAAGTGTCTGCTGGTGCTGCAGATAGTACCATAGCACTCCCACTTCTAGTGGCACTTAGCGACACTTTTCTGATGAAAATCAAAATGCGCCGTATTAAGATTAACTCAGTACGCAGGCATCAGGTGCAAGCGATATGATCTTACCAAGTGGCAGTGGTGGCACATGATTTTTAAAAATACTATGTTATGAAGGGACAAAATATAGAAACCTGGACATCAGAAAGTGCTAAGTTGGCGATTATGCAAAGGTATTCGGTGTACGAATTTTGGAACTCCGTTGTATGAATTTTGGAAATCCGAAGTACCGAATTCAAAAAAAAAAATACCGAATTCAAAAAACATCACCATGACTCTCGCAAAAACCGAAGATGATTTTTGATGAACTCGAAGGTGATTTTTGATGAACTTGGTCATGATTATTTTGATGAACCCTAAAACCTAAAGTCATGATCCACCTTCCGAAAGCCATGATCCACCTTCCTGAAAGCGCCCTACGACATATCACCGATCACTTGAGTTCCAAAATTAGTACATCTGAATTCTTTGCACCGATACATACCTTGGTGACCGACAACGACCTTTCTTCTCACCACGACCGACGACGCAAATTCCGCGGAATTGGTCAAATCTGACCAATTTGAATAGTTGTGGTTTAAAGCAAAACCACAACTATTCGCATTTTTGATCCTCTTTTACATTTTCAACTACCAACAGTACCAGTGGCAGTGACACCTTAAAACCAAAATAACAAGAGAAACCAAATCAAGATGTAGCGGTCGCCCGTACTCAACTCCCACGCTAAGGTTGAAGCGCGTTCGCATTGTGTGGACATGATTAGACGACGAAGGCAGACAGCAAAAATCGGCGCGGGGCTACTGCTACAGGTTATGCGTTTGCTCTTTTTTACTTTTGTTTTCCTTCTCCATTCCCATCTGCTTTTGCATTTGCAAACACAGCTATTAATATTGTGATACTTTTGATATTGCAATTGCATTTGCAACTGAATTTGAAATTGATGAGAGCACCATCTCCGCCTCGCTGCAAAGTTTTTTTTGTACTGATCAAGATCATCGGGATCGACTACTGCTACTACTACTTCTTCATGCCTCAATATGTTGATCAAAACGAAGCTCATGACTTATGACCAACGCAATCAGGTACTCCTGCATGGCGCGCGTTCTGGATGGTGCAGCTGGTGTTGGTCGTGGTGTACTTGGGCCAAATCTTCGGCGCAGTTGAACTATCTCGATGGCATGACTCGCTTCCGCTGGGATGTTGCCACGGTGTTTGCGCGTTTACTTTTCAGATGTCGGGAAGTGAGGTGGATGATGATGTAGATGAGGCGTTGTTGTCTTTAGCACAACCTTGACGCCAAGAGTTTTTTGTTTGATGTGAGTGAGAGCACCGCCACACACTGCGACGTGGTGGTGATAGATTGCAGCGCGTGCGCGACGGCTACCACTATATTTATTAGACTTTGAGCGCTAGCATGATCCTCTCCCTTAGACCATGGGCCCGTGAGGTATTGCTAGCGTGGTCGCGTTTATCGGTTTTTATTTGATCTCGATTTGCGTCATAGTCTTGGAGCTGTGCTGGTGTGGCTGGGGCGAGAGAGGATTTTTTGAGTGAGAGTCTGAGTCAGCGTCTACGTGTACGTCGAGCAGCATGATATTATTTCCCGTAAGCACAGCCGGAAGATGTTGTGCCGAGAGAACAGAGGATGAGGGAAGAGTCACACTGGCCTCGCACGTGTTGGCTAATGTCGCGCGAGCTGCCGCTGCAGAGCGCAGCAGAAGAGAGCAGTAAAATCAACACAGCCAAGGAGTTGCTGGCGTCAGCTTTATGAGCGGGTAGTTTTTTAGTTGCGGCTGGTGATGTAGATTTTGGATCTTATGACGATGAGCGTGTTGCTGTGTTTGAGTGTGAGAGGAACGTGAAGATTGAGAGGTTATGCTGCCCTCAGCTGGACGCTTCGTCTCGTCAGTACTCGGCGTCTTTTCGTCGTCTACGTTTAGGCTTATGATGAACATGAGCATCAACACCAAGACCAATAGCGAGAACTAAACGTAAAAGAATAAGCGTCAATATGTAAACGCACTACCATGCCGCCCAAGAAAAAAGTCAAGCCGCCGGAGCGGCTTCTCCCTCCTGATTCTCCGAGTGCAGAAGAGGGCAACTTCCACAACGACATGGAGGAGCAGCAAAACCAAGGCGGAACTCAAATGCGAAACAACAACATCAACAACATGAGTCTGAACCTGAACATCGAGCCCAACATTCCTAACCACAACGACAACCAGAACCAGAGCCAGTACATGGCTGCGCGTTACACTTGTTGCAAACTTTTAAAAGGAGCAAAAAAATTAGCGGACGTGCTGGAGGTGCTTGACTTCGCGCAGCGTGACCTCCTCGGCTTCGAGGTCGGCGCATCTTCTTCGTCGAAGTTTCACAATTGGCACAGGACCGCACCCCTTCCGAAAGACGAGTCCCTCAGGAAAGCGTTCGTGCGCGAGTACGGCCATTCGGAAAGTAAGGGGTCGCGCAGTGAAGTTATCCGGATGGGGTTTTTGGAGTTGAAGAAGCGGTACGACGTTTCCCGATTGCAGCTCGCGGAGTACATCGGACTCGGCCCCGACGGCATGGTCCACGTAGAGGATGAACTGGAGGACATCGCAGGGGAGGCTGCGGTGCGGCGAAGCATTCGAGAGGAATGGAAGGAGCACTGTCGCTGGTCATATTATGACTCGCTAAAGACAGTGGAGGAGAAGGTAAAATACATCGAGTACGTGTTGGGCTGCTCGCGGGCAACTAGCGCGAAGAAGGTATTTTTTCTAACTCTATGAGAATTGTGCTTGTGGTTGTGCATAAGCATTAGCATTAAGCATTTCAATGCCGGTGCCGGTTACTATTGTATTAGTATTTTTTTTCCATTTCCTTTTCCATTTCCATATTCTAATTCTTTTTTGCTCATGACGATCGCCATGAGGAACAGGAGCACGAACCTGTCATGCAAGTATGAGTGCGCTAAGCTGGTAGTGCCCCTCAAGCTCATGCCAGCACAGCATGGCTCAAAACCAGAGCCCGAGCATTGACCTACGCGTACATCTTCAACATCCTTAGACTTTACGCATCCTGAGGCGATGACTCGGGCTCGCTGAAGAGCGACGAATGAGTCTGATTCTGCCGCACATCTTGCGCTGCCTTTTGGCGATGGCTCTTGCAGGCCCACACTTGGCCTGAGAGTTAGACCCAGAGATAAGCATAGAGCTCCGAGGGGCTGGGGATGGGGTCTGGCAGTGTAACTGCGCTGCCAGTCATAGATATGCAGGCCTGCATGACTCTGGTTGCGCTCCTATGGTGGATGAAACTTG